TCACCTCCCTGTCACCTCCCTGTCACCTCCCTGTCACCTCCCGCCTTGCCTCTGGTGACCAGGGACGGGACCCAGGGAATGGCCAGGGGTGGGACTGGATGAGTCTTGGGGTCCCTCCCAACCTGGGATATTCTGGGATCTGCTCAGACCAACCCTGTCCTGCTGGGTGACCTGCGCTTGTCCCCAGAGGTGCGGTATGGGATGTAGGGGTGTCCCCACCCACAGGTATCCCCCACCCAGGAGTGTCCCTGTCCTTCCCGCCACTGTCACCTCGCATCCAGCAGTTTGGGGTCCAGCGGGGGGTACATGGATCTCACCACATCGTCCACTCTGAGGTGGGGACAGCGTTAACCCCAGGGGACACTGGTGACACCTCCAGCACAGCCACCCCAGGCCTCAAGAGCTCTTTTGAAGCCCTGCGACCTCCCTAGAGCCCCAGGAGCCCCCTGAACCCCAGGACACCTCCCAGAGTCCCAAAATTACCCCAGGACCCCTCCCAAAGTCCCTGGACACCCCTAAAGTCCCCATGTTTCCCTTCAGAATCCCCAGGTCTCCCAGACTCCTCCCAGAGCCCTGGGACATCCCCAGAGCCCCCATGACCCCTCCAGACCCACCCTGTCCCAAATCTCTGGGGACCCTCCAGAGCCCTGGAATTTTTTCCCCCAACCCTGGGGACACCCCAGAGCCACAGGACTCCACCCAAGAGACCCCCCCAAACATCCCCTGTCACCTGGGGCTGATGCGCTTGGCCACCACGATGATGTCACCCAGGCTGGCTGGGGACTTCACGCGCGCGCCCGAGCCCATGGTCATGGCCACCAACTTCTCCGTCAGCGTGTGACAGATCTGGGGTACAGCGGTGGCCATTCAGTGCCACCATCACCAGCAGTGTCACCATCAACACCAGTGCCACCACTGCCACCAGCTCTACCATACCACCAGTGCTGCCATTGCCACCAGTGTCACCTGTCCCACCAGTGTCACCAGTGCCACCAGTGCCACGGCCTCACTCACCTTCAGGATGGCAATGCAGTGAGACACCAGACCCCTGTGGAGAAAGAGGGTGTGAATCCACCTGTGTCCCCCCTGCTCTGTCCTTGTCCCCTGTGTCTCCCCTCTTCTGCCATCCCTTGTCCCCCAGACCTGTGGGGATATTCCCACCCCAGACCATCTTGAGGACCATCCCCATGGCTTGGTGACCTCCAAATCTGTCCCCTACATCCCATGATGGGGGGCTGGCACTGCACAGGGGTCCCCAGCAGTGGAGGGACACGGGGGACACTCACGAGGCGTCCTCGACCCAGTCCTCGTTCTCCAGGATGGCCTCTATGTGGGGGTTGGTGATGACCACGTCATCCAGCTCCAGCTCCGAGGGCTCTGACAGCGTCTCCGTGGTCCCCATCAGGTCCACGATGGGTCTGTCAGAGACATGGGGGACATCCCACCAAGGGCCACCTCCTTGGGCTGCCCCAGAGCCCCAGTGGCCCTGATGCTGGTGGATGTGTCCCCATCTTTGTCCCCCTGGTGATGGAGGCATCTTCCCTCTGATGATGCTGGACATCGCCTGCATCATCCCCCTGGTCACAGTGGCTGTGTCCCCATCTTTAATCCCTGGATGATGTTGGACATGTCCCCAGCTTTATCCCTTTGATGATGGCTGATGTGTCCCCATCTCTGTCCCCATCTCTGTCTCCCTGATGACAGCGGATGCGTCCCCATCTTTGTCTCCCCGATTACCATGGACATGTCCCCCAGATTGTCTCCTTGATGATGCTGAACATGTCCCCAGCACTGTCCCCAGCCCATGGGAGTTGAGGTGCCTCCCTGGTGGGGACAGGGACACTGCCACCCCCGTGGGTCACTCACTTGGTGTCGTAGTGGTGGCGCAGGTCCTTGGGGTGACAGTAGCGCTGCCTGCACACCACCACCAGCGCCACGAAGGACGCCAGGAAGATGGTGGCCAGCACCCCGATGGCCACAATGACAACGGTCTCCATGGCTCGTCCCCACCGGAGGGGCTCAGGCGTCCGGTGCCATCACAGCACGCTGGTGGCTACAGTGACAGGGACATTGGACACTGGAACCCCACAGATATTCTCCTCTCCATCCTGCACCTCAAAACACCCGGCCAGGACTTGGTGTCACCCCCCGATGGATCCCTGTCCCCAGGGTCAGTGTCACCTGGGGGATGTGGTGCCTCTGGGTGTGGGGTGCAGCAGGATTTGCTGCCCTCAACCTGTCACCACGGCCATGGGGACAGGGGCTGGGGTCAGGAGAGCAAGGCCTGGGCCATAGGGGGGTGTGGGGACCCCCAGAGTGTGTCCTCCTGGGGACACTCACAGCCCTGTCCCTATGGGGACATGGGGACCTCCAGAGCCTTTCCCTATGAGGACACAAGGACCCCAGAGACTGATCCCTATAGGGAGCCCCGAGTTCCTGTCCCTATGGGGCCACAGAGCCCCCCAGCCCCACAGGGACCCCCAGAGCCCCCAGTTCTGATTCCTATGGGGACATGGGGACCTCCAGAGCCCCCTTTCCACGGGGATCCCACAAATCTGATCCCAGCTGGGCCACAGTAGCAGGGCCCGTGTGTCCCTGTCCCCATGGGCAGCAGACACAGCAATACCAGGCCCAGGGGAGCCGGTGGAGTCCTGTGGGGTTCCCACCCTGTGGGGGGACCCCCGTGCCCATCCCGGGGGCTCCATCCCTGCCCTCCCTACCTGTTCCAGCCGGGCGGGACACGGGGACACGCGGGGACGGTGCCACTTCCGTGCTGGGTGTGCAAACACGGCCACGCCGACCTTCGCCCCCTGACTCACACTGGGCCCCCCACAGCGGGGTGGGCCCCCAAAACCCTCTGGCCCCACTGCCTCCCCCCTCCCCTCACCATTTTCTTCTTTCTCCCCTAAATCCCATTGAATTTTAAGCCAGGTTTAGGGATTTGGCTTAAATTTCCAGCCTGGCTGCAGTAGTTCCTGCAACCCCACAGGGGTGGGGACAGTGGGGGGGGGGACAGGGTGTCTCCCCCACCCCCCTCTGACACTTTCTCACTGTGATTAAAGCCTTAAGAGGGATTTTGGCTGCCAAAGCTGCTTTTGCTGTAACCCCCTGGTGCCTGGTCCTGGGGAGGGAGGAGGGGTACAGCCCCAGGGGTGTCCCCAAACCCCCCAAAGTGTCCCCAGCACCTCCCCCAGCCCCAAGCTGTGTCCCTGTCCCGGCTGGGCGGGGGTCAGACCCTACCTGAGGAACACCAGGGAAGGTGGGAAGGGGGGTCTGGGGGGGCACTGGGAGAGGGGGTCACTGCTGGGGAGTTTGGGGGGTTCTGGGATGGGGGGACACAGCTGGGGGGCTTCAGGGGGTTCTGGGATGGGGGGACACAGCTGGGGGGCTTCAGGGGGTTCTGGGATGGGGGGACACAGCTGGGGGGCTTCAGGGGGTTCTGGGATGGGGGGACACAGCTGGGGGGCTTGAGGGGGTTTCTGGGATGGGGGGACACAGCTGGGGGGCTTGAGGGGGTTCTGGGATGGGGGGGGTCACTACTGGGAGGTTTGGGGGGATTCTGGGACGGGGGGGGGGGGTCACTGCTGGGGGGGTTCTGGGAGGGGGGGGGGGGCTGCTGCTGGGGGGTGTCCGGTTGCCGGGGGGGCACGGGGCTGATGGGGTCCCTCCGGGGGTCCAGAGCGGGGGGATGGGGGTCTCTGGGGGGGCCCGACACGGCTCTATGGGAAGAATCGCTCCCACGGGTCCCCTATAGCGCCTGGGCTCCCGTGGGGGTTTGGGGGGTGGCTGGGGAGGGTCCCGGGCAGGAGATCCCCTCCCAGCTCCCTCGGTGGGACCCTGCGACCCCCCTGGGTCCCCCCAATCCCTCCCGGACCCCCGCACCTGGAGCGGCGGCCGCGAACAAGATGGAGCCGGGCGGGGGGCGCGGAGCGGGGCCGGGGGCGGGGAGGGAACGGGATGGGAGCGGGGAGGGAGCGGGGAGGGAGCGGGGAGGGAGCGGGGAGGGAGCGGGGAGGGAGCGGGGAGGGAGCGGGGATCAACCGGGCTCTGCCCCCGGCACCGCCTCCCTCCCGCCCCGCAGCGTCCCGAGGGTCCCCTGCGCCTCCCAAAGTTCTGAAGTGTGTCCCACGCATCCCAAAGTGTCCCAAAATGTCCCAAAATGCACTCCTGAAGTCACAAGGTACTCCTTGTGCTCCAAAGTGGCCCTCGTGCATCCATCCCAAAGCGGCTCTGTTCTGTCCCAAAGTGCCCCTGCTGCACCCTCGAAGCAAGGTTGTCTTGTCCCCCAAGGTATCCCCTTGTGCCCCCAAATTCCCCCCCTGCATTCCAAACAGTTCCTTTCCTGTCCCCAGCTGTGTCCCAAAGTGTCCCAGTTGCATCCCAAATTGTCCCCATTGTGTCCCAAACCCCCGTCCCTGCACTCCTGAGGTTTTCCTTTGTGTCCCGAAAATCCTTGTGCCCCAAAATGACCCCACTGCACCCCAAAGTGTCTCTGTTTTGCCCCAAAGTGTCCCCACTGCAGCCCAGCTTGGCCCTATAATACCCCCACACACCCCCCAAAGTGTCCTTGCTGTGTCCCCAAGTGTCCCCTCTGTACCCCAGTCATCCCTGCATCCCCAGCTGCTGCCATGTGCTGTCCTTGCTGTGTTTCAAAGCAAGGGACGTGTCCCATGTCCCCACACCTCCTCCTCATGTCCCTGCCATGCCCTTTATTGTCCCCATTATGTCCCAAAGCACGTCAGTCACGTCCCTTGCCATCCTTTTAGCATCCCAAAGTGTCCCCACCCCAGGAGGTGACTCTGGGTGATGGGAACTCATGTCCCATGGCCTTGTGGCTCTCATCACATCTTGCTGTCTGTGGTGACATTGCTGGTGACACAGTGCTTGGTGATGCCAGCCAGGAATGGTGTCCCAGGTCCCCTCATCAAGGAGCACCGAGCCCCTGCTGTGCCACCCACGACCATGGGATGTCCCCTTGTCCCACCAGCAACAGCTCAGCCTTGTGTCTGCATGGGCTCTTTATTTGGGATGAGGCCACGGCACTGCCCGGCCTCTCCCTGCCCGCCGGTGCCACCGCCCAGCGGGCACTGCCCGCTGGACCCTCCCTGCTCCCACCTGGGAATTCCAGCTCCAGGGAGGCACTGCAGGGCTCCACTGACCATGGGGACCCCCCTGGGGCTCAACCCCCCGGATCCGGCCCTGCTGGGATGGGGTGGCCAAGGAGGAGCCACCGGGGTGCCCCTCCCTTGAGCCACCACCGAGGTGACACATGGCCAAGTCCTTCTTGGAGACACTGCTCCATCAAGTCCCCACCGCCGGGCTCGTCCCCGCACGGTTTATCCATCAGGGAAGATGTATCCATAGTGGTTGAGGATGTGCTCCACCACCTGGTTCTGGAAGACCATGTGCATGGCCATGTTGCCCTCCTCGCTGGCCGGCCGCAGCAGCGTGGGGCCGAAGACGATGGCGACGCTCTGCACCGACATGCGGTTCTCCTCCTTGTGCTCCACCACCCTGTGGGGACAGGGGACGTGTCACCAGCATGGCCCTGACCCCGGGCCTGTCCTCAGAGTGCTCTGCCTTCCTGCACCGGGTTGGGTTTTAGGGAACAAGGGGGTGTCACCTGCAGAGGTGGCGGAAAAGGACCTTCATGGTGTCATGGTGGGCGGGTGGCAGGGACAGCACCAGGTCCCGGATGCAGTGGCCCCGCAGGGACAGGTCCTGGATCTCTGCCAGGGAGGGAGGGCATGGTGGGGTGCTGGCTCCAGCAGTCACAGCATCCCTGTCCCCACCTCCATCCCCATCCTTGTCCCCATCCTGATCCCCATCTCCATCATCCCCCCATCTCAGCCCCTGTCTCCATTCCCGTCCCTTTTCTATCTCATTCCTGTCTCTAACCCCATCCTTATATCCTTCCTCCTCCCATCTCCATTTGATCCCAGTTCCCATCCTTTTCTCCATCCCACCCCATCCCCTGTCCCTCACTGATGGCAGCGATGAACTTGTCAAAGTGGCTGAAGGGGACGAGTGGCTCTGGCAGCTCCCGCAGGAAGAGTTTCAGTGCCCCGGTGACAACGTGGATGTCCTCCCAGCGCCCGTCATCCAGGTCCAGCTGCTCATCTGGGGGTGGAGCAGCATCTCAGCTGTGTCCAGAGCCCCAGGGATGGGTGGGTGGTCCCTATCTGCCCCCTCCCCTGTCCCTCTGCCCCTGAAGGGGACCATACCCCATTGTCCCCCACTGTCACCACGGGTGGCCGTACCGTGCTCCACCTTGTAGCGCAGTTTCTGGATGGTGGCCAGGTTGCCACTGACCCGGTACAGCCCATCAATGTCCAGACCTGGGCAGATGGAGACGGGGAAGAGCTACCAGTTAAACAATCCATGCTGCTGTGGGACATTAGGTACTCTTGAGGGAACTCCGGGTCCCCATGTGTCCCTGCTGTCCCCTGGAGGATGCCCACAGCCAGGTGGCACATGGTGACAGTGACCAGTACAGCTGTATCAGTGCCCACATAGCTGTTTTCCTTTTCCAAGGAAAACCCGAATGTCCCACGTAGGCTGTCCCTGGAGTTGTCCCCATGTCCCTATGCTGATGTCCCTGTCCCCTGTACCTCTCCTCTCCACGGTCCAGATGCACTGCAGGACAAAGCGTGGCACCGTCCCTCGCTCCCGCTCACACAGTGCCAGCAGCGAGCAGCCAAAAACCTGGTCTAGGAACACAGCGGGGACATGAGCATGGCTGGGGACACCAGGGGACAGGGCTGGGGACAGAGGGACTTGTTCCCATAGGAGTTCCCACCAGGGTGGCTGGAGGTGATGGGCTCAGGCATGTCCCATCACCTCTAGCCACCGAGATATTGGGTCAGGCTTGAGCTTGGTCATTCAACCCAGTGTCCCAGCTCCATCCCTGGCTGTCCCAGCTCCATCCCTGGCTGTCCCCTCCAGAGGGGCTCAGTCCCATTCCAGCACCCTATCCCAACACCCCCTCCCACTCTGGATTTACCCTCATCCCATCACGTATCCTTGATCCAACCCCATCCAGACCCCCCAGATCCTGCACCCCACACCCACCCTTGATGTAGCCCCGCTCCCGCAGGGACTGCAGCGTCGGTCGCCTCTGCAGGAACTTGCGGAGTTTGTTCCGGACTCGGCTGGTGTCACTCTCGCCACTGCCCGTGCCCTGCCCGGCCGCTGCCGGGGACACGGGGCAGGTCAGCGGCACCGGGGGGGCTCCGCCGGTGCTCCCGGCCGGTCCCGCCCGGTGGTTTTTACCGGGACCCCCGTGCCCATCCCGGGTACCGCAGGGTGGTTTTACCGGGACCCCCGTGCCCATCCCGGGTACCGCAGGGTGTTTTTTACCGGGGTGCCCATCCCAGGTACCGCAGGGTGGTTTTACCGGGACCCCCGTGCCCATCCCGGGGACCCCCGTGCCCATCCCGGGTACCGCAGGGTGGTTTTTACCGGGACCCCCGTGCCCATCCCGGGTACCGCAGGGTGGTTTTTACCGTGGTGCCCATCCCGGGGACCGCAGGGTGCTTTTACCGGGACCCCCGTGCCCATCCCGGGTACCGGGGCTCACCTGCCCTCCGCTCCTCGCCGCCCCCCAGCTTCTCCCGGGAGCCGAATTCAGCCCGAATTTCGGTCTCCTCCTCTCCGGGGATGTCGGAGCCCTACGGAGGCGGCACCGTGAGACGCCGGGCCCGGCCCCGGGGTGGTCGCGGGGTGTCGGGGGTCCTGCTCACCCTCCGGCCGATGCTGTCGGCGATGGCCCTGTGCCAGGCGGTGATGATCTGCTCCGAGTCATGCTGGATCAGGAATTCCGAACCCTCCCGCGTCCTCAGCTGCCGGAGCAACCGGCAAAAATCAGGGAAAGGGCACGGGGCAGCCCCAACCACCCGGATTTGGGAAGCAGGATGCGGCTGGAGCGGCTCCTCCCTGTGCAAAGCCCCTCTGGGAGCCAGGATGTCCCTTGGTGGCCTCTCCGTGCCCATCAGAACAGGACAGTGACCGGCAGTGCCAGTCCCTGCACTCCCACCCTGGCACGTCCCCAGTGTCCCCACTTCCATCCCCTGCTGGGATGAACTGGGCAGGTGTGGCATTGCCCTGTGGGCCACTTGTGGACCCTGAGGTGTGACCAGTGTCCCTCCTGCTGTCACCTGCTCACCTCCAGGACATTCTTCTTGCTGGATTTGTCTCTGCCAGCCCAGGTGAGGGTGGCCCCATGCAGCTTCACCGTGTGCTCGGGGGTGGTCAGGGTGCTGGGGTGCCTCTGTGGGGACAAGGGGTTGAGGGTGGCACCTGCCCAGAGGGGACAGGGACACTGGGATTCTGCTGGGGGTGTGGGTTGCCCTCCTCCAGAAAGGCAAGGTTGCCAGATATCCTCGGTGGGACCCCTCTGTCCCCTTCTATGGTCTCTGCAGGACTAGGACATGGGACTGCTGTGGTGGGGCAAGGTCATGGCCACCAGCCTGGGGACACAGCCAGGTCCTAGGGCTGCCATCACCTCAAGAGACATTCCCAGCCCTCTCCAGGGATCCCGGGGGGGGGCTCCAGCTTTGTGGTCCCTCTCAGCGACACTGCAGGAAGGGAGAGGGTGGCTGCCCCCAAAGAGGGGCAGTTTGCAGGGGGAGAGCATCAGACCCAGCGCTTCTTCCCATGCCCTGCTTTTCGGGGTGCCACTGTCCCCCTGCCCCAAGAGCCTCTGCACCCCCAGACAGAGCCCTGAACCCCCGAGGTGGGGCCAGCACTGTCTCCCCAGCTGTGGGTCCCCTGTCTTCACCCCCCCACCCCAGTCGCTGTCACCACAGGGTGTTGCAAGACCCGCGGCAACTTCTGCATCCGGCGGGGCACTGCAGGGAGGGAGGAGGACCCGGGGGGGAGCTCCTGCCAGCTCTGGGGCCTCCAACACTGCAGGAGTGTGGGTGTGCTGGAGGGTGAGGGGACATATCCCAGTGCAGGGGGTCCTGGTCCCATCCTTCAAGTGCTGATTCCCCCCAACAATGCCAGGGGTTCTATTTTGTGGATGCTGGCCCTGTCCCCTGAATATTGGCCTCAACCTATGGGAGGTGGTCCCATCCTGCAGCTTTGACCCCATCCTGTGGATCCTTGCCCTGTCCTAAGGATGCTGGCTCCATTTTGAGGGTGTTGGCCATGGCCCCCCTCCCCCAATAGCCTCTGCACCCCCTAGACAGAGTCCTGAACTCCCACCCCAGAGGTGAGGTCAGTGCCATGTTCCCTGTGGGTGCTACCCCTATCCTACACATATTGGCCACATCCTGTGAGTTCCTGCCCAGTCCCATGGGTGCTGACTCTGTCCCATGGGTGCTGCCCTGCCCCAAGGCCATGGGGGCTCTTACCAGGGCACTGGCAGCTGAGTGCTTGGAGTCCTTGAAGAAGGTGAGGATTCCCCCTTCCAGCACTGTCCAGGAGGAGCTCCAGTTCTTCCTGGGGAGGGAAGCAGGGGTCACACAGGGATAGCACAACCCCTTCCCCCTGCTGGACTCCTGTCTCCAGAGGCACGGGACACCGGGACCTTCTTACCGGAGCCGCTTCCCTCTGTCCACTGTCTTGGTCCTGTTGAGCACCCCGGCTTTTTCAAGGCTTTTAAACTGGAAAGTGAGGGTGGGGGTGTCAAAGTTTCCCCTTGTTCTCCCTGGTGGTGGGGTGAGGGCGGGCTGGGTGCCCCTCCCTGGGTGCTCACCTTCTCCTCCTTGCTGCCCAGCGCCGGTGACGCGGCGCCGTGCCAGGGGAAGAGCCCGCTGTCCTGGCTGGAGCTGCTGCTGGCCCGCTCGTGGTGGCCGCCCGATGGCACCTGGCAGGGAGGGGGCAGGTGATGCCCGAGGTGCCCCTGGCAGGAGGGGGCTGTGCTGTGCACTGTAGCACCCTAGAGCCCCTGCGGCCCCTGCTCTGTGGGCTTGTGAGGATGTTTATCCCTGGCAGTCACCCCAGTCTGCATCTTTCGCTGTCCCTGATCCTGTTTCCATCCCCACTGCTGTCCCTGCCCTTGTCCATAACCCATCCCTGTCCCCATCCTTGTGTTCATCCCTCTTCCAGCTCCTGTCCCTTTCCCAGGCCCCATCCCCATCCTCAACCCTGTCCCAATCCCTGTCCCCATCCCTATCCCATACCGTGTCAGGGGCGAAGTGCTCGGGGTAGAACATGATTCCCTCGGGGTGGCCATGCCCATACCAGCCCGGGGGTGAGCCCAGCTCCTCGGGGTGCCTCGGGGACAGGCAGAGAGAGGCCCCCTGATCATAGGAGCCCACGGGTGAATAGTCTTCCTCAGGATAACACTCCAGCTCATCTGGAGACAGGTCAGGATAATCAGTTTCTGGAGTGGGTGGCTGGAGAAAAGAGAAAGTTCAAGATGTTGTGCCCAACCAAGAGATCTGCATCTCTGGGTTGCTTGCCCAGGTGGGGGCAGCCCCATCTCCGTCATCCCCATTCCCATCTGTCTCCATTCCCATCTCCATTCCCATTTCTGTCTCGAACTCGATCCCAGTATCCATTCCTTGTCCATCTTCATCTGCACCTTCATCTTTATTCCCAGCTCTGTCTCCCATCTCCACCTTCTCCATTTCCATCCCAGCCCTGTCTCCATCTCAATTCCCCTCTTTCTACATCCCTGTATCTGTTCCCATCTCCATCTTTGTTTCCATGTTCATCTCAATTTCATCTCCCATCCTTTCTCAATCTTCAGCTCTGCCTCCATTTTCATCCCATCCCTGTTTCCATCTGATTCTCACCCTTTCCTACACCCCTGAACCCATACTCATGTCCATCTTCAGTTGTCATCTCCATTCTCATCCGTCTCCATCTCTTTCTATCTCCATCTCCATTTCATCTCCCACATGTTTCTCAATCCCAGTCTCTGCCTCTGTCTCCATTTTCATCCCATCCCATTTTCATCTCCAATCCCATTCCTGTCTCCAACCCCATCCCCATCTCCAATCCCATTCCTGACTCCAATGCCATCCCTGACTCCAATCCCATTCCTGTCTCCAATCCCATCCCCGTCTCCAATCCCATTCCTGTCTCCAATCCCATCCCCATCTCCAATCCCATCCCCATCTCCAACCCCATCCCTATCTCCAACCCCATCCCTGTCTCCAATCCCATCCTTGACTCCAATCCCATCCCTATCTCCAATCCCATTCCTGTCTCCAATCCCATCCCCGTCTCCAACCCCATCCCTGTCTCCAACCCCATCCCTGTCTCCAACCCCATCCCCGTCTCCAATCCCATCCCCATCTCCAACCCCATTCCTGTCTCCAATCCCATCCCCATCTCCAACCCCATCCCCATCTCCAATCCCATCCCCGTCTCCAATCCCATCCCTATCTCCAACCCCATCCCTATCTCCAATGCCATCCCTGACTCCAATCCCATCCCCGTCCCCAATCCCATTCCTGACTCCAATCCCATCCCCATCTCCAATCCCATCCCCGTCTCCAATCCCATCCCTGACTCCAATCCCATCCCTATCTCCCACCCCATCCCTGTCTCTGCCCCTCCCCAATCCCATCCCCGCGCCACGCCGGCTGCTCACCCTCTGCTCCATGGGCCCGTACCGCGTCCCCCCGGGGTGCATCTCCCGGGGGCTGCCTGTGTCTCCTGCAGTGGGGGGGTCCCACGACGTCTCACCTGTCACCGAATTATAGAAAAAAGTCTGTCCGCTTCCTTGATCCACGTGCTGTTCCCACTCGGGAAGCTCCGGGCTGTGTGCGAGCGAGGAGGCGGGAGAGGCGGCGGGACTCACTCCATCGGCCGCCTGCCCCAAGGGACAATCCCACGTGGTCTCACCCGTCACCGGGTTATAATAAAACAAATGTCCACTGGCCGTGTCCGTGTGGGTTTCCCAGTCCGACACGGAGCCGACGGGTTCCTCTGGGGCCGAGCTGGCGGCGGCCTCTTCCCGCAGCTCCTGGATGTTGAGGTAGATGGGATCAGGTGTCTCCTCTGACTCCTTGCGCGCCTGGGGGAACACGGATGTGTCACTACTGAGCTGGGATGTCCCCACTGTGGTGTCTGGGTGGCCGATGGTGAGGCACCGAGGAGTTGGAGCTGGGCCCCCAAAAGTGTGGGGCAGGAGGTGCCAGTGATGGGATGCCAGGAGGTGGAGAGGGGCACTCACAGCACCCAGAGTGGGGCAGGGAGCACCCACTGGCACAGGGATGAGCACATGGAGGGACATCGAAGTCCCCAGGGCCAGCACCTGTGTCACCTGCTGCTGGCAGTACCCTCACAACCAGCACCATGTCACTGCATCATCAGTACCTACATCAGCACCTCCATGATGGGTACCCATGTCAGCCACATCATCCACACCTGCATCCCCTGCATCATCCACACCTGCATCACTGGTACCTGCATCCCCTGCATCATCCACACCTGCATCACTGGTACCTGCATCCCCTGCTCTGTGCAGCACCCACAGCTCTGGCATCCAAACCATGAACCCCCACAACCTCTGCACTGAAATCTGCCCTCCCAACACCTCCAACCTGCTCATCCCCTGCACCCCCAGCCTCTGCTCCCACCTCCCAGCACCCCAAAACTCGCACCCATCTCACCCACGCTTGCACCCCAGCACCCTCAGCGCCTGCACCCTGGGACATTTCCAGCACCCACAGCCCCGGCCTCCCGCCCAGAGCCGGATGCTGAACCAGACAGTCCCATCACCACATCCCAAAATAGCATCCCCAGCACCAGCCTGGCTGGCCCCACTCGTGGGGATGCCTGGTGTAGGGGGATGTGTCCCCTGGGACCAGGAGGGTGCTGCCAGTGGGGACCCCCACCCCTCCCACCATCACCCTTTGATCTCCCCAGCTTTACAGCCTGACTTTCTCACTAATGGCTGTGGGGACAAAGGTCCCAACTGCAGCCCTGCCCATCACCCCGAGGGAGGTGACACTGTCCTTGGGGACACCCTGGATCAGAGTGGGACAGCAGCTTGATGACATCCCTCATCCTCCCCCCATTACCCCACGACCCCCCCACCCTGGTGAGCAGGGCCAGAAACTAAGGGGGGGTCTGCCCTCTTCCTGGGGACAAAGGACATGGGGGTGGCAATGGAGCACCCCTGGCACGGAGCCCCCCCAGCACCTCTCTCTCTCCTATGGGTGCATCCCTGGGGGTTTCTCACCCCTGGGGGGGCTGGGTGCCCCTCCCCGCTTTGGGATGCGCCTTGTGGCATCCCAGGGAAACCCAAGGGGGAGCCTGGCAAGGGGTGACCCCAAAACACCCCCCTGTCCCCCGGCTGGGAGCACCCTTGGGTGCTGCCTACCTTCCCCAAGTGCAGCAGCTGCAGCGCCCTGCTCCGGGCCCGCCGCGGGCCCCCCGGTGCCCGGTCACCCATGGCGGTGACACCGGGGCAGCACTGAGGGCACCAGGGTGGGGACAGCCGTGGGGACACCACGAGGCTCCGGTGACGCCGCCGGTGCCCGAGCCGGGCCCTGCACCCACCGCGCTTCCTGCCAGAGTTCGGGGAGCGGAAGAGACGCCCAGGGCGGAACTGGCTTCTCTTGGGGTTGTTGTCACCCGTAGCCCACAACCTGCCACTCGCTCTGGCAAAGGTCAACCAACCGAGCAGGAATTGCTCCAGGATGATGCTGAGCAGGAATTGCACTGGGATGATTTTGGGCAGCCCATCTGGTGTCACACTCCTCAAATGGAAGCTGATCTGGAGCTGCTGTGTCCCCACAACACTGGGATCATCCCATCCCATCCCATCCCATCCCATGGAGTGCAGATGGTGGCAGGACTGAGGACACCATGGTCCTGCCATGCCTGATGCTGGATGGTTTTAGCACTGGTTGGATTTGGGCAGGGAAGGGGAATGCTCCCGTGGTGGCTCTGGGGTTGGGGGCTATGCTGGGTCACCCCCAGAGTGGTTCAGTGGCTTTGGGTGTGCAAAAGGCACAGCTGAGAGCACAAGGTATAAAATGGGGTAAAAATGAGGTGAAAATGGGGTGGGAAATGCGGTGTAAAGCACAGCCCCCTACCACAAATACCCCATTTCCTCCAGCAACTCCCCCAGGTGGCACAATCCCTCCAGCCACCCTTGAAGTGGGGGACACCCAGGCTTGGGTGCCCCAGGTGCTCGGGGACAAGTGGGGGGTGGACAAGGTCGTGGGACCCACCCCTCTGCCGGCACTGTCTCACCCCGGCCCACGTTGGTGGCAGGTGAATGACCGGCGGGGACCCCCACCCTTGGGTGCCCCCCTAGGGGAGGTGCAGCCCAGGGGGTGCTGGGCAGAGCCCTTTGCTACTTACTGGTTGGTTTGGGGTGTCGGGGCGCTGGCCTGTGCCGGGGTGCACCCAGCACCCACTTCGGTCAATGGGTGCTGCGCCCAGGTGAGGCTCCCGCCCCGGCAGGGAGGAGCTGCCGCGCTTCCCTGTTAACCCTTTCTGTCTCTTCTCATCCCAGAACTCTCCGGGAACCTGAGATCACTACAAAACCCCTCTGGGTGACGTCGAGGCCGCTCCAGAGACCACGGGGTTCTGCAGAATAGGGGGCTGAGAGAGCCCAGGGGTGCCCATGAGGGTGGGGGCCGGGGGGGAGGGTGTGCGGGGGGGGTCCCTGTGTGAGGGGGTCCCTCACACCTCCTAAATGGTTAATTCTACAGGTGGGGTCACCTGTAGGTTTGTCCTATGGGGTCATCTTGGTGGGGAGACTTGGGGGGTCCCAGCAGTGGCTGCGGTGCCGGGGTGTCACCTCTCTGTGCTGGGGGTCACAGGACCACGGTGGGGGAACACGGCCACTGAATCAGCCGAGGGGGAGAGGCTCAACACCCCCACCCGTTAAATACACCCCCCCCCCGCCGCCTCCAGCGGAGCTTTTGGGGACATCACTGGGGATGTCACCGTACCTGAGCCGCAGGGCCGGCTCCCGGCCACCTCCTGGCCACGTCCCTATCCTTGCCGGAGGCGCAGAGGGTCTCGGAGCGGCTCTTCCCGAGCGGCCGAGCGTGTCCTGGGGAGTCCCCCCGTGCCCCCATGGCAGCAGTGGCACTGCGAGGTGCTGGTGTCACCCGCGCCAGGTCATCCAGGGAGTGCGAAGGTCTCACAGGCCCAGCGGGGCGCGGGGTCAGCTCCGGGAGGACCCGAAAAGAGCTGAGTGATGGTGGCGAGTCCCTCCTGGGCACCGAGTCCCTCCTGGGCACCGGGCATCCTCCTGCCGGCTCCCCCGGCTCGACGGCGCCGATGAACCGATACTCGTAGGCTGGCGGGGGCTGAGGGACGAGCGCGGCCGGTTCTGTCGCAGCATGTCCCGATGGTGGGGGGTCCAGCGGGGCTGGGGCGGCGATGGGCGGCAGCTCCTTGACGTACTGGGCCGGGATGTAGAAGGGCCGCGCGTCCCCGCTCCTGCGGACGTGCCACCAGTGCGGGTTGGTGCGTTTGAGCAGGACATAGCGCTCGTTGGGTTTGATGGACACCAAGGTGCCGTCCTTGGCGCGGTACTCGAAGCCGTACTCCACCAGCACCAGCGCCTCCTCCGCCGGTTCCGCCGCCTCCATGGCCTCCCCGCACCTCCGCCTGCGGGACACGGGGCAGGGGAAGGGTGAGGGCAGCGCCCAACCTCTGCTGGAGCGAGAATCCCCCAGCTCAGCTCCCTCGGGGTCCCCCCTGAGCTGCAGTTTTTTCGCAAACCGCCCGAACCTGCTGGAACACCCTTGGGGTCACATCCTTGCCACCATGCCCGACACCCCAAAGCCAGCGAGTCCCAAGGGGCTGCGGCCCCACTCCCCAAACCCGCGGTGCCCGAGCTCCGCTCTCACCTGCGCGCCCCCGGTGCCGCTCGTGCCCGCGCCGGGCCGGTCCCGACCCGCCCGGTTTCCGCCGCCGCCTCGATGAGAGACGGGGCCGGGCTCCGGCGGGGTGAATGCCCGGCCCCAGCTGAAGCTCCGCGTCCTGTCCCCTCGGCGGGCGGCCGGGGACGGTGGCGGAGGGGACCCGCTGCCGCCCGACGAGGAAACGGCTCCTCGGGAGGTTCCTGCCGCAGGAAGGGCCCAGCCCCGCTGCTGCCGGATCTGGCACGGCCTCCCCGGGCAGTGGGATGGGGACCCCATTAGGGGGGCCCCGTGGGAGCTGCCCTGCCCTAGGTTTTGTCCCCACGCACCCCAGGGAAGGGGTCCTCCAAGCACATGAGTGGTGGGGCAAGCAACAACAGGAGAAGCTGACACCAGGAGCAGTCGGGAAGGAAAATGGGGCAGGGAAAATGGGGAAGGGACCCCCAACCGCTTGCCCAAGTGAAACCCTGGAGGATGGGCAAGAAGGACAGGGGATGGGCAGGGAGGACAGAGGATAGAGGACAAGGGACAGGCAGCATCCCCATTCCCAATCCTCTTCCCACAAACACTGTGTCAGGTTCAAACTGTGATGATGTCCCACTGTAGAGAAGTAAACTCAGAAATTGCTTCACTTGTTGTTAAATAGACTTTAATTATCTTTGTGTGGGAAGGGGTTAAAGGAGAATAAAATTTCTCCCGAGGATGAGCAGCCAGGAGGAGCGGCCTGGCTCTCCCTGGCTCTCCCCGGAGGCCACGGCCCTGGCTGGGCTGTCTGAGTGGGAGATGCTCGGGACACCCACGGTCCCCATGGGCATGCAGGTCCCTAAAGGCACAAGTGTCACTTTGTCCCCTCCCTGCGTGGCTCTACCACCCAGAGCAGCCTAGTTGTGCAAAACCCCCATGTAAAAAAATACCAGTTTTCAGTATACTAAAAAACTAGAGCTTTGATCAACGTCAGTTCTTCACACCCTTGATTGGAATTCTGGGATGACACCCTGAAGAGCCGCAGGGTTCCACTGCAAGGGGATATTGGCACCAGGAGGGTGACAGGGAACAGCACCCGGTTAGTGTGAAGGGGGATGGATTTTTCCAGCCCCTTTCTTTAGCCCTGGGTGGGCAGAAGGTCCCTCCAGGGGCAGGAGCACCCACCCCACACTGTCCCTGTTCCCAGGGCAGGATGGGCTCTCAGGCAGGGGGCTCTGCTCTCTCCCTCCTGCCATCCCCACTGCGAGGGTAGTGTCGAGGTAAGTGCCAGGCTACAGGCTGGGCTCTGCGCTGGCCTCCAGCTGCCGCTGGTACCGCTGCCGCCGCTCGCAGCGTGGGCACGCCGGGGCCCGGGCGTGGCAGTCCCGGTGGAAGACAGTTTTGCATTCACTGCACCTGGGAAAAGAAGGAAAAAATGAAACTCTCTGTGTTGGTAACGTCAGGACAAAGACTAAACTTCCCCACTGAACAGGGGACACTTCCCTGTCCTGGTGTGGTTTGAGCAGTCGCTGAGCAGAGCCCCAGCCCCGGCTCAGGAGGAACCTTGAGAGCAGGAGCAGCAGCTGCTCAAGTGGAACATCCACCCCAGCAGCTCCTCACCCACCCCAGCAGCTCCTCACCCACCCCAGCAGCTCCTCACCCACCCCAGCAGTTCTGAGTGCAGCAGCTGGGCCGGAAGGAGCACAGTGGGCGCTGCCAATGTGTGAGAGAGATGGGAGTGAGGTTTGAGCTGAGGTTTGTGCCCTGCTCTCCCAGCACTGAGTGCAGTTCAAGGGTGTGACAACACCCCCTACACAACAAACCCTGTGACACCAAACCCCAGACATCCACCCTTGATTCACTGATCTCTTGACACAATCTTGTGACACCAACCCCTGACAGTGATCCCTCATCACCAAACCCTGTGACAGCATCTCTGTTGGGGACCCTCTGCTTTCCATAGCTGGGGTGCAGACCCCCCCCCCGACAGCAGGGCCCAGCAGAAACATCCCTGCTACAAGGGCTGAGATCAGTTTTTGGGTTGTGATCCCCAGCTCCTCAGTGGCAGTAAAATGTGGCTCAGCCACATGCCAGCAGGGCAGCCAGATTTATCTTCGCTGTGCAAATACCTGATGTACAATCCATGTGTGAACAGCACGAAACACCTTAATTCCCCAAAAGATACGTGGGACAGAGGCAGAAAACACCCGGCAGCGCCAGGAAAAGGACCACAGCAAATCAGCTGGGGCGAAATCCTGCTCTGGAGAGGAGCTGCAAACCCTGACTCGGGACAGGGAAAGGCTTGTGCATGGATAGGCTGGAGCGGCTGCTCTCCATGTGTGAGGGGATTTGGGAAGTTTTACCCAGTGTGGTTCCAAGAGAGAATCGGGATCTCCTGCCTCTAGCTGCCCCCGAGCTCTGGAGCAGGAGAGGGTCCTGCTCTGGCAGGGTCATTGTTTGAGGCGTTGCAGACACATCCTGCAGGAGTGCCGGCCTGACCCGGCGGCCCGGGCCGGGCAGAGGGGCAGGAAGCCGCGTTCAGCTCCCCGAGGATGTCGGCTGAGCCGCTTTCCTGCACAGCCTCCTCCGTCAGGGTGAGAAAGAAAGACGTCAACAAACTTCAGAGCTCGGCTCCACAGGACACGAGACCTCCGGCCGGCCGCCAGCCAGCTCAGCCCTGCGTGCCAGCACTTTCCAGAGCCCGGCTGCTCTTTTTCCAGGGAAAATCAGTCCCCTGGGGATGTTGTTGTCCTTGGTAATGAGCTCAGTGCAGCGCTGCTCCTCCTCCACGGAAATACTCGTAGCCCTGGGACACGCGGAGCACCCACGGATCCCGGTATCTGTGGCGTTTTCTGCAGGTTCTGGGTATTGCTGCTCACTTTAAGGGATTGCCAGGCAAAGTGAGACCACGCAGCCCATGAGCCTGTGAAATCTCTCTGCCAGGATTGTGCTCAATGCCAAATAGGTTAAGACAGAACAAGAGGAAACGGCCTCAAGTTGCCTCAGGGGAGGTTTAGGTTGGATATTATGGAAAATTTCTTCACTGAAACAATTCTCCAACTCTGACAGAGGCTGCCCAGGCAAGTGGTGGAGTCACCATCCCTGCAGGGATTTAAAAGCCCTGTGGATGTGGTACCTGAGGACATGGGTCAGTGGTGGCCTTGGCAGTCCTGGGGGAACTGGACTCTGTGGTCTTACAAGGCTTTTCTAACATGAACGATTCCACAATTCTGTGGCATAACCAGGGGTATGTGGATCTCTCCACCTACAATGGAGCAGGCTCCTGGGCTGGAAGGGTTTGACTTCTTCAGCAAACCCTGATGGTGGTGGGGATAAGAGCTCCCCTCTAGCACCATCCCCATCCTGATTCCAACTTCTGTCCAGCTGCTGCACCCTGACCCACAGCTGACCCCACTGCAGGACAGGTACCTCTACCTGTGGGGAATGGAAGCTCCGTGGGTAGGGGAAAACTCCAGTGAGAGCCAGTATCACTCCTTTCCTGCTGGGAACATCCTCAGCCTCTCCCAGCACATCCACAGTGCTGCCCCCCATCCACCTCTGCTCTCAGAGCAGCTGTGGCTGCCCTGGAAGTGTCCAAGGCCAGCTTGGACAGGACTTGGAAGGTGTTCCTGCCCATAGCACTGGATGGGCTTTAAGGTCCCTCCAACACACACCATTCCAGCAGTCTGTGAAATCTGTGTCCATGTGTCTGTCCTTCCTTCCACGGCTGTAGAGGGAAGCAAGCCCACTGCTGCTTCCCCTTCCCTCCTGCAGCCCCTACAAGGGGTCAGACTGACCCTGAGTTGGAGAGGCACTGGCCAGGTGAGCAAGACAGGGACATGCAGAACCTTCCTCCTCCTCCTCCTCCCTCCAGCCCCTTGTCTGCCCTGGCACCCAGCACCCAGCAGGGCCTTTCCAGGTTGACAGGAAGGTGCTGGTGGCTCTGCATCTTCAGTCTGCAAAGCCACCTCTCTTGGTGACATCTTGGATCTCTGAGGATGGTGTGCTCTTGCCCCAAACAGCCTGGATTTGGTCTGGAGCATCCTGGAGCTGATGGGTTCCATGAGGACGTGGATACGAAGACGTGGGCACTGTAAGGATGAGTCCCACAAGGATAGGGGAAGCACAAGGACATGGGCACCACGAGGATGTGGCTCCCACAAGAACGTGGGAGATGAAGACAGGGCTCCCATGAGGACATGGGCACCATGAGGATGCAACTCCCACAAGGCTGCAGGCATCATGAGTATGCACAACCACCTCAGAGTCATTTCCAGTTCCCCACGTGCCTTGGAGGTGGGGTCTGTGAACAGAGCTCAGGGGTAGGTTGGGGCTCCTGGCGTAAGGCAGCTGCACCCTTGGGTGTCCTGGCTGCAGTGGGACGGGGCAGAGGTGGCTCACTCACCTGGTGGTAGTGTCGAACTCGAAGGGGAAGATGATGTTGCTGCTGTTGCAGATCTGGCAGATGAAGCCGCGCTGGGTGCACAGGTCGCAGCTGTAGACGTGGTGGGATGCAAACTGCAGCAGCGACTGCAGGAAGGTCTCAAAGGTGCCATCAGCAATCTGGGGGGACACAGGGGTCAGTGCTCCTGGAGCCCGGCCCCGGCGGGGTTTGCTGTGTCACACCCGTTCTTTGGGCTGCCCCTCAAGGCAGGGCCTGTCCTCCAAAACACCCCCAACCTGTCCTCCAAAACAACCCCCAGCCTGTCCCCCAAAACAACCCCCAGCCTGTCCCCCAAAACACCCCCCAGCCTGTCCCCCAAAACAACCCCCAACCTGTCCTCCAAAACACCCCCCAGCCTGTCCTCCAAAACACCCCCCAGCCCACAAGCCTGTGGTGCAAAGGGACCCCAGACTGCTGAGAGCAGCACCCACAACCTGCCAGGATGGGGCTCCCAGCTGGGGTATCACTGAAAAACCCAACTGCTGGGAACCTCTTGCTGAAGGAGCAGCACGTGGTATCCCCATGGACACTGGGGTGTTTTCAACTGGGTCAGGGGGCTAGGAGCAATCTGGTCTAGTGGGAGGTGGAACTGGATGGCAGGGGGTGGGTCTGGGTGGTCTTTAAGGTCCCTTCCAACCCAAACCATTCTATGACCATACACAGCTCTCACCTGCCTCAGATCAGCCACGCTGTATTTGTGGGGACACTCCAGGAGGTAATGCCTGTGATCAAGCCTGCAAAGAAGCACAGAGAGGAAGGGGGTAGATGGTCTCCACAACATCTCCAAGAGCTTTGGAGCAAGGAGAAACCTGGATGAAGCAGCCTTTTAAAGTGAATTACTGCAGAGCCCATTTTCACATCCCAAATCCTGCCACTGGAAATCATGTGAAAGCATTTCAAAGGCGGGGGGGAAGAAAATAAATATCTCATCTATTTTGCCAGGTGTTTCCTGTCCAGCCAGAAGCTTCTCGGCCAGGAAGGTGTTTCCTGAGTCACAGCTCATTGTGCTGACCCAGCCAACAGATGGATAACTCCTTAGAGCAGATGATATGGAGGGAAAAACCAGCCTGAGCCTTGGCAGAACTGCTTCCTGCTCCCATGATGAGTGAGGAGGGGAACCAGGAGAACACTGGGTGCCAAGAGAAGGGGAATGTTCTCCCCAGGAGGGACCTCACCGCTTGCTGAGCTCCTTCAGGGCGCCGCTGCGGCACATGATGAGATAATCCCCCAGGAGCTTCAGCTGCTCCCGGCTGCGCAGGATCTGCCGCATCCTCTCCACGTGCTCGTAGAGACTCTCGTTGACCAGCCTCAGGTCGATCAGCGGCTGGTTTCGGATCTGCGTGAGGAACTTCAGGGCCTGCTTGCACACCTGGAGCACAGAGAGAGGGGACAGGTGGGCACAGACCATGGAGCAGCCCCGGAGCTCGGAGGGAGGTTTGGACTGAGCACTTCCAGCTCAGGGAATGCCCAGATGGAGCCTGAGGAACAGATGCTGGAGCGTTTCCCTGTCCCAGCGTGGAGGCAGCAGGACTCACCCCCCGTTTGGTCAGATCCCAGTTGTGGATGAGGCGGGAGGGGATGACGGTCTCCTCGTCCCGGTGGCAGCTGTCGCAGTAGTAGAGGCCGGAGAAGGAGCAGAGCTTGGGCCTGGCGAAGGAGAAGCCGATCTGCCGGGAGCAGCCTGCGGGAGCAGGGGGTGAGAGGGAACTGCTGCCCACAGCCTCTGCCCACAGCCTCTGCCCACCGCTGCCAGATGGGGGAGAAACTTTTGGCAGCATGGAATTGAGCAATAAAGTTTTGGGAAACGGTAGGAACCACCTAAAGCACCTGTAGGATGTTCAGTGTGAGGCCTCCAGCCCCCTCCTCACAGATTTAAGCCTATGATGGTTCAACAGTTCCTGCTTCACTTTTTCTCCATGAAAAGGAGGCTGAACTATCTGTAAACCCACTTTTATCCATCAAGTGGTTTAATTGTTTGGGGTTTTTTTTTTAGGAAAAGTGAATTCTGGCAATATCCCAGTGATTTAGGGAAGAATCTAAATCCCACTTGCTGTCCCATCACCTCCACCAGTAGCTTGGCACTATTTTACCTTCACTCAGCCCTTTTCTTTTCTGCTGATGTCACAGGGTACCAAAATCTCATCTGCAAGGGATGAGATCAGGATGCATTAACCCAAATCCACCTTTATTATAGCAGTAAGGAACCCTTCTTGGCTTGCCTACCCCCATCCATTGCACTCTGGAATAGCTAGAGCTCATCCCCCCAAAATATTAATGGAGATCATGCGTTGCTTCCTGAATTAATAAGAAAAACCTTATTGCTCATTACTCTGAGATGGAAGGGAACACATTGGGTGTCAGGCTGGAAGGGGGTGGGGGGGGGGGGTTGAAAGCAGGGCAGGCAGATCCCTAAAGAAAACCTACACAGAAAAACTGGGAATTTTTGGCTTGTGGCTTCCAGCTGTGGCGGGGTGGAAGATGCAGGACAGAGCCTGGAAGGGAAGGCAGAGACCAATAGACCAGAAAAAAAAATTAAAAAATTAGAGAGATTAAAAGAAAAATCCCAACCTGCTGGAGGGTAAAAGAAATATAATTGAAACAGGAGAGAAATCTGAAGTTTAATTAACTTAGCAAAGTAAAGAGCAAATTACAGCTCTTGTGAAGGTCAGTGAAGGTGCCACCAAAATCTCCCCGTGTGCCGAGAGGCATCAGGGGAAGGGTAAATGATTGTTTTGCAAAATCAGCCTGTCACACCCATGGCAATCCCTGCTCCCGTGCTGCCTTACTGGAAAAACTGCTCCAGATTGCACTTTCCCCACAGGCTGGCGCCTCAAAATGCCCAGGAAGAGAGTCCTAAGTTTCCTGATCTACCTAAGGTTGCTTCAACCCCAGTTTCCCACTGTCTGTACCAAAAGTATCTTAAATGGGAGCCCAGTAACATCCCAGTAGGACGGGGCTGGGGTGGGATGGGGACTCAGCATGGGGGGCTCACCCTGTGCCCACAGGACACCAAAAGTGCCCCTGAATGGGACATGAAGCCCCACCAAGGAGATCTTGTGCTGCTGGGATTCCTGGGAAAACACAGAAGCTGCAACTGCCCCGTCCCTAGGGGTGCCCAAGACCAGCTTGGACGGAGTTTGGAGCACCCTGCGATAGTGGAAGGTGTCCCTGCCCATTGCAGGGGGTGGCACTGGGTGGGCTTTAGGGTCCTTCCAACCCAAACCATTCCATGGTTCTGTACCTGCACAGATGAAGCTCTGCGAGTCCAGGCCCTTCTCCATGGGGATGGCCACCAGGTACTGCAACAAGAAGCCATTTTCCTTCACAATGTTCTTCAGGACCACCTGGGAGTGCCCATCCAAGCTGCCCCCCAGGGTCAGCGCCTCCTCAGCAGTCTCCAGGTAGGACATGAGCACCTCTCGGACCAGCTCCCGCCACGAGGCCGCCTCCTCCGCGTTCTCAGCCTGCAGCTTCAGCACAGCCTTGGAGGTGATCACCTTGAAGAAGGAGGGTCCCCCCAGGCTGGTGTCTGGAAGGATGTCCTGGATGGTCTCTATGCCGTAACTGTTGCTTAAAATTTTGTCATTGTTTCTTATTTTAAAGCACTTCAGAGTTTCTAGAGACAGGGAAAAAATAAACGGGACCCAAGTTTTGTCCACGTCCATGTACAGAACAGCCTCTTTGATCGCATCCAGCTCTGCTTCTGGAGCTGCAGTCCAGTCCAAGCTGCTCCCAGGCACATCACTGTACTGGAGAGCACTGGAATCGCCCTGGATGGGCTGGGCTTCGCCTCCATCCTCGGAACACTCCAGAGTCTCCCAGTCCTCCTCCTCCAGCTGCGGCCGGCACTTGCGCAGGGCCTCACGGATCCTGTCCAGCCAGTCCTCTGCCTCGTCCCGGGAAGGGGCTCGGAGGAAGAGCTTTTTCCCCAGGAAAACCAGCTCGAAGCGGCCGTCCGAGTGGGTGAGCGCCAGGGATTCGCAGCGCAGCAGGGAGAAGGTCTCCACGCAGATCTGCTCCTCGTGGTCCAGGAAGAGCCGCAGCTCCAGCGGGGACAGCTCGCAGGAAAACTCCTTCCAAATCCCCATGGCTCCTCGCCGCTCCAGGCTGCCCAGCTTCAGCAGCCCGCGGAAAGGGTTGGAAAGACCTCGGGAAAGAGATGGCCCAGTTTGAATGAGAGAGGGGAAGCTAGTGGGGAGAGAAAAGCCAAGAGGGGCTCAAAGCAAGCACCCAGAGGCGTGGCAGGGGTGAGAGACAGTGCTGGTACGATGTGAGCTGGGGCAGGAGCTGATGGGACCTTCGTCTCCATCGCTGTCCATCTGCATTTGGGTTTCTGTCCCCTGCATTTGGGTTTTGAGGCTGGGAACAAGTGGGATAAAGGAAAGGTGTTCCACAGGGTGTACAGACTCTCTCCCACTAAAATGCTTCCCACCAGAGCTTCCCTGGGCTCAGCAATGCCTTGGGAAGCTGCTCCACTGCCTTCTGTAGCTCCCACCAGCCAAGGGCTCTCCCCAGACAGCCCATCCCCATCTGGAGCAGCCCCCAGCACGAGGTGGCACGTACCCATCTGTCTGCGGTGCACCACGCTGAAGCCCTTCTGCTCCCGCTCTGGGGACATTTTGGGCTTCCCAGTGTCCGAGGGTGGCACTGAGAGCCTCTCCAAGTCCAGAGCACTGATGAGCCCTGGGGCTGGCCCCTCGTTGTCCCCCTCTGGCCCGAAGCCGTTGGTGTCAGCCGTGCTCCTGCTGCTCTCTCCCGGGGAAGGTCTGTAGAAATCATCTTCTGAGATCCAGCTCTTCTGTTAAAAAAGAAAATATTCATCAAACATGCTGTGCCCCTCAAACACATGCATCCACAGCAACCCCTCCTCAGGGGCTGCTCCTGCGTAGCCCAAATCCCAGGCACTGATGTGTGGATTTAATGGAAAGTGTCCCTGCCCATGGCAGGAGGTTGGGAATGAGATGAATTTTAAGGTCCCTTCCTCCCCAAACCATTCCATGACTGTCTGATTTCCTGCTGGCCATTCCCAGGTGGATGGCTCCCCTGCTCCCTTCAATCAGAGAATGATCCATGGAACTGTGTCAACAGTTGGAAAATACCAGGATTGTATTCTGGTGGGAAAATGAATTCAAAAATCGATCTGTTATCTCCCTCTAAAATCACTGTGGAAGGAGAGCACATTCCCTGCAGTGACCACGGGTCCATGGAGTTTTACTGATGGGGGTGAAATTCCAGCCCTGCCATGAAAGGGCACAAGCTGGAGCAGCAGCACCAAGAAGAACAGAGATGGGGAGAGGCAAAGAGATGTCCAGGGTGAAACAGAAACCTACTGCTCACAATGGGATGCTACAGGGGCCTGGGCTGTGCAGGGGAAAAATAAGGCAGGGAAAGCAGAAGAAGCCTCTGTCTGCATGTGCCAGGAGGGGATGATGAGATCCATGAGCTGAAAAAAATGTGGCTGTAGCTTCTCCAGGAGCTTTTCTGGTTACAAGAATCCCAGAATCATTAAGGCAGAAAAGCCCTTCGAGTCCCACCTGTGCCAAATCACCACCGTGGTAGCCAGACCAGGGCACTGGGTGCTATGTCCAGGCATTCTTTGGACACCTTCAGGGATGGGGACTCCACCACTCCCCTGAGCACCCTTTCAGTGAAGAAATTCCTCCTGAAAGTAGCAAGGTTCTGGGAAAAGATCCCTGAGCAAACACCAGGAGAAAGAAACAACCCAGCTCAGTGCCCTGGCACAAGGGAATCAGCATTCCTAGACCCTTCCTGGGCTGCATCCCAACAGGAATGTCCTTTCAACTCCCCTCTGCAGCCTCCCAAGTGCCTTTTATTTTGAATAACAACTGAAGTGACAGAAGAGCTGTCACCACCCTTGGGGAGGATCACGGGTGGCAACTCCTGGATTACTCCTGGGGCAGGAATGCAGGTTGCTCCATGAGTCATGGAGAGCAGGGGGAATTTCCTGTTGACACAGTATGTTATACATAGATTAGGTCAAACTGGCTCTGGGCCACGAGGAAGCAGCGGAAATGGGATAAGCGGGAGGGAACCGAGAGGAGCAGAGAGCAAAAGGAGAAATGGTCTGGGGGGTGTGAGGTACATCCTACCCTCAGCAGCACGACAAGGATGGGAACCAGCATGGAAACAATGGGAAGCAGGACGGAACTGTCAGTAATAGACAGAGGACAGGGCTGTTCAAAGAGTTTCTGAAAAGCAGAGGCCAGTGGATGCAGATCAGCTCCTCCCGGTGGCAGCAGGGGAAATCGAGCAACACCCGGGAATGCCATCCCACTCTGGGAACAGATGTGCTGCAGGAGGATTTCCCCACTGGGAAACCAGTTTGTTTCCTGTCCAGTCAACCCTTTTCCCTCCTCTTACATGGACCATAAATGAAGAAAATTCCCCATGAGAAACTTGACTCTGGAACTGTTTTATCACTTGCACACAGACTACAGCCAGATTTGTGCAAGAGCTCACCCCTCTCCAGATAACCCTAACAAACCCAAAACTTCCTGCAGCAGCTGCTCCTGGAGAGGGATGACTGACAGGCCAGGCAGGGTTTCAAAAGCTTTGGTGCCTCTTTCACCAGGGAACACAGACTTTGATCCAGTTTTTCCTGAGGCAGCTGCATGGCCACAGATCTGTGGGGTGGGAATCATCACTGGTAACCAAATGGGAGCAGCATGGAAGATGGGAGTTTGGAGAAATCTATCCATGGAAGTGTCCAAGGCCAAGTTGGATGGGGCTTGGAGCAACCTGGTCTAGCAGAAGATATCCCTGCCCATGGCAGGGGGTGGAACTGGATGAACTTTAAGTCCCTTCCAACCCAAGCCATTCTGTGATTCCCTGATCCTAGAAAAGCAGTGCCTACTGGAGCTGTCCCCAGTTTCATTTCCCGTTACCATAGGATACAAACCCGAGGAGATGGGAAGAGAGGGAGCTGTAGCACCTACCGGACACCCCAGCAGGGGAGAGAGCAGGTGCTGGGCCGTGGGGCTGCGGACAGCCTGGCTCCCCTCGCTGCCACTGTTTGCTCTGCCCGGACCGTCCCGAGGGGTCGTGGCTCTGGAGGTGCTGCTGGCATCTCTGTCCCCATGGCCGGGGGGCGTGGGGGCTCCCGGCCCAGCAGAGATGTCCCTGCTGGGGGGAGGCTCCTGCTGCGCTCCGTGGGATGGTGCTGGGTGGGCAGGTGATGCCAGGGGGCCTGGGGGTGGCTGGGGGGAGCAGCCCAGCATGCTGGGGAGCAGCCGTCCCTCTGGGGCATCTGGGCCTGGCCTGGCCTTGCTGAACTCGGACAACACCCTTGAAATGGAAAAGTGATCGGTTTGAAGGCAGCTCAATAACCAAAAACCTATAAACCCCCGCCCCGTTACTGCAAGTTGTAAGCATGTAAAAAAGGTTCAGTGTCACTGCTGGCCTCTGTGGGATGGCAGCACGGTACAGCTGGAAAAACCCAGTGATGCCAACAGAAAAATGTGAGATTTGTGCCCCACAGAGCAACACCAGCCCCATGGCATGGAGCAGGACTCTGCCTGTGAAGGGAGCATTTTCCAATTACACCCATGAATGGGGTTTAGTTTGGTGGATGGAGAGACAGCACTGGATGGCCCCCACAGCCCCAGCCCCATGTACAGCTCCTGGACATGAATCCAGCCTTGGATCATATGCCAAATTCCAACTGTTTTCATTAATGAGCACTTAACAGTGGAGCCTGGCCAGAGGATTGGCTGTTCCCGTGGTCCCACTCCTCTGCCAGCCCCAGAATTAAACCAGCCCAAGATTAAAACTCAAAGGAGTGTCTCCATCACGAGTTTAATCCAATCAAGGCAGGTTCTTCCAGGATCACTGGAAGATGCAAAATCTTGGAAGCAGGGAATGATGCTCATAGATGAGGAAGCACAGTCTGCAGCTGCAACTCTTTCCTGAGGACTGGAAAGAGGCATCATTCCGAGCCTTAGCTCCCTCAGAGTCACACTTTAAAGGTGACAGGCAAAATATTTACAGATTACTCAGAGCTTATATAACCCTGGAAATCTTTGTGCTAGATGCTTGGCAGGGATAAATCACAATGATGACAAACCAACAACCTCCTGCTCTGAATGGTTTGCCGAAGTTGCAAATTACAACCCATCCCTGTGACCAAACTCATTTCTTCCCCCCTGTGGAAAGCCCTGGAGCACCCCCCAGTGTACGCCAGGAAGATGTGACACTCCTGAAACCAGAGAGCAGCATTTTTCTGACGTTTCTACCCTGGTAAAGAGGACACACACACACACTTCAGTGGCTATGAGCTCATCTGCAGCGGCAGCAGGGTCTCAACAAGCCATGTGGAGCGGTTCGTGCAAAGAACAAAAGCTCCTTCCAGAAGGGAAAAAGAGCTTGTTAAAGGCAAACAAGGAGAAAGACTTCCTGCCTATAAAGAGAAAATAACAAGAGCCTAGAGAGGGTCAAAAACCCCTTTGGAGAGGAAATGTGGGCAGAGACTCACTCCTGCAGGGACCTGTCCAGCTCCTCGGCGGTGGCCGTGCCCAGGTCGGAGTCGCAGGACAGCGGCTCCTCGCTGCGCTCGGGGCTGCGGGCGCACGGCGCTGGGGGGAGGCTGTCGGAGCCCAGGCTGGACGAGAGCTGGGACGAGCTCGTGGTGTTCAGGCTGAGCGAGGACGACGTGAGCTTGATCTTGCTGCTGGCTTTGCCAATGGGCAGGACAGGGGCTTGGATCTCGATCTCATCCGACCCCGAGGATTGGGAGATGGAGCCCAGCGATGCTTTCCTGCGGGGTTCAGAGGATGTGAGGGGCTCCAGCAGCTCAGACATGGGACACAGACCCGACAGGGACAGCGGGGTGACGGTCCACTCGTTCAGAACTGCTGACTTATAGGAGAGCTCGAAGGTTAAGGATGATAAACCCTGCAAGTAGCAGAGCAGAAACTCGCACTCCTCGGTGTCCAGGAGCACAGCAGGGGCTTGGTAGTACTCGTGCAGCCTGGCCTGGTCCTGCAGCAGCAGCTTCAGGTAACACTCCATGAGGCCGTCGTTGAGCGCCAGCCGCAGCCAGGCCCGGCAGCGCCCCACGTCCGTGTTGATAAACATCAGCTGTTCCAGCTCCGAGACAATATTCCTGGGAAAGGAGGAAAAAGGACAGAACAGGAGTGAGTGGCTCTGTTTTAGTCCATCACAGGGTGCAGGAAGGCCTTCATCAGACACTGCCCAACCTGCTCTGCTTTAGGGAGTTCAGGGGTTGGGATAAAACCGGCTGTGGAAAATCTCTCTCCTTCATGGAAAGTGTGGTTTTCCATGGAGGGAGATGGCTCCTCAATGGCCCAAACTAAATATGTTGGTAAGAACCCCAGGCAGCCCTGTGGTGCTGCTGGCTGACCATCCTCTCTCTGACTGGAGGCATCTTCCATTTGTTGCATTGAATGACACAGAGAATTCCTTCTGTCCTTGTGTATTTGTGGGATTTGTGCTGGCTGGATCATCCTTGGTGACAACCATGTGTCTAAATTCTCACTTCAAACTCAAAAGCAGTCAAAACACAGTGAAAAGCGTTTTGGCAGCCCCAAAAAACCAACCTGACTGGGGTTGAACTCAAATAATGCCAGACTCTGGATTCAGCTCTTCTTCCCTAAAATCCAACAGCGACACCATTCTCCCTGATCCTCCCTGTTCCCAGCTCATCACACACCTCAAAAACCAGAGCAAAGGTTTTGTAAGACTTCTTTCCTAATCTGTCTGTCAAGAACAGAAGAAAAAACCTTCAAAGGTCACAAAAATATCCCCCATAGCATGTGAAAGAGTTATTTTAATCCACTCTTTCATAATTCAGGAGTCGGTGATGGAGCTGGATGAGGCTTTCAGAACAATTTGTGTGGGCTGTTATTTACTGTGTGTGAACTAGACTTAGGGAGTGGCTTAGAAAACCCCAGTAAACAGTGATCACTCAGGAGAGACCTCCTTAAAGGCTGGCTGGGACATGGGGAAACAGGGCCAACCAGTTCCAGCAGATCCAGGCCAGGAGAGAGCCCAGATCCCTGTGCTGTTCACAAGCAGCTGCTGCTGGAGACCAGTGTGGTCACTGGGGTTCCACTGGGCCCAGAAATCCAGCCTGGCACCCAGAAACAAATAAGAAAGGGGTGTGCCTTCAGTTTCAATCCTCAACTTTTTGTGGAAATCAGCACACCCTGAGCAGGGATGTGGGGACTCAGCCCCTCTTAGCACTGCAGGGGCTTCACTGCTACTTCCATCTCCCAGGGTCCTGAGCAGGGACCCCAAAGCCCCTTGAGAGCACGCCTCCCTGCAGCTGAGAGGACTGAGCACACAGATGGGGTAGAGACATATTTGTCCATCGAGCCATGCTCCTCATTCCCTGAATCTGACAGCACCAAAAGAAGGGACAAACCTGAGCACGTGAATCCCTGCCAGCAGCACAAGCCACTCACCGATGCGTGATGCTCTTCAGCAGGCCCCAAAAGACTGGCTGGGGAAGGGGGCCTCGACCCCCTGATTTCTTCCCTTTCCCCCCACTCTCTGCCTTGATGTGCTTTGCCTTCAGCCCGTGCACAAACACAGCTTCCAGGGCACTGCAGAGCGTGTTGGCATTGCTGTCATCACTGGTGACCACGGCATCCGAGCTCACATACTGCTTCTGCAGAGCCTTGATGGCATTCACCAGTTGCTTCTTGATCAGCTGCAAGACAGGAGGTGCAGGTTTGGATTATAAAAGTGAAAATATCAGGAAGGATTTAATGTAAAAAAGCTCAAAAAAACTGAGGCTTATCCACAGTGAAGCACCATGTGACTCCTGCCTCATCCTCACTCTTTGGAGCAGCTGAACTGGTCAAGCTGGAGACTCACACTCCTGTCATCTAGCTTATTTTGTTAAAAAAAAAAAATTATGCAATTTTAGCTGATATTTCAGAACTGAGGTTGGCTTTAGAGTGCGTGGTGCTTCCTCTGCAGACAAGAAATGGCTTAAGGGGGAATTAAGCGCTTTCCCCCAGGCACTCTCTAGGGGGAAACATGAGGAGTAAGTGTGGGTTAGAAAGGAGAAACTCAGAGGAGGGAATGGATCCCCTGAGCTCGTGCAGGTCAGCCCAAGCAGCATGTGACATGTGACACGGGGCCACCAGCAGAAATCAAAGCCATCGACCTCACTGGCTGTGCTGGGTAAACACTCAGGGGACAGCCCCAAAACAGCGGGGCTTGGAAGGACATCAGGGTTCAGCTGCTGCTCTCAGAGAGACTCAGTGGGTTCTGGGATGTGGGAATTTTGCCTTCCAGCAGCTTTACTTCCTCTTCCACCAGTCAAAAGCAGCAAGTTTGTTGAATTTAACAATTTCATGCCAGTGAAGAAGATTTTCCCTAAAGCAACTGAGCCTAGATATGTTGACCAATCTTATTTTAAATCAAGGTTGTGCTTCCCAGCGGGCACTTAGATAACAAATTCCTCCTTGAATTCCAACCAAACAATCCATGTTTCAGCACCATGCAGCATTCCCAGCAAATGCTGAATGTTCCCTGAGCAGGGCTCTGCAGATTTTGACTCCAGCCTGGGTTGGCTGCACAAACCCATATTAAATTTCCAGCCTGGGGTATTTTTTTCAGCATCTAAATAAGATTACCAGCAGCTGTAGCTCAAGGACAACAGCCAGGGGAGTGCGTCCCTTATTTGGGGTGCTGTTTTCCAGCTTTTTCAGCTGCCTCCCAGATCTGCTGCTCCATGGAAGGAGCACTGAGGGCTGAGAAGAATAAAGAGTGCAGATGATTTTGTCAGTCACGCATGGATTCATCCATGGGAGGAAAAAAATACTTGGGTTTAACTGTTGATGTTGGACTTTGGATTCATCCTAATCCCAGCTGGCAGTACCCACATGTCCCACCTGTCCCCAGCAGTGCCTGGAGTTGCACTGGGAGCTGTCTGGGGAGCACTGAGGGCTCTGGCTCACCTGGGTGGCTTCCTTGGGGTCCTCGGGGTGGCTGGAATGCATCTCTGCTGCTGCCGCTCCCCGCGCTGCCTTCACATGTCACCTGTGGGACAAGGAGAGCATGGCTGAGCACCCAGGGGTGCCACCCCACTCATCTGCCAGGGGAAGGGCTCCTGGTGCCACCCACAAGGGATGGTTCCTGCCCTGAGGCATTCTGCAGGTGCTCATGGCCAGGACACTGTGGGATCAGAGCTGGGAGTGACTGACATGGAAAGGTACTGGGATTCCAGGGACAATGCCTGAGGACACTTCCCAGGGACCAGGAGAGTTTCAGGCACAATTGAGCATGGCCAAGAGACCAGGGGGGAGTAATGAACCCCTGTTAGGGGCCCTCAGGCAGGCCTGGTCAGCAGTGCCACAGGTACAGCCAGGAACTGCTCCCCTTGTCCCTTTGTCACCTGGAATGCCTAAGCCTGGAAAAGGCACCCAAAATCCAAGTGGGAGTGGCATTAGGTGGCCTGGACAAGGGATGCCACCCCCCAGCAGAGCCTGGGGAAAGGTGGCAGCAGTTCAGCTCTCTGTCACATGCCAGAGGAGTGATGCTGCTCCAAACCCAGCTGGGACAGCACAGACCTGTCTGGGGAGATGGGAAAGAATCATGGAATGCCAGGATGGTTTGACTTGGAAAGGACCTTAAAGACCACCCAGTTTCACCCCCTGCCATGGTATGGACACCTTCCACTGTCCCAGGTTGATCCAAGCCCCATCCAGCCTGGTCCTTTGACATTCCCAGGGACTCAGAGGCAGCCACAGCTGCTCTGGGCACCCTGTGCCAGGGCCTCTCCACCCTCACAGGAGGACTTGCTTGCCAATATCCAGTCTGAATCTCCATTTCTAGTTTAAACCCATTCTCCCTTGTCCTGTCACTGTCTGCCCACGTAAAGTCCCTCTCCACATTTTCTAAAAGCCCCTCTAAATACTGGAAGGCTTCAGGTTCTCCATGAGGGAGCTAACTCCAGCATTTCCCCATGCTGGGGGGTGCCAGGGCTGCTCTGGTAGGAGACAGAGAAAAAAACAGTGCCCTCCTGTTACAGAAAACCCTGCAGAGACCTGATGTGAACAGTCTGGGCAGCCTGGGCAGCTTCCTAATGATTTGAGAGTCTGGAGAAGGAAATTATTTATAGAATCCTAGAACTGTTTGGCCTGGAAGGGACCTTAAGGACCAGCAAGTCCCACCCTCTGCCATGGGCAGGGACACCTTCCACTATCCCAGGTTGCTCCAAGCCCTGTCTAACCTGGCCTTAGACACTTTCAGGTATCCAGAGGCAGCCACAGCTTCTCTAGGCACCCTGTGCCAGGGCCTCCCCACCCTCACAGGGAGGAATTCCTTCCCAATATCCCATCTAATCCTCCCCTTTGTCAGTGTGACACCATTCCACCTTGTCCTATCAAACTATTCCCTTAAGGTGGAATCACTTGCCATACAAATTGAGGAGAGCCCAGCTGTTGGCCACAGGGTTGGATCTGCCTCTGGCAGACAACAGGTTTGGAATGGCATTGATGGGTCAGATTTTATTTCTAAGCAAACAAAAAAACCCCAGAGCTTTCTCTGAGCAGAGCTGACAGCATCAAACTGCCCCTCTCCTGCCAGGCTTGGGCAGAACCATGGACTGCTGAGCAGCTCCTCCATGACCACAGCCAGTCCTGAAGGCAGCACTGTCCAAATCAGGAGGAGTTTAAACACAGAGCGGCCCAAATCTGCATTGGGCCAAACCCAAAGCAGCTCAAGTCTGGAGCACCCCAAATCCAGACATCCCAGGCCTGTCAACACCCCAGACCCAGAGCATCGTGTGCAGGTACCACAGCAGCTGGCCCTGCTGAGAGCAGTAGGACAAGAACTCCTTGGGGGCCAAACCCAGGACAGATCCTCAATGTTTCCAGGGTTCACAGATTTCAGAGAAAACGAAACTGCTTTTGCTGTGGCTCGTCATAAGATTTCCTCTCCTTGTGTTGCAACACAGAAATGGCAGAGCACAGGAAAGTTAACCACGGGCTCAGGGGTGCTGGGGGGGTTGGGGAAGTGAGGGGCCCCTGAAGTGGCAGGAGTGGTTGACAAGGACCGCAGGGAGCCACCCCCATCTCTGCCTTCCACCTGGGAGCCTCCAGCTCCTCAGGGCTGGAGAACCTCTGCCCCTTTCCCCACCACCTCCTGCTACACCCTGAGGACATCCCACCCGGACAATGAAGGTGGGAGACCCAAGGATGGGAGAGTCAAGGGTGGGAAATCCAAGAGTGAGAGAAAACTCAAGGGTGAGAGACCTGAGGGAGATCTGAGGGTGAGACCCAAGGGTGGGAGACTTGAGGAGGGGCAGAGGGTGGCATTTCTCATGCCCAGGGAGGCAGCACAGGTGTTCCAGCTCCAGGACCACCCTGGAGTCCTGAGCTGGTCACAGGAAAAGGGATGACAGCAGAGGTTTTTCAAAGACTTCATCTGAATTTTACAAAGACCTTGTCTAAGTTTTACAAAGTGAGAGTTATTCCCTGAAAACACTCTCCTTTGCCAGCATCACCTCTCCCATGAGGAGATGAGAGCCTGCAGGAGATGAGAGCTGAGGAGGACAACCCACCACCTTCATCATGGGACTCTCCACTCCCACGACGACCAGTCCAACCAGTTTATTCCAGCGCCACGAATCCACATGGCACCACTTCTGTGGGACAGCATTTTCCTGAATAACAAGTGCAAGGAAGCAGCTCTGAGGCGGATTTCACCAAACAAAATCTTAGGTGAAACACAGGGGAACTGGAACAGGGCACTGGGTCTAGGAGGACCTAGAGAACTCTGGAGCACTTCCAGGCAGATCCTGGAAAGCCACGGCTGTTCCTTGTGATCTTGGAAGAGATGGGATCAATGTGCAAACACAGAGACAAGCACAGCTACAGCAGAGAAAACCCACTAGGTTTCCCAGCAGTCACCACCCCAGGGACTCCTGGGTGAAACAGGGAAAAGCAAAGAGGTGAGGAACAACCCCAGGCACAGAGTCCGACCTACCCAGAAGAAGAGTCACGGTGCAAGGGCAGAGCTGCTGATTCCCCAAACTGCTGCAAACCAGCCAGATTCTTTGGGAACAGCTGGAAGCAAGGTTCATACCAGCAGAGCAGAGCCTCTGTCCCACAGCTTGGCTCCTCAGTCTCCCAAGAAGCGACGCTCTGTGAGTTATAAATAAACAGCAGGTCACTGCCTGTGCTCTGGGATGGAAAACAACAGCCCACGATGGCAGCGTGAGGGTGACTCAAGCCCTGGACACAGAGCCAGTCATTTTCCAAGCACGAGTACTGTGCCAGTCACCCTCTGCCCTGGGGACATGGGGGCTCTGATGGCACAGTGGGTCCAAGGGCTGCTGGGGGGACAGCTCCTGCTTTCCACCCAGAGCTGAGCACAAGCTGGGCGCAGAGACAGCCCAGGAGCAGGAAAGCCAGTGGCATGGCATGGACATTGGCTGGTTGGAAGATAAAACCCCTGGGAACAGCTCAGCAAGGGCTAGGACATGACAGAGTCCCAGCAGGACCCTCATGGTCTGACTTTGGCTTCTTCGCTGTGCCCAGAGTGATGGAGCAGTGCTGTGATTCCCACAGCAGGAACACAGGCACGGAGTGAGGAATGGCACCATCACACCACCCTCGTCCCTCTTTATCACAGCTGACAAACCTGGTGGTGGCTGGAGAAGTGTCACCTCTGATGCACCCGTCCAGCTTCTGCCCTGCAGGGCCCAGGAGCAGCCAGGGGAGGAAGAGCAACCACTGAGCTCCCAGCCTGGATGGTGAGACTGTGCTTCCCAAATGCTCCAAACTGCGAATTTCCTTCAGCCCAATACCTGTTCCTGCACCAGGCTACAATTTGCTGGAGCTGCAGGGAGAACTGCGGTTGGTTTTCCGTGGGACTGCAGCCACTGGAGCCACCATGCACGGGCCAAGCAGGTTGTGAAAGCCCCAGCGTGTTGAGGCAAGATGTTCCCAGGTTTCTATTCCCAGTTTTTGCGTTGCTTTGGATTTACAGCGCTGGAGTTTCCCCGTGGATGTTCCTGGTGCCATCCGGCTGGGTGGGTGGGTCGCATCCCCCAGCAGGGGACGGCAGTCGCTGCAAGGAAGGCAGAGAGGAAAGGGCCTTTTAATCTCTGCGTTTTAGACAAGAATTAACCAGATCTTGTTTGCAACTGCTCATTTGATGTGATATACTGAGAATGTAACACATGATAAATCAGGGAAAGCTGTAAGAACCCCACAGGTGCTGGGATCTCTGGCTACTGGGAGGAACGGGCCGAGAGATCTGGGGTGTCAGCACTCGTGGGGGGGTGAACTGAGGACCAGACACCAACCCCCAGTGGGGCCCCTTGGAAAGGCACATCTGACCCGCTGTTCCCCCATGGGGGACACGAAGAGGAGGAATGAGAGGCCGAGGCTGCGGGGCCTGGCACGGGCGGCTGCGGGGGCATGGGGGCGGCTGGGGAGGGATCAGGGCCTGCCCAGCCGTGCGGAGCAGGGGGAGCAGCGCTCCCTGGGCTCGCAGGGCCTGCGCCCGCTGCCAGACCCCACGGCCCGCACCGCTCCACACACGCCGTCACTCTGCATCCCCAGCGCCCGGCACTGCACGGCCCTCATCCCCTTGTCAGCATCGCACCAGCCCGCACCTCCTGCCAGGCCCCACAACCCCACGGCCCCACCGCCTCACGGCCCCGGTGCCCCCGCGCCGCCCCCGCTCACCGGCTCCGGCCGGGAAACCCGGAAGTGCCGGGAGCACGCACGCCCCGCCCACCGTGATGTCATCACGCAGGGCGGCACCGATCGCTCCAGGCCACGCCCCTCGGGCACCGCGCGGGAACCGGGACACGGCGGGACACGGCTGGACACACACATGGACACACACATGGACACGGCTGGAAACACACATGGACACGGCTGGACACACACATGGACACGGCTGGACACGGCTGGACACACATGGACACACACATGGACACGGCTGGACACACACGTGGACACGGCTGGACACACACATGGACACGGCTGGACACACACATGGACACACACATGGACACGGCTGGACACACACATGGACACGGCTGGACACGGCTGGAAACACACATGGACACGGCTGGACACACATGGACACACACATGGACACGGCTGGACACACACATGAACACAGCTGGACACACATGGACACACACATGGACACGGCTGGACACACATGGACGACCCTGGGACGTTGGAAGGAGAAATTCTAGGTGGGAGGAGATGATGGAGTGGCTTTTTGGCTGGACTTTTCCTTGGTAGCCACAGACTGAACTGATTTTCTCCTCCAAGAGAGACGGTATTTTAGGAGGATGCCAGTGAGCCCAAGAGACCTGCTGCAGCTGGGAAAAGACAGAAGTGGAACAAACAGAGAAAAGTTAGGGAGGTTTGTGGTGGTGCCCCCTGTCTTCAGAGAAGGAGAAGAAAAGAAGATCTCTGTTCTTGGACCCTCAAAAATGCAACTCTTGTTGCATCCATCGGGTATTTCCTCCGCTGCTCCACAAAATGGTGACCAGAACATTCCCAGGAAATATGTAACTCAAGAAAAGGTGCAAGAAAATCTAACAAAAGACCCTAGAAACAACGAGCCAACCCAAAATTTGAACAACTAAGCAACTGGACGGAGCAGCAAGAAGTCCCTCCACCCCTACCAACATGGTTTTAAGTGTCACCATCACCTAAGAAGAATTGAGTCAGAGTGAGGACCCCAGCCGATGAGCCAAAAGACATCTTCCTAGGCACACCCGTGAAGATGGAAGCCCCAGTTCTGCTGTGAAGCAAAACTGTTCAACTCCTCCTCTGCGTCGCCAAAGGGAGGAGCGGCAATGTGAGTGACCCCTCAAGCCCCACCCAGAGCTGATCACTTTAATAAAGGCACTTCAAAAGGAGCTGCTCTCCTTGCCCATTTATTTCCCTCCTATTCATGGCACTTCACCGCTCTGTGCAAGGGGAGAGCAGAGAGAAAAGCCAGCCAAAGGCTCATCAGTTTAGTGAAAGAGAGGGAGAGATCCCTTCCCGCTCACCATCATGGACAGAACAGACAGAACTTGGGGATATTCATTACATTTATTGCCAAGAAAATCAGAGCAGGATAATGAGAAGCAAAAGAAATTTCAACAGCATCTGCAGCCCCAAACCCGTGCCAAAACCTGGCCACACAAACCAAATACAAATTGGAATGGCTCCACAGTGACACAGAGCAGGCTTAGATCCTGTGTTCAGGAGAAATTCTTCCCTGTGAGGGCAGGGAGTCCCTGGCACAGGGTGCCCAGAGCAGCTGTGGTGCCCCTGGAGCCCTGGAAGTGCCTAAGGCCAGGTTGGAGGGGCCTTGGAGCAGCCTGGGACAGGGGAAGGTTTCCCTGCCATGGCAGTGGTGGCAGTGGATGGAGCTCAAGGCTCCTTCCAAGCCAATCCATTCCATGATTCCAAAGATTGACGGCTCTGAGACAGAGTCATTTGGTGACATCATGGCCTGAACTGCTGTTTGCTGCGAGTTCTAAAGCACCACCACGGTGACACGAGCAATGCTACAGTGACATGAGAAGGACCACTGTGACATCGGCAGCACCACTGTGACACAGGAACTGCCACAGCTCCAGCTCAGGTCTGCATCCCAGGTGACTGCAGCCAGTCCTGCCTCGCCATGGACCTGGTGATGCGTCTCGTGCGCGCTCTGCTCCTGCTGGCCCTGCTGCTGGCAGTAGCCCCCTCCCCGGGAGCGGCCAAGGAGCTCTGCCCAGAGCCCTGCCGCTGCCCAGGCCGTCGGCAGCTGAACTGCGGCCACGCCGGCCTGGCCACCGTGCCCCCGGCCAGCCGCCGCCGAGCCCTGACCGTGCTGTGAGTCCCGCGGCCCCACAGAGCCCTGCAGCTGCCGCTCCTCAGCTCCCTGTGTCTGCAAAGCCCACCTGGGACACCCGGGGCACTCCCTGGCCAGAGATGGGGGGGCCTGAGCTCGGCATCAGGGTGAAGCCAGGCTGGGCACACTGTGCCTTCTCCAGGCAAAGCCCGCTTCCAGCTCAGCAGGCCAATGGCAGGGAAATGGCTTTTCCTGAGGGGGGACCGGGTCTTTTGTCTCTTTGCAGAGATTTCACTGGCAACTCCATTGCTACTGTTGGAAAACAAGCCTGGAAGGACTACCCCTGGACTGAGACCTTGTAAGTGCCCTGCAGCCTTTCAAATGGCAGGAGTTTGTGGATTTTGCCTCCTTGGGTCTGGGGCTGGAGCAGCTGCCCCCACTCCACCCACTTCCATAGGAATTCAAAGCTCGGCTGCTCTGCAAGGAGGGCTGTGAATCACCACAGCTTCCCAGCAGGGCAAGAATTGCTGAGAGTCTCTTGCAGCTCAGGGGACAATCCCCGTGTCTGTCTGCCCAGGGATCAAGCTGTGCTCAGCTTCAGCCGGCCAGGAGCAAGGGCCTGCTCTGGCCAGGAGTGGGGACGATCCCTGCAGTGACCCAGAGCGATGCTTCAGTCGTGCTGCTGCAGGAGATTTTCCCAGGACAATCCCATTTGCTGCAGGCCAGTGGCCGCTGTCACAATGTCCCTGTGTCTCCTTGCAGAGTGCTCAGAGACAATGAGCTGCGGGCTGTGAAGAGCCATTCCCTGGAGGGGCTGTTCCTGCTGAAGCACCTGTAAGCACTGTGCCCTGCCCAGGGTGGAGGGCTCCCTGGGGCCCTGCTGCTCAGGCCGCGGGCACATGGTGCCCTTTGTCCCTCCTGGGCTGCAGAGGCAAGTAAAAGGGACAGGGCAAATGGAAGTGACATTTATTGTTCTAACTGCAACAGGGATTTGTCCTGCAATGAGATCGTGTCCATTGAGGAACGGGCTTTTGAGCCACTGCCTTTCCTGAAGTTTCTGTGAGTGATCAAGTTTCTTTCTGGTGTCTTCAGCTCAGCCTTTGCACTGGGCAGCCTTCCTGTGTAGGAAAATGCTCCTGTTCCCCTAAATCTGCCCTGCCCAGAGCCCAGCTGAGCTGCAGAGGTCAATGCCGATGGCTGGAAGGCCATGCCAGGGCACAGACCCCAGGGAGCTTGTCCACACGCAGCCATCAGAGCAGCCAGTTCTTGCAGCCTTGGCTGCATCGTGGAACAGAAAGAGAGTTCAGCCTTTGCTTCCTCTCCTGGGCAGGCCACAAACACTGAGAAAGCAGCAGTTTCCTCCCGTTTCCACCTTGGCTTTGCACCTTTCCTGCAAAGAGATCCCGCTTTGCCCCCTCTTTCTGTAGGGCAGGCCCGATTCCTGTGTGTGACCTCCTCTTTCCCCAGAAATCTCTCCGGGAATGGCCTCACACGGATCCGCAGCGGCACTTTCCAGGCCTGGCATGGGATGCAGTTCCTCCAGGAGCTGTAAGTGGCACCAGGGCTAAAGGCCCGCCAGGGCGAGTCTCTGCAGGGTCTCTGCCGGGTCTGTGGGCAAAAGCAGACTTGCCCTGGGGAAAGTCCTGATTCTGACAGTGGATGTCAGCCAGAGAGCACCAGGAGTGTGCAGCTGCAAAGGCCCTTTCTCCTGCCCTGCTCACCCCCTGCAAGGCTTCCTTGAAAGCCGCCAGGCCGTCCCCACGTGCCCGGCACACGCAGCTCACATCCTCGCCATCAGCCCTGACAGAGCTCTGTATTTTCTCAGGATCCTCAGCCACAACCCACTGGCTGTCATTGCTGATGCTGCCTTCTTCAAGCTGCCCTCCGTGAGCTCTCTGTAAGTATTGGCTCATCTGGAGAAGATCCACAGAGACCTGTGTCTCTCTCGAGCGCCCTGTTCTCAGGAAAGCAGCGCAAGTGCCCGAGCAAATCTCCCCCTTGGCCAGCCTGAGTCTGCTGGAGACACAACGAGCCCGGCTCCAGCAGAGCAAGGCAAAGGCCAAGCGGTGCTGGTGTGTCCCCAGCTGCACAGCAACCCAGGAACTGGGACACAAACTTTCAGGGATGAGAGCCCATCCAGGTCTAGGGCCAGGTGGAGAGGCCGCAGGGCTCTGGGAATAAACTGCACTCGTGCCAGCAGCTCCAGGCTCCTGCCTGCTTCAGGGACTCGGGTGCCCTCAGGGGAGAGCAGCAGGAGAGTCGGGAGAGGGGCAATCCTTTCTGGTGGCATCTGTCTGCCACGAGAGCTGCAGGATTGCCCTCCTGATTCCCACGGGCTGCGTTAGAGCAGGGCGAGGCAGAGGGGAGCTGGGCTCCAGAATGGCTTCTCTTGGGGCAGGCAGAAGTGGATGCCTCTGCCAGCAGCACCAGCATCATCAGGGCCCTGGGCCCTCTGCTCTCAGAGCAGAGTTCTGGCAATGTCACCGTGGAATTTCATGAGCTCTTTCCAATGCTTGCAGAGACCTGAGTGCCACCCAAGTGACCCCACAGACGCTGCTGCTGCTGCTGCAGTCCACAGTGAGCTTGGAAACCCTGTGAGTGTGTGCGACTGAGCCCCAGCCACCAGCAGGCCCCGAGTGCTGGGACAAGGGCTCTCCTTGGGAAACAAATCCGTGTGCCACAAAACCAGAACAAGCCCAGTAAGCTCCAGAGTTGCTGTTCCTTCTGGGAACGTGCCAAAACTCACTGGCTCAGAGGCAGAATCTCACCTTTCGGGTGACTTGCTGCAGGTTTCTCACAGGGGAGTTGGAACTTCAGGCGGGTGCATTTCTGTGTCATGTGGTATTTTGGGAGCACTTCTACTTTCCAGGTTAAAATCCCCTTTTCAGGGTTTGGCATGGGGAGTCAGGGGCCTTTCCCAGAGCTGTGGCACACAGTGAGGGACAACCCCCATGTGTGGAATCCAGGCATTCCCTGAGCTGGGCTCTGATGGAGCCATGGATTGGGTGGCCAGGTGTTCCTGCAATATCCCCTCTTGTCTTTAGCCAAGTGCCCAAGGAGGCGGCCTGCTGCCTGTGCCAGGAGCGTCCCCGGCCCGAGAGCCCCTGCAGGACCATCCAGTTCCTGTGCCAGAAGCTGTGCAGCACCAGCGCCCCGCAGTGCGGTTGGTGTCCGGAGGGGCTGGGGGAGCTCAAACTGCCACTTGGCCTGAGGCTGGGGAGATGCTGCAGCACTGCCCTGTGCTGCAGGGGGGCTCCTGATCTCCCCTTGGAGTACAGGCCTTGGACAAAACACCTTGGGATGGGAAGTTCCTGGGGATTGTACATAGCTTGTGTGTCACATACTGCCTGGAGGAGGAACAGCTCGCTGGGCCCACCAAACCTACGACTTCCCTATCCACACCATGTCCCCCAGGCAAGGAAAGCAGGAATGCCCCGTGCCCTTCCCTGGTGCTGGAAGGCAATGTCTGCCCATCAAGAGATCTGGTGATTCCCCGAACAGCCTGGATTCTGTGCCACCCCACTGGCCACTGCAGGACAAAGGGCAGGGCCCGTGATGCGCTCTGCAGGCTGAACAGCAAGCACTGTCATCCCCGCCTTGGCCTGTGCAGGGGGAGCAAAGCACCGTCCTGCTCTAGCTGGGCACAGGGCACAGAAAATCCTGTCCACAGCAGGGCCAGGCAAAGAGATACAGCCAGGTTTCCAAGGTCCCCAGAGAGCTCACTTCTCTCACTGGCTCAGCCCCAGCTTTCCCATAGCACAGGCCCAGAGCTCTGGCGCCCTTGAGGAAGATTTTCCTGGTGTAACAGCTTGAGCTGCTGCTCTTGGGAAGGGCCCCGGAGCAAAGGAGTCCCTGGGCTTTCTTCCCCTGCCAGTCTGTGCCCCCGTTGCAGTGCTGATCTTTCCTCTGGGGTCTCTGGCTCTTCACTGGCTCCTGCAGAGCAACCCAAGCCTGCTCTTCTGGAGCTGTGGCAACCTCTGTGACAGCCAACCCATTCCCCAGGGATCTTTCCTTCCCGTCCAAACAGAACCCCAGGAGACACCAGGAAAGGACCAGCTCTCTGCTCTGCCCCAAGGGGATAATGGGATGGATTGAAGGGCTCTTCTCCTCTCCACAACACATCCCCCACTCTGCTCTTGCGCTCCCTGGCCTTGAGATCAGCTCCTGCTGCTCCAGGTAGCCTCTGAGCCTGTGCTTGTGCCCAGCCGCTGATCTGCTCTCTCGGTGTTCTCCAGCTCACACAACTGCGCTAGAGGCACGGGGAGAATCAATGGACATGGAACAACGCAGAGAGCTGAACAGCAGCCCAGTGTTGAGCCTCAAGCCCAAGGAGCCTTCACTGGGAGATGATGGAACTGTGATGCTTGCGGTTGCCCTGGCCCTGAGCACGGAGGGTGATGTCAGCAGCCTGGACAGTTCCAGACCAAATTCATATCCCCCTCCGAATCTCTTGGGGCACGAAGGCCAAAGAAGTGCCGACGACCTGAGGGCCAAGCTCAAGAGGAAGGTGCACAAGGCTGAAGGAATCAAGACTGTGGAAAGCATTGTCCCACACCAGCCCCAGCCTGCCTGGCTGAAGCACGTGGTGGGAAAGGCACCCTCAAGCTGGGATCACAAGCAGCAAGAGGCACATTTGAACTGGCAAGCAATAAACCCCTGGGATGTAGCTGGTGGGTTGAATCCCAATCATTACAATTCTCTTGACCAACCCCTTAGATATGAGGTGGAAGGTCAATCTCCACAGCAGAACTCCATAATGAGTATCAAAGAGCAGCAGGGTAGCCGGCAGAAGCAAATGGACTCAAGACTGAACTGGCAAATACTAAACCCCTGGTATGTAGCTGGTGGGTTAAACCCTAATGATGATGACTCCAGTTTTGGACACCACAGAGATAAGGAGAAAGATCCAGCTCCAAGGCAGAACTATGTCAATTCTCACAAACAACCAAAGGAGTGGGACAGCCAGTATTGGGTTGGACATAATCAGCTTTTCTACCAAGTGTTGAGCCCTGTGAACGCAGAGCAAGAGCCCAGAGCCACCGACACCAAAGATGAACAGCGTCTAAACAGGAACCTGGATTTTCTCTCTGACCTGTTGGTTCAGAGCCACCCTGCTGCGAGAAGGAGAGGAGGAGCCATGGCTGGAGAGGAGCATTCCTCTATAGACAGCCACCTCCTGATCACCTCTGACACCACAGACACACACTGGAAGCAAGAGGAAGAAGGATCCAGGTTCCTCAATAAACCTTGGAGCCCTCAAAGTCCAGACCTTGCTCCGGTTCACGGAGAACTCTTGGAAACCACGGCTGATCGTCTCGTGCGCTTGCTGGTACCGGACAAAAGCCTGCAGATGTTCATGGCCCACGTGGAGAGAGCTCTGAGGATGGACTGCAGCCTGCCCCAGCTCAAGCAGGCCTGTGCCAAGATGGTCTCAAAGATTGGGCTGCTTCTAAAGGTGCTCAGTGTGAGGCAAGGGAAGCAGGGAGCCTCTGATGGCATGGGCCGGTGTCCTCTGCAAGAGAACATCTACAGGCACACAGCTCTGGAGGAGGATCAGGAGACCACAGAGAAGGTAGGAGAGCTGCAGGGACTTCTGCATGTGTCCTTCTGGGCAAGGGAGAATCGAAGGACTAATTCTCTTGCCCCCCATGATCTTCTTTCCTTTTTTCTCAGCCAAAGCCAGAGACCATGGATGAGACAATCCCGTTCGTTGTATTGCTGTCCGTCATCGCAGTCATTTTACTGATACTGAAGGGTGTCTTCCACGTAAGCCAATATCTTGTTTGACACACAGCTGTCTGTCTTGTAGCTGCAGTGCCCAGATGCCCCTGCATTGCTGGGTAGCACAGGAGATGTTTTTCCAAGCCTGGAGCTTGTGGCAGCATCCACAGCACCCAGCTCAGCAGGGCCCAGCCTGCCTGGGGGAAGCTTGTCCTGCCTTCTCTCCCAGCTCTCCCCAGCTCTGCTTTGCTCTCCTGCCTTCAGCCACAGCAATGAGATTGGGAGCTCTGGGAGTTCAGAAGAGCTCTTGGAGTTCCTGCAGAGAGGAACAGGAAATCAGGAAGGAAGAACCGGGTCTTTTTAAAATAATTGTTGCTGTCACAGACATGCACGTGTGTAGAACAGGCTGGGTTGGATGAAGGATCTTTTGGTCTCCCATGTTCTGTAGAGTATGACAAGAAAACTTTGGTGTTAAAAGTCTGTCTCCTTTCCAAGGTGTGTTCCCGATGTGCTGCACCTGTTTGCCAGCAGCTATTCAGAAGGAAATCATGGCTGAGAAGGTAACTGCTCCCTGCCCATGCCACTGCTGTGCCACCAAGAGTCTTTCCTGCTCAGAGCAACTCCTCCTGGAGCCCCGCAGCCACGCAGGTGCCGCTGCCCAGGACTCCCCTGGCTGTGTTTCCTGAGCAACAGCGCTGGGCACAGCCAGGGGCTGCTAGCCCAACCAGCCCTTCATGCACCAGTGATGGTCCCCCAGATTGGGTGCACGTGCTGGGCCAGCCAGGGAGATCCTTTCTGGAGCCCCCATCTTTCTTGGGCTCAGCTGAAATGTCCCGGAGCAGGGAGAGGTGCTGCCAACCAGCCCTTCCCACACCGGCGCTGGGATGGATGCCTTGGGCTCCGGTGCACTCCCAAATTTCTGTGAGCACGACCAATACCTCTGTGTTCCCACAATGATCTCCTCTGCTGATGGCTCTGCCCTATTTTTCGCTGCTCCCTCCCCACAGTGGCTGGTGAGGAACTCACTCCCATCCTCTCCAGTTGCCTTTTGCATGCAGGGCTCATTCCCTGCATTGCCAGCCATTGCCATCCCTGCTGGGGCTCCCCATCTTCTTCCTTAGGCTCTGCGGACGCACCCCTGAGCAGGAAGAGGTGCTGGCACCTGCTGCAGCCCTCCCTGCCAAACCTCCCTGCTTAGAGACCAGGAGCAGGGCCCTTTGGGGATGATGGGATGTCCAGAAGCCTTTTTCTCCCCATTCACCTCGCTCACTCAATCGCTTTGTAGCGTTGGAAATGCCCCTTCCCAACTCCTCCAGCAGCGGCTTCCCAGACAGGGCAGAGCACAGGCAGCCCTGTTGCCCCCAGCCTCCATCACCAGCTGCTTTCTTTTTTACTCCCTATTTTCCCTTTCTGATTTTTTCAGGTTCTGTATAAAACTGCCACAGAGAGGGAGGAAGGATAAGAAGGAGGCGCAGAACGTAGAGCAGAATAGGGCAGGGAGCCCCTCTGAGTGTTGCTCCTGTTTCCCTCCTATTCATGGCGCTTCCCAGTGCTGCTCCCCGTTTACGAAGTCCGAATTGCTATGGATTCAACGCATCAGGGATGCCTATGAGGACCAGAGAAAAGCATCCCAGGAAGACACAGAAGAAGTATGAAGAGTAAGGAGGAAGACTTTCAAGAAGTTAATGGGATGCCAGCAATTTTTCACCTCCCCTTTTAGCCGAGGCGCACTTTGGATTCTGTTTCATTGGCTGTTGTTATTTCCCCGGTTGCTTTTTCCTTGACTGTTATTTTCATGCTGTTATTTTCATCCTGAGGGAAGGCCAGAGGGTGCTGCAGGCAAGCACAAGCTCTGGACACCGAGAGGAGGCATCGGTACCTCAGGGTTTTCCTTATCCCATGTTGATATGTTCTCCCTGTATTCAATAAAAACAAAGTTTGTCCTTGTTCTTCCCGGTGTTGCCGATGTATTTGTAAAAGCAGTTTCTCTTCTCCTCATGGAAAGGGTGGTCAGGCCTCGGAAGGGGCTGCCCAAGGAGGTGGTGGACTCGCCGGGCCAGGAGGGTGTCCTAGGGTGACGTTATGGTGTTTGTATCTCCAATCGTGTGTTCTGGTTATGTTTGATATTATGTTCTGTGCTTTCAGAACTGACTCTGAAAGTGAAGGTTTGTTTTGCCTTGTTATCATCTGGTTCACCTCCCCCCATGGTCTGTTGTCTAGAAAAGGCTAGGGCTGGCTGGCTGGCTTTGCTTTTGCTTGCTTGCTTGCTTGGCTTGCTTGCTTTGCCTGCTTTCTTTCTTTGCTTGCTTCCTAGTTAGGTTAGCTAAGCAGTCCAATTCTTTCCCTGGACTGTTGCTTTTTCCTTTCCTCTTCCTGAATACCATCCAGCCTGCTCTGGACTGGGATCTGGGAAACACCAAGGAACACCAGGAGCCTGCATTTTGTGATCTGCAGCAGCCATCCCCAGTGCCCAGAGCAATCCCCAGTGCCCAGACCCGGGCGACCACTCCCAGGAAAGACTTTCTGGATTTGTTCATCTCTTCAGAGTGGTGAAAGAGTTTTGTTGCCATCTGGTGTTGTTAATTGTTTTGGTGCTGGGGAGTGCTTTGTTCGTTGAATAAACAGGTTCTTTTCCACTTCTCTCTCAGAGGAAATTTTTCCCTGAACCAGGTGGGTGGGGAGGGGCTGTGGGGGTTTGTTTCCTGGGGGCTCCTTTCAGAGGGTTTTCCCCAAACTTGCCCTAAACTAGGACAGAGGGATAAGTCCCAGAGAGGAGCTGCCCCCACCTCATACTTGTGCTGCTCTGACAGTCCCAGGGGAGCCCTACAGACATCAGGAACCTGGACTGAGGCTTGTTGCACCCACGTGAAGTTGTTGTGGGCAGGTGAGGCTGTGGCCAGGTGAGGCTCCTTGTGCCCAGGTGAGGTTCCCTGTGCCCAGGTGTGGCTCCCTCTGGCCACTGACTTGGCTGTCAAGCAGGAATGTTAAAAGTGATCCACAAGAGCAGCTTTTTTGGGGGTTTTATTGGGGTGGTCCTTACACGGAGCAGGTCCCTGTGATGCCTTGAGGAAGGCTGAGCTAGAGCCAGAGTTAAGAGAATAAATTCATTTAAATTATTACCTCAATGGAGAAACTGGCCAGGCAGAATTAGGGAATAAATTCATTAAAAGGATCTCCTCCATGGAGAGATTGGCCAGGCAGAGTTAGAGAATAAATTTATTTAAAAGATCTCAGTGGAGATTGGCCAGGCAGTTCCAGAACCAAACAGGGATTCATTAAAAGATCTCCTCAGTGGATCCACCTTGGGCAGTGCCAGAGCCCAGCCAGGGCTGCTCCCAAAATGAACCAAAATGGTTCAAAATGAACCAAAATGGTCACAAAATAGACATAAAATGTGTGACCACTCACAGGGTCTGTCACTTTGATAATTTCTCCTTCATTTGCATATTGGAGTTAATTGTTCAATCCCACTTTTAGCCCGTGCAGCCCCACCGTTCTTGTTCTTCTCTCTCCAGCCCGCGCTGTTTGTGCTCCTGGGGCAGAGATTTGGATCATTTCTCCTTGGTCCCAGCCGGAGCAGGAATTGTTTTGTCTCTGCTCTGTGAACAGAACTCACCATCCCATAATACACAAACCCAGGCCCACACACTGAAACAGCACAAAATGTGAAAAATAGGAAAAAAGAAAAGCTGAGGGATCCCCTGCGCCGCGTCTTGGGAAGACAGAAATTTCCTGGGAATGATCCAGGGAATGATCCAGGGAATCAGGGAATGATCCAGGGAATGAGGGAATGATCCAAGGAATTCATCAGGGAATCATCCAGGGAATCAGAGAATGATCCAGGGGCGCTCTCCTGCCCCAAAACCCCATGGAAAACAGAGGGAGGGACCCTCGGGATGGGCAAATCCTCGGCCAAGCTCCCTCCTGCTGCCTGCACCCAGCCCTGGGGTGTCCAGGAATATCCAGGAAAATCCAGGAATATCCAGGAATCTGGTGGGAATGCTCAGGTTTAAAAACCATGCCCAAAGCAGGGCCGGGGGTTTGGGCACTTTCCCTGGGCTGGTGCCGCTGAATCCACGGTGATCTCGGCACAAAAACATCGGGAATGGCACAGGAATGTCGGGAATGGGCATAGAAATGTCAGGAATGGGCACAAAATTATCAGGGATAGGCACAGAAACATCAGAGGTGGCACAAAATCATTGGGAATGGCACGGGAATCTTGGGAATGGGCACATGAACAATCGGAAATGGCACAAAAGGCATTGGGAGTCGCACAGGACCGTTGGGAATGGCACAAAACTATTGGGGATGGGCACAAAATCATTGGGAATAACATCAAATTATCGGGAATGGCACAAAATCATGGGGAATGGCACAGGAACATCAGGAATGGCACAGGAACACCAGGAATGGCACAAAAGGCATCAGGAATGGCACAGAAATGTCAGGAATGGCACAGGAGCATGAGGAATGGCACAAAATTATTGGGAATGGGCACCACAGAAGGCATCAGGAACGGCACAGGAACACCAGGAATGGCACAGGAACATCAGGAATGGCACAGGAATGATCAGGAATGGCACAGGAGCATCAGGAATGGCACAGGAACACCAGGAATGGCACAGAAGGCATCAGGAATGGCACAGGAATCATCAGGAATCTCCAGAAGCACAGCAGGGAACAGCTCAGCACCAGCTGGAGTTGGGAATTGCAGTGCTGGGAGCAGCCCCCTCCTCCTGCCCTGATTTGGGATTAGGGCAGGAATTCCAGGCACCGGGGGCCCCAAAAGCAGGACAAAGCCACCCCGTTGTCCCCCCATCCTGTGGGCCAGGAAATCCCAGCTCCCACCCAGACCTCTCCTCCTTTTGCTCCAGGAACACCAGGAACAAACAGCCCAAAGGTTTTTCCCTGGCCATCCCTTCCCACTCTGCTCCTGAGGGCTCCCCAGACCCCTCAGACGAAGAATCACTAAAATTTAACCCATTCCAAGGATTCTTCAGGAACCTGCCTGAAAACCAGAACTGTTAAATCCCCAAATCCCTTTTTTTTTTTCCAGCTGGAGCTGCATAGAAAAAAAAAACACTTTTAGCAATGAAATCAGCAGGGAGTTGGTACAAGGAGTTTTATTTCGTGTCCCTGGGTGGGGATCAGGCGATGCTCCCGGCGTTGGAGGCGATCCTGGGCCACAGATCTGCACATTCCTTGGCCACGGGGCCAGTGATGGCCGAGCCTGGAAAACAGGGACAACACCCCTGAGGCTTCACCTCATCCCTGGGAGGCTGGGATGGAATTCCCAGAAAAGCTTTGGCTGCCCCTGGAATAGCAGGAGACACCCCTGGGATGAGCTTTGAGCTCCTTTCGAACCAAACCACGCTGGAATTCTGATATAGAATTTATAAATAAATGTGATTTAGAGCTGGTAGATGGTTCAGGGAAGCAATTCCCAGCCAAAATTCCACTCTGTGAGGGGAATCTTGAGTTTTTTCCCCTCATGGGATAGAATTCCCACTCTCACCTTTCATTTCCCCTTTGTTGTTGACGATCACTCCAGCGTTGTCCTCGAAGTACAGGAACACCCCATCTTTTCTCCTGTAGGATTTCCTCTGCCTGATCACCACTGCGGGGTGCACTGAGAGAAAAAAGGGTCAGAGCCTTCAGGATAAATTCACATTCCACACAGATCCCACAGGAATCGAATCCACTGTCACAACTCTCAGGATAAATTCACATTCCACACAGATCCCACAAAAAACCAAACCCAGTCACAACCCTCAGGACAAACCCACATCCCACACTGACATGCAGATAAAAAAATTAAAATTTAACAATTTTAATAAAGATTTGTGGGAAACGGTAATTTGATTTTTATTTTTTTAGTGCTGGGCACACAATGGGATTTCTAAAGGGCATTTGTGCTCCTTGGGGATTTTTGATCATTTTTATTATCATGTACTAATTAAGAGATATATCGAATATTACAATAGGTTTATGTATTTTTCTATCCTGTTAAAATTTTACTGTTTCATCACAGATCCCATGGGACTCAAATCCAGTGTCACAGCCCTCAGGACAAACCCACATCCACACATCCCACAGCAATTTTTGTTTTGCACCTCGTATTTGTGGTGTTTTACTCTAAAATTACATTTTATACTCAACACCCCCCTTAAAGCTGATGAAACACCTGCAGCAGCACCTAGACTTGGAAAATCCGGGGTTTTCCCCCATTTTTGCACCTTTATTTTGAAGTGATTAATTCACAACTGATATTCAGCAAAAACTCCTCTGGAGCAGGAGCAAATTCCGTGGCAAGGAGTGAACCTGGATGAGATTTAAGGTGCTTTTCCCACCAAAATTGATAACAAAAGGGTTTTAAAATCATGGGGATTTAGGGTTAAAAGGAAAATTAAGCTTAGTAGCCCCTGAAAAAATAAAATAAATACCCTGGGTACATGTAGGTGCTAGAACTGCACCTGTGTAGCTAGTACATGATAAATGATAGAATTGTTAGATGTGATGATTGGTTAGTAATTAAATATAATTGCTGTTTGATAGTAAGAATAATCATGAAAAACTGTGGTCAAAGAAAGATCACAAGAAACTCATGGTTGAATAAGGTCAATGTACAGAATAGAAGAATGTAAGTTTAATAATGAATATGTAAGTTATATATAGAATAGAACAATTTAAGTTTAATAATGAATATATAGGTTATATAAAGATAGAATATAAAATACGTTCAGAGTGAGATTTGGGTCTGTACCCTGATTCCCAGAGCTCTCCATCAATAAAAGCACCTGCACGGAATCATATCCTGTGATTATTTGTGTTCCTGAACGCTGACAAAATCATTCAATAATTTTTATTTTCACAGATCCAGGTGACATCACTCTGTTACTGATGGACAGCTGGGCTCGGGAGGGGATTTAGGGAAGGAATTCCTCCCTGGCAAGGAATTCCTGGCAAGGAATTCCACCCAGAGCAGCTGTGGCTGTCCCTGCATCCCTGGAGCATCCAAGGCCAAGCTGGATCCACCTGGGAATCAGGGAATGATCCACGAATCATGCAGGGAATGATGCAGGGAATGATGTGGGGAATTAATCAGGGAACGATCCAAGGAATTTATCAGGGAATGATCCAGGGAATTACTCAGGGAATCATCCAGGGAATTACTCAGGGAATGATCTAGGGAATTAATCAGGGAATGATCTAGGGAATTTATCAGGGAATTTATCAGGGAATGAATATGGGAATGATCCAGGGCATGATCCAAGGAATTAGGGAATGAATCAGGGAAATGATCCAGGGAATGAAGGAATAATCCAGGGAATGGTCCAAGGAATGATCCACGGGCGCTCTCCTGCCCCAAAACAGGAGGTGTCCCTGCCTAGGGATGGGATGGAAAATCCCTTTCCCAACCCATTCCAGGATTCCCAAATCCTCTGTCCCACCGCTGATTGAAACCAGCAGCACCAGCAGCTGCCAACTTCACCCAAAAGCGGCGCCTTTGCTCTGCCCTTCCACGACAACTCCCCGGGCCACGGCGGGGACCCAGCGAGTGCTTAGAGAAGGGTGGGAGGTGTGGGGTGTCAGAACCCAAAATGTCCCTCAGACATTTTTGGAGGTTCCGGGCCCAGGTCAGAAGCATTTCAGACCCTGGCAGCAGCTGGAAACAGCTGTGATTTTGGGTTTGAACCATGGAACGATTTACCAACCTTGCAGGGAGAACAAGAAGTCACAAAAGTTTAGATATTAGAGTAGAAGTAGTCACAAAGTAAAGGGAAGAATTTTTGAGTGCTGTACAGGGGTGGTTTAACACCTGTACAGGGGGTTTTGGTTTTGTACATGGGGGTCAGAGGTTTTAAGATGGAGGGATTTGGGCCTGCCCTGTCCTTCCTCTTTCTTCTTCCTCACCTCCATGTTCTTGGTGATGTTGGCACTCCCAGATTGGTTTAGAGTAGAAAAGCACCATTTAATATAGGTAATAGGCATTGGGGAAAAACTGTAAACATTTAACACGTAATGTACCATATAAAAGATAGAAAGGCACCATTTAATATAGGTAATGGGCATTGGGAAAAATCTGTACCCATGTAACACGTAATGTACCATATAAAAGACAGCAGCAGCCCTGGGTGGGGAGAGAAGAAGATGAGAGACAGAGAGGATGTCAGGGTGTGTGTATGTTCCTAAACAATGTAAATTTAAGAATTAATATACAAGTTATATAAGGATAGAATATAAAATAGATTCAGCTCAAAAGCCGTGTCGGAGTCAGATTTGGGTCTGGACCCCTGATTCCCAGAGCTCTCCATAAAAGCACCTGCATGGAATCATATCCAGGGATTCTGTGTGTTCCTAAACAATGTAAATTCAATAATTGATATGTAAATGATCTCACCCTTCTTCCTGAGCTCGGGCTTGCCCTTCTTCACCGTGGCCATCACCATGTCACCCACGCCAGCTGCTGGCAGCCGGTTCAGGCGGCCCTTGATGCCCTTCACGGAGATGATGTACAGGTTCTTGGCTCCTGAAAAACACCAAAATGTTCCCAGTACTCTGAAATATTTCAGAATTTATTATAATAAAAAGAAAAGCTTAAAGCAAGATGCCTGCAGGACGAGCAGGAACAATCCCACCGAGGATGCTGCAGCGCCATCCTTGACATTTATCAATTCAGAGGGTCAAAAAATCCCTTTTTATGCTGTATTTTTTTTGTCCCCCTGCATTGATTTCTTTTTGAAATCTATATTTTAATGAAGGTTTAAAGCACTTGGCTGGCCCTTAACAGTTTTGTCCAGGCTTGGGGGTAGAGCACTTTACTTAGGTGCAATATCTTACAACCACCCCTTTAAATCTCTTTTATCAAACTAACAGCACAAACGTAACAATTATCAATTATTAACATACTTAACAATTATCAACTATTCTACTATAGTTTCTAACTCATTTTTAACAGCCATGTAAAAAACGCAGCTTTTATGACTGCCTTTTCGCAAATATTACATTAAATATTATATGTGCAATGTTAGAAAGTTATGCTGGATTAATTCAAATGTGTAATGGATATTAAAATGGATACTTGATGTGTCAATATTACAATGGATATTTTATATGTAATGTTAAAAAGTTATGCTCTATTAATTCAAATGGATAATTTACGTGTAATGGATATCATAATGGATATTTGATGTGTAAATATTACAATAAATATTACATATGCAATATTAGAAAGTTGTGCTGTATTAATTCTCTTTAGCATGGTAAATATAGTTTTAGGTTATAACATAATGTTGAAATAGAAAATACATATATAAAAGATTTTCTTTTAAATGAGATACTTGCTTGGAGAACACCTAGATCTTCCAGAGAAGAATTTATGCTTCTCTTATCAGAATAAACTTAATTTCTTCTTGCTCAGACTCGAAAACGCAGCAGGGATTAATGGAAATAGTTGACATACAACAGAATTTCTTGTTTTAAATAGAATATATGCACAACCATGAAGGATATATGATTATGCAATAAGTTAATTAATTTAAGGGTGATTTTCCTTTGTTCACAAGAGATGCTTTTTGTGATTTAGTGTCCGAGAGCATCCGAAATTCTTTGCTTTTTATTCTCTTTTAATACTCCTAACTCTAAATTTTATTACTCTAATCGTACTGCTGTTTTATAACCATTTTATTAAACTTTAAAAATTAAAAAAAAAAAACCCAGGCGATCGGCGTTTTTCACAGCCGGGAGCAGCGGCGCCGTTGTCCCGGGACACCGGGGGTGGTGGAAGGGGGGGGGAGAGGGTGCCAAAAATTCCAGAAAAAAAATTCCCCAAAATTTGGGAATTCATCCCGAGGGTCTCTCCCGGATCCCGAGGGTCCCTCCCGGTTCCCCAAAGGCTCCCCTGGTTCCTGAGGGCCCCTCCCGGATCCCCAAAGGTTTCCCCGGTTCCCGAGGGTCTCTCCCGGTTCCTGGAGGGTCTCTCCCGGTTCCTGAAGGGTTTCCCCGGTTCCCGAGGGTCCCTCCCGGCTCCCGCCCCGCACTCACCGGTGTTGTCGGCACAGTTGATCACGGCGCCCACCGGGAGACCGAGGGAGATGCGGAATTTGGCACCGGAGGAACCTCCGCGTCCTGAGGGGGGGCGAGAGGAGCGTTACGAGCCCGGTACCGCCTCACGCAGCGCCATCCCTCCCTCCTCACATCCGCCCCCCGCCCGGCCTCAGCCGCCTCTCCCCGGCTCCCCGCTGCACCGCGGCGGCCACGGGGAGCCGGGATGGCGGCGGATGGCGGCGGATGGACGCGGATGGCGGCGGAGAGCGGCGCCCGCCTCACCTCGCTTCGACATCTTGGCGCCGGAAGAGGCGGCGGATGTCACGTGACGCGGCCGCCCCGCCCCGCCTCGCTCCGCGCCCCCTAGCGGAGGCGGGAAAACGCCACAGCCTCATCGGTACCGGCAGCGCCGGGAGCACCGGGAGAACCGGGAGGGGGCGGAAAGAGCTACCGGGGATGGTTGGAACGAGAAAAGTTGGGATAAAGGGAGGAAAAAAAAAGAAAGATAAAAATAAGGGGGCACCCGGATTTGAACCGGGGACCTCTTGATCTGCAGTCAAATGCTCTGCCACTGAGCTATACCCCCGCTGCACGATGCGGCCCACTGGGTAATCCTTCACGGCTCGCTCCGCGCGTGCGCAGTCACCGTTCCACCCGCGGAACGGGGGCAAATGCGACTCGCCCCCCTCAAATCCCCCGGAAATACCGACAAAAACGGGTAAAAACACGACAAAAACGGGTAAAAACACGACAAAAAGCCGAAAAAAAGGGTAAAAAGTGCTGAAAATACTCATTGAGGGGGCACCCGGATTTGAACCAGGGACCTCTTGATCTGCAGTCAAATGCTCTACCACTGAGCTATACCCCCGCCCGCCCCGTGCTCTCGCCAGCGGCCAGCTCTACCGGCGCCCCCGACCCGAAGGTCTCCGGTTCGAATCCCGCCGCGTCCTCAATGCAAATTTCTTGCGGTTTTTCCGCCGTTTTTAACCATTTTTAGGGTGTTTCCGCTCGGCTCTGCCCCCACGGAGGGACGTGCACGCCGCGCGCACGCGCGTTCCTCCCCCTTCCCTTCCCCCCGCCGCCTCCTCCCCTTCCCGACTATTTAAAGTCGCGACATCGCGGGCGGCGGCTCAGTGGAAGAAGAAGAAGAAGAAGGCGGAACAGGAGGGGGTGGGGGTGGATTTTTTTTTTTTTTAATTTTTTTTTTTAATTTTTTTTTTTCTCCCACTTTCCCTCCACACGAGTTTTCAGCCATGAACCCCAACTGTGCGCGCTGCGGGAAGATCGTGTACCCCACGGAGAAGGTGAATTGCCTGGATAAGGTGAGTCCCGCAGGGTCGCACGTGGGGAGTGGGATAAAAATTCGGGATTTTTTTTTTTCCTCCTCACCCCCATCCCCGTGGGGTTTTCCACGCGATCCTGTTGGTTTTTTGGGTTTTTTTCTGGGGGGGTCTCCGGCACAATTCCAGCCCCACTTCCTTATGGGCGCTCCCCCCCCCGCCCTATTCCCTGGAATATTTCCACGTTTCCCACTCCAAACCCCGCTTTTCCCGGGGGTATTTCCACGCTGGATCCCCTCGTGGAGGGACCCCTTTGTCCCGGGGGGACCCCAGGGAATCTGGGTCTGTCCCCCCCCCAATTTCCCGGGGGTATTTCCACGTTGTCCCCCCCGTGTCCCGGGGGTCCCCAGGGATGGAGCTCTTTGCCCGGGGGGCTCCTCCAGCGTCCCCAGCTCTTCCTCCCATAGCAAATATTTCGATTTTTTTTGCTGTATTTCCTATTCAAAGGCGCCACATCCGTGTGGAGGCCCAAGGAAAGCAACAGTTAACGCTTCCCTGAAGCCGGGAACCTCATCTGGTTTCCATTATCGAGCTTTTTCCCCTTTTTTTTTCCCTTTTTTTTTTAAATCCAAATCTTCCATCTTGTTTGCTACTTCTCTGTTCCAAAATCCCATCCCTACACTCCGGGGCTGCCTCCCTGAAGCTGGAATATTTTTATTTTTTGGAGTATTTTATTTTTTTTTGGAGTGTTTTTACTCTAAAAACCAAAGCTCTGGTGGAAGGTGATGGTGGGGGCTCCATTCCCTCTGCTTTTCCCATGGGATTTTCTTTTCCTCTCCTCCCCCTCTTCTCCCAGGCTTCTGGGACAACCAGTTTTAAAAAAAAAAAACTAAAAAAAGTAACTGTAAAAAAGGTTCCGCTCTCCAGCGGCATTCCTGAGCTCCGGCAGACCCTGTTGCTTGCATTTTTAAGGGGTGATGCTTCTTCCTGAAAATTCCCCAAAATCCTGGGATTTGGGGCTGCCCTGGGAGCCTCCAGGAGCTGCTGGGGTTTGGGACTGGGGATAGAGGGAAGGGAAAAGGGATTGGGGGATGTGGATGAAAGGAAAGGCAGGGGGGTTTGGGGTTGAGAAAATTGGGAAGGGAAGGGTTTGGGATTTGTGGATATTTGGAAGGGAAAGGGGTTTGGGATTTGTGGATATTTGGAAAGAAAATGGGTTTGGGAATAACTGGAAGGGAAAAGGAGTGCTGGGGTTGTGGATATTTGAAAGGGAAAGGGGTTTGGGATTTGTAGATTTTTTGAAGGGAAAAGGGGTTTAGATTTGTGGATATTTGGTAGGGAAAAGAGTTTGGAGTTTGTGGATATTTTGGAAGGGAAGGGTTTGGGATTTTTGGATATTTGGAAGGGAAAAGGGTCTGGGATTTGTGGATATTTGGAAGAGAAGGGTTTGGGAATAACTGGAAGGAAAAAGGAGTGCTGGGGTTGGTTGTGAATATTTAGGAGGGAAAGGAGTTTGTGGATATTTGGAAGGTTTTGGGATTGAGAAAATTTGGAAGGGAAAAGGGGTTTGGAGTTTGTGGATATTTGGAAGGGAAGGATTTGGAGTTTGTGGTTATTTGGAAGGGAAAGGTTTGGGATAACTGGAAGGGGAAAGGAGTGCTGGGTTTGGGGATATTTGAAAGGGAAAAGGGTTTGGGATTTGTGGCTGTTTGGAAGGGTTTGGGGGTTGTGGATATTTGGAAGTGAAAGGGGTTTGTGAATGAGAAAATTTGGAAGGGAAGGGCTTAGAGTTTGTGGGTATTTGGAAGGAAAAGGGGCTTGGGGGTTGTGGATGTTTGGAAGGTTTGGGGTTTGTGGATATTTGGGAGTGTTGGGCTTGGGGCTCACAGGAAGGGGAAAGGGGTGCTGGGGTTGGGGATATTTTGGAAGGCTGTGTTCCAGCTGTGGGGAGCAGGAATTGCTGTGTTCCAGCTGTGTTCCAGCTGTGGGGAGCAGGCAGGAGCCCGCAGTCACCATTTTGTCCTCCCCGGGCTCCTCTTCCTCTTCCTCTCCCCGCCCCAATCGCCTCCGGTGCCCTTTTCCCTTTTTTCCCTTTTCCCGGAACGCTGCCCCGGTTCCCATAAAACCCTGGGCAGGCCCCTGGAGTTCCTCTGCTCCTGCTTTTCCTGACCCTTGGGATTCCTGTGTCCCTGCTTTTCCTGGCCCTTGGAATACCTCTACTCCTGGCTTCTCTGACCCTTGGAATGCCTCTGGCCCTGCTTTTCCCAGTCTTTGGAGTTCCTCTGTCCCTGCTTTTCCTCTGTCCCTCCTTTTCCAGGCCCTTGGAATTCCTCTATCCCTGCTTTTCTCAGCCCTTGGAATTGCTCTGGCCCTGCTTTTCCCAGCCTTTAGAGCTTCTCTATTCCTGCTTTTCCTGGCCCTTGAAATTCCTCTGTCCCTGCTTTTTCTAACCCTTGGAATGCCTCTGTCTATTCCTGCTTTTCCCAGCCCTTGGAATTCCTCTGTCCCTCCTTTTCCTGGCCCTTGAAATTCCTCTGTCTATTCCTGCTTTTCCCAGCCCTTGGAATTCCTCTGTCCCTCCTTTTCCTGGCCCTTGAAATTCCTCTGTCCTTGCTTTTCCAGGCCCTTGGAATTCCTCTGTCCCTGCTTTTCCTCTGTCCCTCCTTTTCCAGGCCCTTGGAATTCCTCTGTCCCCGCTTTTCCTCTTTTCCAGCTTCTCCTCTATTCCTGCTTTTCCAAGCCCTTGGAATACCTCTGTCCCTGCTTTTCCCAGCTTTTGGAGTTCCTCTATTCCTGCTTTTCCTGGCCCTTGGAGTTCCCCTGTCCCTGTCCCCACCCAGGGCAGAGTCCGAAGGGTGGCACTGGGGCCGTGCTGGCAGAGCAGGGCCCAGCCCAGCTTTGGGGTGGCTGCTTTGGCCCCAGAACCAGGGAAACTCCTCTTCCCTTGGGGATTTATGGAAAACTCCCCACTGGACCCCGAGTGTCCCCCTGCAGTGGCCTTGGGGACATCCCTGTCCCCACTGGCTTTGGTGTCCCCAGGGGAGGTGACACCCGGGCCTGGGCTGGGCCCCGAGCTTGTCTGCTCCAGAAATGGTTCCTCAAATCCTGGGGCTCCTGCTGTGGGGTTTCCCCCCACTTCAGGATGTGGGGTTTGGTCCAGGGAGTGGAGTCTGCCTCTCCCCAGGTTGTGGGGTTTTCCCCTCCCCAGGTTGTGGGGTCTGGTCCCCTCCAGGCTGTGGGGTCTGGTCCCCTCCAGGCTGTGGGGTCTGGTCCCCTCCAGGCTGTGGGGTCTGGTCCCCTCCAGGCTGTGGGGTCTGGTCCCCTCCAGGTTGTGGGGTCTGGTCCCCTCCAGGTTGTGGGGTCTGGTCCCCTCCAGGTTGTGGGGTTTTCCCTCCTCCAGGTTGTGGGGTTTTCTCTCCCCAAGTTGTGGGGTTTGCTCCACGTTGTGGGGTTTTCCCTCTTCCAGGTTGTGAGGTTTGCTCCAGGTTGTGGGGTTTGTCCTGCCCAGGTTGTGGGGTTTGTCCCAGATGTGGGGTTTGCCCCAGCTGTGGCTGCCCCTGGATCCCTGCAGTGTCCCAGGCCAGGCTGGACAGGGCTTGGAGCACCTGGGACAGTGGAAAATGTCCCTGCCATGGCAGGGGGTGACACTGGATGAGCTTGAAGGTCCCTTCGATCCCAAACCATTCCAGGATTATAAATCCGAGGAATCTGTGGATTATCTCTGACCCGCTCACCTGGATAACCTGGGAACTTTTAGAGCAGTTTTCCTTTAAATTCCTGATTTTCCACTGAGGCTGTGTAAGCTCAGAAGAGCTTCCAAAAAGTGTGTTCACACTCAGAAATAAAATCCCACCTGCTGGGATGTGGGAGCACCTGGGATCACCTCGGGATTGGGAAGCACAGGGTGCTGGTGCTCCTCCAAAACCCCGTTTGGATCCTGTCCTCTTTCCAGAACCTTCCTGGAAGCCAAAATAACTCCTGCTCCCCTGTGGGCAGCCCTGCTCCAGCCTCTTTTCGGTGCTGAGTTAGATTTCGTGGATCCAGCATTAAATTCTGCTCCCTCTGTGATTCCCAGCGAGGCTGGGAACAGGGAGAAATGTTCCACGGGGCTGGGAACAGGGGAAAAATGCTCCCAAAAAAGTTCTCTGAGGGCATCCCAGATCCCTGGGGCAGGAGTGTGCTGGGAATATTCTGGGATGGGGCAGGAATGTGCTGGGAATGCTCTGGGATGGATGGGGCAGGAATGTGCTGGGAATGCTCTGGGATATGGGGCAGGAATGTGCTGGGAATGCTCTGGGATGGATGGGGCAGGAATGTGCTGGGATGGGGCAGGAATGCTCTGGGAAGGGAGCAGAGCCTGCCCGGGAGCGTCGTCCTGCTGGGGCTGGGATTGGGATCAGGGGGATCTGCTGAGTCCCAGGGACCTGCTGTGGTTCCTGGATTTGGGATTGGGGTTGTTTCCCTGCTGGATCCCGGGGATCTGCCGCTCTTTGTGGATTTGGGGTTATTTCCCTCCTGGGTCACAGGGATCTGCTGCTGTTCCTGGAGCTGGGATTGGGACCAGAAAGATCTGCTGCTGCTCCCAGATTTGGGATTTGGGTTATTTCTGTACTGGATCCCAGAGATCTGCTGCTGCACCTGGATTTGGGATTGGGATCAGAAGGATTAGCTGTTCCTGGTTTTGGGATTGTTTCCTTGCTGGATACCAGGGATCTGCTGCTGTTTGTGGATTTGGGATTGGGGTTGTTTCCCTGCTGGATCAGAGGGACCTGCTGCTGTTTTATGGATTTGGGATTGGGATCAGAAGGATCTGCTGTGGTTCCTGGATTTGGGATTGGGGTTTTTTTCCCTGCTGGATCCCAGGGACCTGCTGCTCTCTGGGGCTTGGAAGGGACCCTTGACCCCCCCAAAACAGCTTGACACTCCCGAAAACCCCAAAAACTCCAGATCCAGCTGCAGATCCACCCTGCAGGAGCCCAAAATCTGGGAAGGGGCCAAACCAAAATCTGGGAAGGAGCAAAAGCCCCCTCCAGGTGGAAGAACTGGAGCAGAGGGGAGGAACAAATCCATCTCCTAGAGGGATGAAAAAGGAGGAGAATTGGAATTGTCCTCGCCAGGGCTGAGTCACTGTCCCCAGAGCCTGGCAGTGTTTGTGCACCGGGGTGTGGCACCAGGGGAGGTGACAGCAGGGCTTGGTCCCTGAAATGTGGATAAAAAAAATTATAATTTTATAAATTTTATCCTTTTAATAAAGGTTTGCAGGGAATGGGTTTGTTTACTTACAGCGTTGTGGATGCATGTTGGGACTTATTGCTTTTTGATGGATGTGCCTACCTTTGAAAACTTTTGGTTTTTTTTCAATTACTTTCACTAATTTTTACATGCAGTAAATTTTATAATAGGTTAATATGTATTTATTACGTTGATTTTACATTATATTTATTGTTGGTTAGATTTGTACTTCGCCTTTGTTAGAAAGTACAGAAAGAACTTTAGGGTTACTCGGTTTGTTTTAAGGTTTGAGGAGTTTTTTTTGTTTCTTATTTTTTAGTTTGGAAATTTGTATTTTTTTTTTTTTTTTTTTTAGTTGGCCGGGCTTGGAGAGGGAAATCAACTTTTTGAAGGTTTTAAAGTGGAAATAGCAAAAAGCAGCAGCTGGGCAGCCTTGAGTGTGATGGCTGAGTGTTAAAGGACTTTACCTGTGCTTTAATTAGTGCTTGGAGCTGCTAATTGGGTTTTTGGCCCAAATTTGGTGGAGTTTTCCCTGATTTTTTGGGGTGGTTTGGGAGCTGAGGGGGTCACCCAAGGGTGGGACTGGCAGAGCTGGCTGCCAGGGGTGTGAAGGTTTTGCTCCAGGAGAAAATTCCCATTCTTCTCCTGATAATTCCCACCAAATCCCCGTGGAAAAAATTGGACACTGAACTTGGGCTGTGCCACCTCAAAATGACAAAATCAGGAGAATTTTACCCCCTAAATCATCAAATCCAACCTTTAACCCCAGCTCTGAGGTGTTTTTTTCAGGCTTCTCCCAGCTCAGAGCCAGGTGGGAAGAATTTCTTTAAGAACAACCCAAAAAAAAAAAAAAATTTAAAAATTCTTTTTTAGGGTTTTTCAGAACCCAGGGTCTGGATTTTTGGGGATTTTGTGTCTTTTTCTGCTTCCCATGAGAAGCTTTTCCTGCTTGGCTCCTGCAACCTCACCTGCCCTGCTCTTCTGGCTGGCAGCAGACAAAGAGCAGCAATAAAATCAAAATAAATAAAATTTTTTAAAAACCCCAAAGCAGTAGCTATTTTTGTAGCATTTCTTGATATCTAAAAAAGAGATTGGAAATCACATTTTTGTGGCATTTCTTGATACCTAAAAAGATCTTGGAATGCCATTTTTGTGGCATTTCTTGATATCTAAAAAGGAGCTTGGAAATGCCATTTTTGTAGCATTTCTTAGTAGAAATGCCTTTTTTGTAGCATTTCTTAATATCTACAAAAGATCTTGGAAGTGCCATTTTTGTGGCATTTCTTGATATCTAAAAAGAGCTTGGAAATGCCATTTTTGTGGCATTTCTTGATACCTAAAAAGGAGCTTGGAAATGCCATTTTTGTAGCATGTCTTAGTATCTTGAAATCCCTTTTTTGTAGCATTTCTTGATATCTAAAAAAGTGCTTGGAAATGCCATTTTTGTGGCATTTCTTGATATGGAAAAAGGAGCTTGGAAATGCCATTTTTGTAGCATTTCTTAGTATCTAGAAATCCCATTTTTGTAGCATTTCTTGATATCTAAAAAAGTGCTTGGAAATGCTGCTTTTTGTGGCATTTCTTAGCATCTAGAAATCCCGTTTTTGTAGCTTTTTTAATATCTAAAAAGGACCTTGGAAATCCCGTTTTTGTGGCACAGGAAAATCCCGTTTTTTGGGGTCTCTCCGTGGGGAGTATGGGGTTCCAGCGGGGTTTTTGGGGTCCCTGCTGCTGATGTTTGGGGTTTTTGGTTTTTTTTTTGTTGCAGTTCTGGCACAAATCATGTTTCCACTGCGAGACCTGCAAGATGACCCTGAACATGAAGAACTACAAGGGCTACGAGAAGAAACCCTACTGCAACGCGTGAGTGGGGCTGGGGCGTCTTCTGGGGGGATCTCCTGGGGTGGGATCCCTTCCTGTGGGATCTTCTTGGGGGGGATCCCTTCCTGTGGGATCTCCTCCCACATGGGGACCCCTCCTTTGGGATTTCCTCCTGTGAGGGACCCTCCTTTGGGATTTCTTCTGGCGTCTCCAGTGTGGGGATCCTCCTGTGGGATCTCCTCCTGTGTGGGGATTTCCTCCAGGATCTCCTCCAGTGTTGGAGGATCTCCTCCTGTGGGATCCCTTCCTCTGGGATCTCCTTCTGTGGGTGGGATCTTCTCCTGTGTGTGTGGATTTCCACTTGTGGGATCCCTTCCTGTGGGATCTCCTCCTGTGTGTGGGGATCTCCTCTCATGGAGGAATCTTCAGTGTGGGGATCTCCTCCTTTGGGATCTCCACCTGTGTGTGGGGGGGATCCCTTCCTGTGGGATCTCCTCCCAGATGGGGGACCCCTCCTTTGGGATTTCCTCCTTGAGGGACCCTCCTTTGGGATCTCTTTTGGGATCTCCAGTGTGGGGATCCTCCTGTGGGATCTCCTCCTGGGTGGGGATTTCTTCTTTTTGTGGGGAACAGACCCAGAAATTCCCTTTGTGCAGGGAAGGAACCCAGAAATTTCCTTTTTACAGGGAACATTCCATTTTGAATTCCCTTTTTGTGGGGAACAGACCCTGAAATTCCCTTTTTGTGGGGAACAGACCCTGAAATTCTCTTTTGGTAGAGAGTGAACACAGGAATTCCCTTTTTGCAGGGAACAGACCTAGAAATTCCCTTTTTGCTGGCAACATTCCCTTTTGAAGTCCCTTTTTGCAGGGAGCAGACCCAGAAATTCTCTTTTTGTGCAGGGAACAGACCCAGAAATTCCCTTTTTGTGGGGAACAGACCCAGAAATCTCCTTTTTACGGGGAACATTCCATTTTGAATTCCCTTTTTGCAGGGAAGGAACCCAGAAATTCCCTTTTTGTGGGGTGCAGTCCCAGAAATTCTCTTTTTGTGGGGAACATTCCCTTTTGAATTCTCATTTTGCAGGGAACAGGCCCAGAAATTCCCTTTTTGCAGGGAAGGAACCCAGAAATTCCCTTTTTTTTGCAGGGAACAGGCCCAGAAATTCCCTTTTTGCTGGCAACATTCCCTTTTGAATTCCTGCTGCCACCTGGATTTCCTGGCAGGGCAGGAATCCCAAGGTAAATAAAGCTGGCAGCAAAGAAATCCTGCCTGAGGGGATGGAGGCAGGGCCGGGCCTTTCTTTTTTTATCTGGGCCTTTTTTATATTTTTATTTTTTCTGGGCCCTTTTTTTTCCTTAAGCCCTTTTTTTCTGGGCCTTTTCTTTTCTTGGGCTTCTTTTTTTCCTTGAGGCCTTTTTCCTCTGGGCCTTTTTTTTTTTATTTATTTTTTTTTCCTCTGGGCCACTTTTTTCCTAGGCCCTTTTTTTATTTCTGGGTCCTTTTTTTTTGCCCTGGGCCTCTTTTTTTCCTTTATCCCTTTTCACTCTGGGCCTTTTATTTTATTTTTTTTTTTCCTGGCCCTTTTTTTCCCCTGGGCCCTTTTTCCCTTGCCCCTTTCCACTTTTTCCTCAGCACTGAATTTTCCCGTCCAACTTTTATTTTTTATTTTTTTCCCTTATCCAGAAGGACCCTTTGGACGCAAAACATTTCTTAATATCTAAAAGGTGGCTTGAAAAATCCCATTTTTTTCTAGCTGTTCCTTATGCACTGGTAGTACTTAGAAAGAAAATCCAGGACATCCCAGGGAGGGATTTTTTCCCAATATTCCTGATTTTACTCTTGAAGTTTTTGCTTTAAAATCAGGAATATTTGGAATATTTCTCTTGGTGTTTAAATGTTTACATTTGCCCTTTAAATTTTACTCTTCTGAGTTCCACAGAAAGGAGAAGTGGTGAGAGCAGGGCTTGGCCAGCCCCTCCCATTTCCGTGGGGTTTTTTTAAGGTGGTTTTTGAATTTATGGATTTCCTCCAAAATCCAGAAGAATTTTGAGAGGAAATTTTGTGTTAAATTCCAATTTGGGCAGGGATTGGCTTTTTTTGGGGGGGTCTCCCCGGGGTGACAATGCAAAGAAGTGGTTGAAAATAAGAAAATTTTTTTTTTTTTTTAACTGTAGGAGCTCCATCTTTTGGGGTGGAAGCAGGAAATTTTGGGGTGAAAACAGGAAATTTTGGGGTGTTTTCAAGGGGAAATGTTTGAGCTGAGGCAGGCGGGTTCTGCCTTTGTGGGGTGATGATTTTTTTGGGGTGGGGAGGGTCTGGTTTGGCAAAGCTGAGCCCCCAAAACTTGACCCAGAATTTTTTTCCCTGCTGGGAAAATTCAATTTACCAATCCCCAGGCTCAGGGTCCTGTTCTTGTGCTTGAAGTGGGATAAAAATGGGAAATTCCTGAAATTCCAAAAAGTCTGAGCAACCTCCCCCCTCTCCTTGGGCTCTCTGATGCTGCTGCTGCTTTAACCCTTCCCAGCCCGGCGCTGAGCACAAAAACTGCCCCAAAAAATCCTTTTTTCTTCCCATTTTCCTTGTCTAAAATAAACAAAAAAAAAAAAAAAAAAAAAAATATCAGAAATGGGAGCAGCTGGAAATTCCTGGAGGATTTTCCAAAGTGGGGAGGTTTGAGATGTGGAGAGAATTGGGAAAAATCCAGGTTTGGATTTTGGGGTTGGTTCCTTCTCAGCTGCTCCCAGGAATGAGCAGAAACTCTAGGAGGAGCCCAGAAAAATTAAAAATAAGAAGAAATTCCCAAATTTCCTGGATTTGGAGGGACAAATCGGGAGAAGGGGGTGGAAAAGCAACAGAAAAAAATAAATTCCCAAATTTCCTGGATTTGGAGGGACAAACAGGGAGAAGGGGGTGGAAAAGTAACGTTTATCCTGGCAGGGAAGAGGCTGCTGCTCCAAACAGGCTCCTCTCTGTTCCAGCCGGGGCTCCATGCCAAATTCCTGAGTTTCTTTCTTCTGGGAGAGCAGGAGGAAGAGGGTTGAGCTTCCTCTATGGGCCCAACCAGAAACCCTGGAGGAATCTTTTTTTGGGGAATGGACTGGTGGCAGAAATACAGGTTTTATAAATACATAAAATTGTGTAAAATACATTATAAATACAAACCCCTGTTTTATAAATATATAAAATTATATTTTATAAATATTTTAAATTACATGTTATAAGTATATTAAAATACATTTTATAAATACATAAAATATATTCTATATGTATTTAAATTACATTTTAAAAATATTTAAATTACATTTTCTAAATATATTAAAATACATTTTCTAAATCTATAAAAATATTTAATATATTTATAAAATATATCTAAATTTTTTAAATTAACTATTATCTACATATACGTATTTTATCTTAATTTTAAATGAATACTATATAGAAATATGTATATTTTATATAATTTGCTGCGCTGAGGCTGAGGGATGAGGGAGAATCCCACCTGGAAAAATCCTGGATGAGGGCTCAAAGGTGAATATCCAGGGGTCTGCTGGGGTTCCTGGATTTGGGATTGGGGTTATTTCCTTGATCCCAGGGATCTGCTGCTGTTCCTGGATTTGGGATTGGGGTTATTTCTGTAGTGGATCCCAGGGATCTGCTGCTGTTCCTGAAGCTGGGATTGGGATTCCAGGGATCTGGTTCTGGGACTGGGGTTGTTTCCCTGCTGGATCCCAGGGATCTGCTGTGGTTCCTGGATTTGGGATTGGGGTTATTTCTGTGCTGGATCCCAGGGATCTGCTGTTCCTGGAGTTGGGATTGGGATCAGAAGGATCTGCTGCTGTTCCTGGATTTGGGATTGAAGTTATTTCTATGCTGGATCAGAAGGATTTGCTGCTGTTTTATGGATTTGGGATTGGGGTTGTTTCCCTGCTGGATCCCATCGCTGACCCCAAAACCGCCCTGGGATCATCCGTAGGGTTGGCCTGGCCATGGGGTTGGTCTCTCCTGCCCCCCTCCAGCCCTGGCACAGGGAATTTGGGACAAATCCTGGAGAAATCCCATCCCAGGGAGCAGCTGCACACGTGGAAGGCTGGCCCAGCTTTTCCCTGGAAACCCTGGGAGGATCCCAGCCCTCCCCTGCCCCCATTCCCAGTGGGATTTCTGCCAAAATCTCAGTTTATTTTTTAAGCTCGTCCCCAGAATCCCTGTGAGAGGCAGGATGTGACCTGGGAGCCTCCTGGCAGAGCACAGCCAAATTTAAATTTCTCCCTTTGTTTAACTCCCCTCTGCCCAGTCTTTCCCAGATTTTTCCCAAATCCCTGACCCAGCTTGGGGGGGTGGCTGTCACCCCTGGGAGTGGCAGGGACAGGGAATGTTTGCGTCCCTGGGTGGAGCAATCTGCAAAAAAAAAAAAATCAAAAAATGAAAATCTGGTTTGAAGCCTCAATATAAGCAACACTCCGAATTCCCAAGGTTTTTCCAAACACTGGCGGCTCTCACATCATCCCTGGTGGTTTTTTTTGGGATCAGACTCGGGGTTGGGTCGTGTTGGGGATGCAAAATCTGCTCCTGGAGCTCCCAAATTCCAGCGGTTGTGTCTGGAGAGCAGCTGGGCCATGCCGGGCTGCACTCCCAGGGAGTTTTTAGTGGTGTTCCAGGATTTATCCTCATTTCCAGCTTGGGAAAAGCTCCAAAGGGAGCAGCTTGGGATGGGAGGTTTTGGGGGAAATGCTGCTTTTAGGGCAGGGCTGGGATGGAATTGGGGGGTGAGTGCTGGGAGATTCCCTGGGAGTAGCTGGATCCTTCTGCTGCAGGGATGAATTTCCATCCTCTGGGAATTTGCTGTGCTCAGCTCCCTCCTTCTCCTGCAGAGATGAATTTCAATCCTCTGGGAATTGCTGTGCTCAGCCCCTTCCTTCTGGAGGGATGAACTTCCATTCCCTGGGAATTTTCAGGCTCAGAGGGATGAATTTCCATCCTGCAGGAATTGCCATGTTCCTAATGTGGAAGGGGTGAATTTCCATTCCCTGGGAATTGCTGTGCTCAGTTCTTTCCTTCTGGAGGGATAAACTTCAATCCTCTGGGAATTGCCAGGCTCAGCCCCTTCCTTCTCCTGCAGGGATGAATTTCCATCCCCTGGGAATTGTCGGGTTCAGCCCCTTCCTTCTCCTGCAGGGATGAACTTCCATTCCCTGGGAGTTGCCGGGCTCAGCTCCTTTCTTTCTGGAGGGATGAATTTCCATTCCCTGGGAATTACCAGGAGGGATGAATTTCCATCCCCCAGGAATTGCCGGGCTGGGAGGGATGAATTCCCATCCTTCAGGAATTGCCGGGCTCTGAGGGATGAATTCCCATCCTTCAGGAATTGCCGGGCTCTGAGGGATGAATTTCCATCCCCGGGAATTGCTGGGCTCATCCCGCCCTAATGCGGCCGCCAGACGGGAGCTGTGCCCGGGGCGATTCCTCTGACCTGATTTAGCAGCGCCACAAAAGCCTCAGCCTCGTCTGAGCCACCAGAGATTTTGTGGGGTTTTGTGGGATTTTGAGGATGGAAAGGGGCCCCTCCCACTGTGGGGTTGTGTTTGGGGTGTGTTGTGTGTGGAATCCTGGTGTACTCTGAATTTAAGGGATTCCCCAGCAATCCCAGCGTGTTTTAAAGTGTTGTCCAAACACTCCTGGGGCTCTGGGATCCACAGGAATCAGCAATCCAACTCCTGGCCCTGCACAGACACCCCAAAAATCCACAAGAGCGATGTCCAAACCCTCCTGGAGCTCTTGGGGCTGTGCCCATTCCCTGGGGAGCTGTTCCAGTGCCTGAGCACCCTCTGAGGGGGGGAAAAAAATCCCAAAATCCAGCCTGAACCCCCCTGGCACAGCCCCAGCTGTTCCCTTGTGCTATCCCTGTCTCAGAGATCAGAGCTGCTCCTCTCTCTCCCCCTGAGGAGCCTCCCCTGGCTTTTCCAGCTGCATCCAGAGGCGGCTTTTCCTTAGGGTTCCTCACCCCCCTCCCCGGGATCCTGTGGAGCTGCAGCTCAGGGAGGGTTTTCCGGCTCCTCCATCCCTGTGTCTCCCTGGGACAGCAATTCCAGCAGGGAATTGTGTGCAGACTGCAGGCAGGGATGGAGGGATGGATAAAGGGATGCCAGCATTGAGGAGAGACCCCGAGGTTCCCCACCCAATCCCCCCTGCCAGTCTGTTGGCTCCACTCCCAAGATCTCCCAGCTCCTCTCCATCAATCCCTGGGATAATCCGTGGGAATAATCCCTGTCTGGCCGGCGCTGGAGCAGCCCTGGGCTCCTCACGCCCCCCTGGGCGCTGCAGCAGCACCAACGCAGCGTTCCCAGCGCCCACCGAAACTGGGGTCCCATCCCGGATCCTATCCCAGATCTCCTCCTGGAATTCCTGAATGCCTCCTCCCCAGCTGTTCCTGGAGCTGGGATTGGGATCAAAAGGATCTGCTGCTGTTTGTGGATTTGGGATTGGGGTTGTTTCCCTGATCCCAGGGACCTGCTGTGGTTCCTGGGTTTGGTTTTGGGATTCCTTCCCTGCTGGTTCCCAGGGATCTGCTGCTGCTGTTCCTAGATTTGGGATTGGTGTTGTTTCCCTGTTGAGTCACAGGGATCTGCTGCTGTTTTATGGATTTGGAATTGGGATCAGAAGGATCTGCTATGGTTCCTGGATTTGGGATTGGGGTTGTTTCCCTGCTGGATCCCAGGGATCTGCTGCTTTTTTATGGATTTGGGATTGGAGTTATTTCCCTGATCCCAGGGACCTGCTGCAGTTCCTGGGTTTGGGATTGGGGTTATTTCTGTGCTGGATCCCAGGAATCTGCTGTTCCTGCTCCTGGATTTGGGATTGGGAATGTTTCTCTGTTGGATCCCAGGGATTTGTGGCCACTGCTGAGGCCACACCTCGAGTGCTGTGAATTCCAGTTGGGAATTCAGCTCTTTGCTAAGGAATTTAGCCCCCAATTCCATAATTCCATGGTGGGAATTGCTGTGCTGGGCAGGTGGGGACAGGGGACGGTGGCATTAACCCTTTCCTTCCCTTGGCAGACACTACCCCAAGCAATCCTTCACCATGGTGGCAGACACGCCCGAGAACCTGCGCCTAAAGCAGCAGAGCGAGCTCCAGAGCCAGGTGAGCCCCCCAAATTCCCAAAATTCCCACGGGAAAATCCCACCCTGACCTTTCCCCATTGTGTTTCTGTCTGTGAGGGTTCCATATTTTGGGATTTCTCAGTGTTTCCTCTCCAGAGGGGCCTTTCCAGCCCCGAGCATTCCAGGGTTTTCTGGCTGATTCCCAAAATTCCCATGGGAAAATCCCACCCTGACCACTCCCCATTGTGTTTCTGTCTCTGAGGGTTCCAGATTTTGGGATTTCTCTGGGTTCCCTCTCCAGAGGGGCCCTTCCAGGGAGGCTTTGAGCTCTGCCTGGGCTGGGGTGCCAGGGATGGGTGACAGAGATGGGGTAACAGGGATGGGGTGACAAAGACAAGGAGCTGCAAGGATGGGTGACAGTGACACTGTGACAGGGATGGGTGACAAGGACAAGGAGCAGAAAGGATGGGGTGACAGGAATGGGTAACGATGGGGTGACAACGATGGGTGACAGGGATGGGGTGACAGGGATGAGGAGCTACAAGGATGGGGTGACAGGGATGGGGTGACAAGGAGCTGCAAGGGTGGGTGACAGGGATGGGGTGACAAGGATGAGGAGCAGAAAGGATGGGTGACAATGATGGGGTGACAATGATGGTGTGACAAAGATGGGTGACAGGGATGAGGTGACAAGGACAAGGAGCTGCAGGGGTGGGGTGACAAGGATGAGGAGATAATGATGGGGTGACAGGGATGGGGTGACAATGACGGGGTGACAAGGAGCTTCAAGGGTGGGTGACAGGGATGGGGTGACAAGGATGAGGAGCAGAACGGATGGGGTGACAGGGACACGGTGACAGGGATGGGTGACAAGGACAAGGAGCTGCAAGGACAGTGGGTGACAGGGACACGGTGACAGGGCTGCCAGGCACAGGGTGTGGGTGCCAGCAGCGCTTCAGTGCCACTCCTCTGTCCCCTCTATTTGTGTCCCCGAGGAGGCGAAGCTGCTGGTTAATGATGTCCTGCCAGGCCAAAAATGTCCCCAAAGTGCCACCCTGGTGCCCACAGGTGGCTCTGCCCAGCCCACGTGTGGCATCAAAAATTGCAGCTTCCCATCCCATTTTTGGGATTTTTTTTTGGAGCATCCCAAAAAAAACTCCTTTTCCCAGGGGAGGGAATTTGGGCACTGAGGGTGTGCGGGTGGCAGTGCCACTCCTGTGACACACAGCAGCAGTGTCACCTCAGTGCTGGTGACAAAAAAAGGAGGGTTTGATGTGGGAATGTTTTTTTTTTTGGCTCCTTTTGGAGAATTCATGGAGTCACGGCAGGGAGGAAATGAATTAATGAATGAATTAATAAATTAAATGAATTAATTTAATTTTTCTGCCCCGGAGATGGTGTTTTAAAAACTTTTATCCCATTTTCAATCTCACGAGAAGGGTGAGACAATACAGATATAATCCATGTAAATCAAGATATAAATCCCTATAAATCAGAAGCCAAGTATTTCCTAATTGCAATACAAACATTGATATTTATAAACAATATAAACTTTGAGCTCTGCCTGGGCTGAGCTCAAAGTTAATTACTTTGTTAAATTGTATTTGTCATTGGCATGGGGGTGATGCCAGGGTGGTTTTAGGGCTGAATTTTGGTGTCCTGAACATCAGCAGGATGAAAAACCAAGGAAGATGGAGCAGGGTGGGATTGAGGAGGGTAAAAATACAGGATTTATCAGAGGAGCTGCCCTCCTGTGCTGTATTTTGGGATTTTCCCTGTGCTGTTTTCTGGGATTTTCCCTGTGCTGTTTTCTGGGATTTTCCCTGTGCTGTTTTTTGGGATTTCCTGTGCTGTTTTCTGGGATTTTCCCTTCTGTTTTCTGGGTGGCAGCGGGGGCTGGGCAGGCCCAACTGTGCCCTGTTCCAATCCCTGCCCCTTTTCCTGCCCCTTTTCCAATCCCTGCCCCATTCCAATCCCTTTTCCTGCCCCTGTTCCAATCCCTTTTCCTGTTCCAATCCTTTTTCCTGCCTCATTCCAATGCCTGCCCCTGTTCCAAATCCTTTTCCTGCCCCTGTTCCCATCCCTTCCCCTGTTCCAATCACTTTTCCTGCCCTGTTCTGATTCCTGCCCCATTCCAATCCCTTTTTCTGCCCTGTCCCAATCCCTTTCCCTGTTCCAATCCCTTTCCCTGCCCTTTTTCCCATCCCTTTTCCCGTTCCAATCCCTTTTCCTGCCGCATTCCAATCCCTGCCCCTGTTCCAATCCCTTTTCCTGCCCCATTCCAATACCTGCCCCTGTTCCAAACCCTTTCCCTGCCCTTTTCCCATCTCTTTTCCCATTCCAATCCCTTTTCCTGCTCCTGTTCCAATCCCTGTCCCTTTTCCCATCTCTTTTCCCGTTCCAATCCCTTTCCCTGCCCTTTTCCCATCCCTTTTCCCGTTCCAATCCCTTTTCCCGCCCCAGATCCGCTACAAGGAGGAGTTTGAGAAGAACAAGGGCCGAGGTTTCAGCGTGGTGGCCGACACCCCCGAGCTGCAGAGGATCAGGAAGACTCAGGACCAGATCAGCAACGTGAGCGAGCGCCAGCCCTGCCAGGGCACGGGGAGGGGACAGACGGGGGGGACACAGATTGTCCCCTGCCCAGAGCTCCCTGTCCCTGCCAGGACCGCAGCAAACAGCCAGGGGACACAGATTGCTGCGGTCCTGGCAGGGACAGGGGGGTCTGGGGAGGGGACACAGATTGCTGAGGTCCTGGCAGGGACAGGGAGGTCTGGGATGGGCAGGGAGGCTCAGGGATGTGCAGGGATGCTCTGGGAGGCTCAGGGATGGACAGGGGATGCTCAGCAAGGTTTGGGGATGATCTGGGATGGGCAGGGAGGCCCTGGGAGGGAAAGGAATGGGCAGGGATGGACAGGAGTGCTCTGGGGTGGGCAGGGATGTGCAGGGATGCTCAGGAATGGACAGGGAGGCACAGGGATGCTCAGGGATATGCAGGAAATGCTCTGGGATGGACAGGGAAGCTCTGGGAGCCTCAGGGATGGGTAGGGATCCTCAGGGATCCTCATCCTGGAAAAATTCCTCAGCCCGGCCCCAGGGCACAGAAAGCTCCTCCTGTCCTGCCCTGTCTGCTCCTGTCTCCGTGCTCAGGGGTGGGAAAAACCCCCTGGGATTTCCAGGGGTGCCAAAAAGAGCCGAGCTGGGATGAGGGGGATGAAGCATCCCCAAATCCTTGAGGCTGGGGAAGCCCAGCACGACCCCAGCGCCGCCTCAGCAGCAGCAGCCCGCGTGGGGCAGCCCTGACTCTCCCTTTTGAAGGAATCCTGCCCAATTTCCAAGCCGAGCCGAGCCCTGAGCTGTGCCCCCCTCCCTGCAGATCAAGTACCACGAGGAGTTCGAGCGCAGCCGGATGGGCCCCGGCCCCAGCGAGGGCTCGGAGCCGGAGCGCCGCAGTTCCCAGGAGAGCGGCGGCTACCGGAGAGCGGAGCAGCCCCAGCCCCAGCAGCACGGCCAGCCCGGAGCCACCGGTGGGTGGGGACAGCCCCGGGGCTGCCCGGCGTGCCCCACACCCCGAAATCCCAGTGCAGGATTCCCCGAAATCCCAGTGCAGGATCTGCCCAAATCCCAGTGCAGGATTCCCCAAAATCCCAGTGCAGGATCTGCCCAAATCCCAGTGCAGGATCTGCCCAAATCCCAGTGCAGGATCTGCCCAAATCCCAGTGCAGGATCTGCCCAAATTCCAGTTCATGGATCCACTGAAATCTCTGTAGGATCCACACGAATTCCAGTTCATGGATCCACTGAAATCTCTGTAGGATCCACCCAAATCCCAGTGCAGGATCCGCTGAAATTCCAGTGCAGGATCTGCCCACATCCCAGTGCATGATCCATCTGAATTCCAGTTCATTGGTCCACTGAAATCCCAGTGCAGGATCCATCTAAATTCAAGTTCATGGATCCACTCGCATCCCTGTGACTGGATCCATCCAAATCCCAGTGCAGGATCCGCTGAAATCCCAGTGCAGGATCTGCCCAAATCCCAGTTCAGGATCCATCCTTCCCTCCACACCCCAGTTTAGGATCTACTCCCGTCCCAGTTCATGGATCCCCTGTCCCTCCCCATCCCAGTTCATTCCCAGTCTCCCATCCCAGTTCGCTTCCAGTCCCAGTTCATTCCCGGTCCCAGTTCCCAGTCCCAGTTCCCTCCAGTTCATTCCCAGTTCATTCCCAGTTCCCTCCTGTCTCTCCCAGTCCCTCCCAGTTCACTCCAGTCTCTCCCAGTTCATTCCCAGTTCCCTCCCGTCTCTCCCAGTCCCTCCCAGTTCACTCCAGTCTCTCCCAGTTTACCAGCAGCAGCAGCCGTCTCCGTCCCAGTCCTTCAGCTACAAGGATCCAGCGGCTCCAGCCTCGGCCCCGCGCGGTGCCCCAGCCGGGGGTGGGGTGAGTGCAGCCGGCTCCCAACTCCCATTCAGGGGTCCCTCAGCCCCCCAAATCCCACCCGGGGCTCCCCCAGTCCCCCAGTTCCCACCCGGGGGTCCCTCTGCTCCCCCAGCCCCAGGAGAAGCCATTTTTGGGGGGGTTGGAGGCTCAGTTTGGGGGGGTTGGGCACTCAGTGCCCTGTGGCTGTGCCCATGTCCCTGATGTCCCCTGGGGCTGTCCCTCGGGGCTGTGACAATGTCCCTGATGTCCCCTGGGGCTGTCCCTGTGTCCCTCGGGGCTGTGACCATGTCTGGGTGTCCCCTGGGACTGTGCCAATGTCCCCTTGGGCTGTAATGATGTCCCCGTGTCCCTTGGGGCTGTTCATGTCCCTTGGGGCTGTGCCAATGTCCCGGCGCCCTCAGGGGCTGTGCCAATGTCCCCTGCCACTGTCCCGTGTCCCCCTGACCCCTGTAGCTGTCCCCATGTCCCCGTGTCCCCTGGGACTGTGACAATGTCTCGATGTCCCCTGGCCCTGTCCCCACGTCCCCATGTCCCCTGTGGTTGTTCCCTGTCCCCTGGGGCTGTGCCAATGTCCCCTGCCACTGTCCCCGTGTCCCCCTGACCCCTGTGGCTGTCCCCATGTCCCATCCCCACATCCTCATGTCCCCTGGGACTGTGGCAATGTCTCAGATGTCCCCTGTCCCTGTCCCCACATCCCTGTGTCCCCTGGGACTGTGGCAATGTCTTGATGTCCCCTGTCCCCACATCCCCGTGTCCCCCTGACCCCTGTGGCTGTCCCCATGTCCCATCCCCACATCCTCATGTCCCCTGAGACTGTGGCAATGTCTCGATGTCCCCTGGGACTGTGACAATGTCTTGATGTCCCCTGTCCCCACGTCCCCGTGTCCCCTGTGGCTGTGACAATGTCTCGATGCCCCCTGGCCCTGTCCCCACGTCCCCGTGTCCCCTGTGGCTGTGACAATGTCTCGATGCCCCCTGGCCCTGTCCCCACGTCCCGTGCTGTCCCCTCAGAAGCGTTTCCGAGCCGTCTACGACTACACGGCGGCAGACGAGGACGAGGTTTCGTTCCAGGACGGCGACACCATCGTCAACGCGCAGCAGATCGACGACGGCTGGATGTACGGCACGGTGGAGCGCACCGGGGACACGGGCATGCTCCCCGCCAACTACGTGGAGGCCATCTGAGCCCGGGGACGCGCCCGTGTCCCCTGGTGCCCGTGTCCCCTCCTCGTGTCCTCGGCTCTGTCCCCTCCCCACCCTCGGAGCCGCCCTGTCCCCACCCCGTGTCCCCTCCGCGGCCGGGTTCTCTCCGTGGTGGCCCCGTGGGGATGGTGTGGGGTGGGGGTTAAAGCCCCAGGGTGTTCCTGCTGCTGTCCCCATTGTCCCCTCTGTCCCCCCTGTCCTGCCCTCCCAGCGGGGGGAAGCTCCGGAGCCTCCCAGGAGAGGGAAGGAGAGGCCACGTCAGGACCAAATTCCCGCTGTGGAGTGGGGGTGAGAGCCCCAGGGTGTCCCTGCTGCTGTCCCCACTGTCCCCCCTGTCCCTCCTGTCCCCCCGTCCTGCCCTCCGGAGCCTCCCAGGAGAGGGAGGGAGAAGCCACACCAGGACCAAATTCCCGCTGTGGGGTGGGGGGGGGCCAGGGGGCCTCACCCCAGGGTGGCCACCCCGAGGGTGCCCGGGGCTGGTGGGGCTGGTGGGGCTGGCAGCTCCTCCTCCTCCTCATCCTCCTCCTCGCTCCCTTGGGTGCTCAGAGCAGCCCTGGGGCTTTTCCTGGGGGCAGCAGCTCTGGCTGGGGGGGCTGGGGTGAGCCCCCCTGAACTGGGATGAGCCCCCCAAGCTCCAGCTCGCTCTGGGCTGGGTCTGGGGGTCCCCTGGGGGAGCCTTTTCCCCCCACCCCAAATTCTCCTGCTTTTCTCCTGCTGCTGCTGTGCGCTGCCACCCTTGGGTGCTGTGGCACCCCAGGCCACCCCTGGGTGCCGGTGGCAGCTTTTTGGGACCATTTTGGGGTCGCGTCATGGACCAAAACATGCGAGCCCGTCCCTGTCCCCTCCTCCCGGTCCCTTCTCCTGCTCCGGAGGGGTTGGGGTGGGGTCGGGACAAACTGGAACCGAGCAGGGACCTGGGGACAGCGGGGGTGGCACCCTGCCAGGACCTGGGCACGGAGGGGTGTAACCCTGCCAGGACCTGCGCCGCCTTTGCCATTCCAGGAAAATCGGGAATAAAGGGACCAAAGCGGCCGGGAGGGGACATCCCTTGGTCCTTGGGGACAATCCTCAGTCCTTGGGGACAATTCCTGGTCCTTGGGGACAATTCCTGGTCCTTGGGGACAATCCTCAGTCCTTGGGGACAATTCCCGGTCCTCGGGGGCCGGGATTGGGGTCAGGGGTTTGGGGGGCACAGCCGGGGTGGGGGTCCCGGGTTGGGGGTCCTGGTTCTGGTTTGGGGGTCCCAGGATGGGGTCTCGGTTTGGGGGTCCCAGCTGGTGCTAAAATCGGGGAGCACAAGGGGCAGGGGGAACCTCCTGGCCCTGCCCAATCCTCTTCTCAATCACCTCCTTGTCCGGGAAACGAGAATCAATGTGAATAAATCATTTTTTAATGGACCAAATGCCACAGGAAATTCCCCTTTTTTGGGATACAGATTTTTTTTTTTAATCCTCCCTCCAAATTGTCCCTAAATTCTCCCCTCCCCTGCCGTGGAAACAAACCTTTTACTGCTTGATTTCTTGCCTTTTTTCTCTCAACTTTATGCACTTTTTTGCCTTTTTTTTTTCATAGCTGGAAAAGCACCTAAACCTGTATTTAAAATAAATAAATAAAAGAGTTTAAAAAAAAAATTACAAGGAGGAAGAACGATTAAAAAGCTGAATTAATTGCATCTCATCACGTGTAAAATAGAACCTCATCCATCCCAGCTTCCCTGGTTGTGTCTCGGTGCTTAGAACGTGTTTTCCTCGGGATCTGTCACTCGATTGGGGTTTTGTCCTTTTGTCCTTCCTGGGTTGAGCACACACCAGTCAAAAAAGAAAAAAAAAATTAAAAAGTTATTTGGCCTTTTTATCCAAAAAAAGAAACCCCATGGAACGGAACAACCCGACCAATTCTCTTTGGATCAAAAATAAAAGTTTAATTTTTACCTGCTGATTGTGCTGGGTTTGATTCCGGCCGCTTTTCCTGCTTGGTTGGGACATGGGGAAAATTCCAGAACTGGGAAAGGGACATGGGGAAAATTCCAGAGCTGGGAAAGGGACATGGGGAAAATTCCAAACCAGGAAAGGGACACGGAGAAAATTCCAGAATGGGGGAAGGGACACGGAGAAACTTCCAAACCAGGAAAGGGACACAGAAAATTCCAGAGCTGGGAAAGGGACACGGGGAAAATTCCAGAACCAGGAAAGGGACACAGAAAAAATTCCAGAACCAGGGAAGGGACACGGAGAAACTTCCAGAGCTGGGGAAGGGAAACGGGGAATTTCCAGAAACGGGGAAGGGACATGGGGAACTTCCAGAGCTGGGGAAGCTTCCAGAACCAGGGAAAGGACACAGAGAAAGTTCCAGAGCCGGGGAAGAGACACAGAGAAACTTCCAGAACCAGGGAAGGGACATGGAGAAACTTCCAGAACGGGGGAAAGGGACAGAACGACCCCCGTGGGAACAGAACGACCCCCGGGAGCGGGGACAGGGCTGGGCTGGGCCGGGTTTTTTTCCTTCATTTCCCGCAGGAAAGCGGCTCCATCAGCTCCGGCATCATCTCAGCATCCTGAGCGGAGCGAGCCGCGCTCGGGCGGGGAGGGGAGGACGCAGCGGAGGCTCTGCCCAGCGGCCCTGCCCGGAGCCCCGAGCCCCTCCCGGAGCCTCTCCCGGAGCCTCTCCCGGAGCCCCTCCCGGAGCCCCGCATCCCCTGCCCCGCCGCCTCCTCCCTCCTTTCCTCCCTCCCTCACCATGCTGGACATTTTCATCCTGATGTTTTTCGCCATCATCGGCCTGGTGGTGCTGTCCTACATCATTTACATGCTCTGAGCAGGAAGATGCGCCTCAGCAGCGGCCTCGCCAGCCCAGGGGCGGCCAGGTGAGCTCCTCGCCCCTTCCAGGTGGGAATTTTGGGGGAGGATTGTGCCGGGATGGGGGGCAGAGGGCAGGTTGGGGGTCGGTGCTGTTGGCTGTGGCCGCTCAGCTCTGCCGGGTTCTCCCTGCTGGGGAAAATGGAGCAGCTCCGGGGAGAGCCGGGCGGGATCGCGGCGGCGCCATCCCGAGGAGCCGAAGGAGGCTCCCGGGCCCGGGGGGCTGCTCCCGCACGGAGCTGCTCCATCCCCGGTTCTCCCGCACGGAGCTGCTCCATCCCCGGTTCTCCCGCACGGAGCTGCTCCATCCCCGCTCCCCCCGCACGGAGCTGCTCCATCCCCGGTTCTCCCGCACGGAGCTGCTCCATCCCCGGTCCCGGTTCTCCCGCACGGAGCTGCTCCATCCCCGGTTCTCCCGCACGGAGCTGCTCCATCCCCGGTCCCGGTTCTCCCGCACGGAGCTGCTCCATCCCCGGTTCTCCCGCACGGAGCCGCTCCGGTCCCGGTTCTCCCGCCGCTCGGGCCCGGCTCACGCCGGTTTCTCTCCGTCTCTCCCGCAGCCTCCGCCCGGTTCGAGTCCCTCGGAGCCTTCTGGAGCAGCGTTAACCCCTGCGAGCCCGGCGCGGAGCACGGAGCGGGCACGGAGCCGGACGGGAACGGGGGGACACGCGATGGGGCTCCGGGGGGCTGCCCCGCTGCCAGGACCCGGCTGATCCCCCTGCCAGGACCTGTGTCCTTCCCGCTGCCGGGACCCGGCTGATCCCCCTGCCAGGACCCGTGTCCTTCCCCCTGCCAGGACCTGTGTCCTTCCCGCTGCCGGGACCCGGCTGATCCCCCTGCCAGGACCCGTGTCCTTCCCCCTGCCAGGACCTGTGTCCTTCCCGCTGCCGGGATCCGCGTCCTTCCCGCTGCCAGGACCCGGCTGATCCCCCTGCCAGGACCTGTGTCCTTCCCCCTGCCAGGACCCGGGACGCTCCCGGTGTCCCGGGGGGGTGGGAGGGCTCCTGTCCCCCCCTCGGGTCGCGTCCCCTCGGTCCGAGGCTCAGCCGGGTTTCGTTTCAGGGATTTTAGGACGCGGTTTTTGGTTTTGATGAGCGATGCTCAGGGAGCGGAATAAAGAGGAATAAAGAGAAATAAAGATGAATAAAAAGGAATAAAGAGGAATAAAGAGGAAGGGCGAAATAAAGAGGAATAAAGAGGAATAAAATGGAAGGACGGGATAAAGAGGAAGGATGGAATAAAGAGGAGTAAAGAGGAAGGACGGAATGAAGAGGAAGGACGGGATAAAGAAGAAGGACGGGGAAAATGGGAAGGACGGGATAGAATAAAGAGGAAGGATAGAATAAAGAGGAAGGACGGGATAAAGAGGAATAAAGAGGAAGGACGGGATGAAGAGGAAGGACGCAGGAGAGGGAAGGTGGCTCTGGTGGCTCTGGTGTCACTGCAGGGATGGGAGAGGGGGACACGCGGCTCCCGGGAGTGCGGAGGGATCCCGGGAATGCCGAAAGATCCAAAATCCAGCCTGAGGCTCCTCTGTGTCCCCTCCGTGTCCCCTCCGTGTCCCCTCTGTCCCCTCCCTGAGCGTCCCTGCCCCTCTCTGGGTCCCTCCGTGGCCTTTGGGGGAGCTCCCGGAGGCCCTGGATTGGAACAGGAAAGCTTTTGGCACGCTGGGAATTTCTGTGGGATGGAAAGAACATTTCAGAGCTTCGTTTTTCCCACCCTTGGAGGTGCCCGGGGAGGTGTTTGGGCATCAGGAGGATTTTTCCTGTCCTTTTTTGAAGCCATGCGTCCATCTCTGCCCTCCCACCGCCACTCAGAGGCAGTCACTGAAAGTTTCACCCTCCTAGAAAGCAAAATTTTCACATTCTTGGTGTCTCCCAGGGTGTTATATATTGTTTTGTTTTGTTTTTTTTAAGCAATAAACACCTGAAATATCCATAATGGGGAAAACTTTGTGCCCTTTCAGCCATCCCTGGAAGCACCACACGAGCGTGAGAGAAGGGGAGCCAGGGAGAGCAGGGAAATGCTGTTGTGACTTTCAGGAGAGAGGGAAAAAAATGTAAAAAATGATATTTCAGAGCCTGGGAATGCTGGATGTGCTCAGTGCATCGCAATTTCCTGTCAGCCAAACTCCCGAGAGAAAGAAATTCCAGGCTGGGGATCCCTCCCCGCTGAGTGAGGAAACGCTGCTCCCTTCTCCAGCACCAAATATAGCCGGGAATGGGCAGCCTGAAATATTCCGGGAGGAATTTCTGCCTTCTCAACAACCTCCCCCCCTCCAGGAGCCGAAATCCTCGGGGATGAGGGAGGAGGAATGCGTGGAATGGAAATTCTGAGTGTGGAAGGAGGAACGATGCTTTCCTCTGGCTCCCAGGCCTGGCAGAGAATTCCCTTCCTGCAGAGGTTAAAATTCGGCAGCAAAAGGAAAATCAGGATTTTCTCAAGTACTCCTCATCCCAGGGTTGGAGGTGATCCAGAGGGAAAAGGAGAGAGCAGGGCTGGGGGAATATCCCAATTTTTGAAGTGATCCAAAGGGAATTGGAAAAGGAGGGAGCAGGGCTGGGGGCATTTCCCAGTTTGAGCTGGAAAAGGAGGGAGCAGGGCTGGGGGAATATCCCAGTTTGAGCTGATCCAAAGGGAATTGGAAAAGGAGGGAGCAGGGCTGGGGGTTTTTCCCATTTCACCCCAAACTGGGCAGGGAAGCGGGGCTGGGCTCCACTCCTTTGGGAAGGAAAATCCTGTTTGATGGAAAAGTGACAAAAAACCGCCACCATGGATGTCCCATCCCTGGAGAGCCCCAGGCCAGCCTGGATGGACTTGGAGCACCCCGGGACAGTGGGAGGTGGCAGGGGTGACACTGGCTGGGCTTTGATGTCCCTTCCAAGGCGCTGGGAGTTAATGACAATTAATGAAGCCATCAATAATTGAGCAGGAGGAGCAGCAGCCGGGCTGACATTCCAGGGAATCAAGAGCTCCGTCTTCCCCTGGCTGAGCTCTCATAAAGGCTCCCCTTGTGCTGGGACGGAATTTTTGGCTGCTTCTGGCCGGGAATGACCCGGGGGACGCACAAAGGGCCGGGCTCGGCTCCTTCTCCCACTCCCATCTGGGATTATCCACCAGGAGCAGCTCCTGAGGCAGGAGGGCGAGACAAGGACCCGGCCTGGAGATTCCCGGCGGCGTTTTCCCATCGCTGGTCTCACATCGAGGATGTTTTCTCCTCGAATTTCGCCTTCACTCATGTTCGTTTCCATGAGTGGAAAGCAGAGCCTGGAATTTGTCTCCCTTCGGAAATCGCGCACAGCACAAGGGCGGCGTTGCAGCGCCCTCAAAAAGTCATTTTCGAGCAGCCAAAAGGAGGGAAAATGGGATGTTGGCAGCGTTTTCCAGCAGCTGTCGCGCTCAGGGAAGGTTTCACCTCTGCCATCTGCCGGCACCACCGCCAGGGGATGTCCCAGAGCCAGATCCTGCCTGGATTTGCGGATTCCACAAACGCACAAACTTCAGAGCAGCTCCCGAGCTGCTCCCAGGTTGTGGTGGATGCGGGCAGCTGAGATAAATCGGTCCCACCGCAGCTGTGCCGCAATTCCCGAGCTAAATCTGGGAAAAGCTGGTGCTGAGAGGAGCCTGGGGGGTTTGAGGAGGGAATTTTTGGGTGGGGAAAGCGTTTCTTCAGGAATCTGGAGGCTGCAGACAGCACAGAGGGAGGGAGAGCATTTTATTGCCATCACAGGGGTTTGTCTGGAAGGCAAGAGAGCAGAAAATCCAACCCTTCTCTGAGCAGCAAACATTTATCCATTTAATGAACCAGTGTTTTCATTTAATGGGTGTCTTCAACTTGGCTAAATCCTAAAACACTTCAACAGTTGCTACCTGGGGCAGGGGGAGAGGTTTGAAGTTTATTTTGCTTTATACAACCTGGAGATTGAGAGGAGGAAATGCCTTGGTCGATCAAAGCAGTGGAATTGCTTTCAGAAATCCCCTTTGCCTAAAGCTGAATGTACAAACTGTGGAGCATTTCTGTCTCAGAGCTGAGTCAGAGATTTTGGCAAGCTGGAAAAATGCAGCTTCCTCAAATCCCACCCAAATTTCTCCTCAGATTCCCAAGAGAAAACGAATTGAAGAGCTCGGAATGTTTTGGGTTCTGGGCTGAGCCAACACGAGCCTCAGCTGGTGTCTGCACATCAGCTGTGGGAGCTGTGTCATTTTTAGTGTGTGTGCAAAGATGCACAGTGGGAAAAGAATGCGGATTGTGTTCCCAGCCCTCTTCCCTGGGGTGGAATTCCACTGCCCAAGCCCTCCATGAGCTCGCTCAGCTGCATGGGCCCAACCTCTGCAGCGTCTGGGGTGGGAAATTCAGGAATAATCTGAGACTTCTCTGCAAAAACTCCAAGGAAAAGCAGGAGGAATCCAGCAGGGCTCCTCCGTGCAGCTCAGGTGCTGCTGCTGCTGCTGCTGCCCATGGCCAGGGAGAGGATTTCCTTGTGGAAGTTGGCCTGTGCGTTCATCAGGTGGAAGAGGTTCAGGAAGCTGCTGTCCTCCTCATCCCTGTCCCCTGGCAGGGCACAGAAAAGGAGCGGTGAAAGGCAGGAACGCACCCGGGGCGGCCCAGGGGGTGAATTCCACTGAGGATGGGCTGAGCTCAGCAGAGGGAGGCAGCAGCCGGAGCTCTGGGCTGGGCTTTGTTTAACCTCAGCCTCGGCCCAGCAGCACAGGAGGAGCTGCTGGGCGAGCCAGGACAAGGAACTGGGCTGGGCTGGGCTGGGCTGGGCTGGGCTGGGCTGGGCTGGGCTGGGCTGGGCTGGGCTGATCTGGGCTGGGCTGGGCTGAGCTGGGCTGGGCTGGGCTGGGCTGGGCTGGGCTGAGCTGGGCTGGGCTGGGCTGGGCCGGGCTAGGAATTCCTTAAAAATGTAGTCAATTAAAATAAGTTTAAAATTAATAATAGTAATAACAGCAGTAATAATAGTAATATAATAGATATAGCATTAAAAGAAATATATAATGTAATATAATGTAATTAATATAATATAATATAATTTCATTAAAATGAAAATATAATATATAATAATTAAATAATAATTTAAAATAAATTATCAAACTTGTAGGATGGTTTTAGGGGTAGTGTTGGAAACAGGAAAAAGTTTAATAAAAGGCAAAACAGCAAAGCTCTTACAGAGAAAAACCAAACTAGGGGGAAGAGGTTTTTGTTCTTGCTAAAAACACCCCACAAAAGAGATTATTTCCTTTGTTCTCTGATTTTTTTAGTGAATTACTGAGGTGGGGCTTTCTGACATCTGTCCAATTGGCCAAAGGACCCAGCCTTAGGTTTGAGGTGAAGCCTTAGCCCCAAACCAAACTTTAGGTTTTTGTGAAGTCTTGGATTCAAACCCAGCTTTAGGTTTGAGATGAAGCCTTAGTCTCAAACCAAACCTTAGGTTTGAGATTAAGCTTTGGATTCAAACCCAGCCTTAGACTGAAGTGAAGCCTTGGCCCCAAACCCAGCTTTAGGTTTGAGTCAAACCTTGGCCCCAAACCAAACTTTAGGTTTGAGGTGAAGCCTTGGATTCAAATCAAATTTTAGGTTTGAGGTGAAGCCTTGGATCCAAACCCAGCTTAGATTTGAGGTGAAGCTTTGGCCTCAAATCCACCTTTAGGCTTGAGGTGAAGCCTTAGTCTCAAACCAAACCTTAGGTTTGAGTGAAGCCTTAGCCTCAAACCGATCCTTAAGTTTGAGGTGAATTTTTAAAGGTCTTTTTACCAAATTGAGGAGGGAAACTTTGGGGGTTTTGCCTTTTTAAGGAGACAAAGGATAATTTGGTCACTCTGTCACCAAGGGCCGCATTCCTGGAGCCCCAGCCCAGCCTTACCAGCCAGCACTGCCTGCAGCATGTCCATGAGCATGCGAGCAAAGCAGTTCTCCAGGCACTGCAGGAAGTTGTTCCTCTCCCAAGGAGTGCTGAAAACCTTGCAGACCTTCTGCATCATCCTCACTGCCCAGTCCATGCAGTACAGGTCCTTCTCACACACCTGGAGGGCAGAGCAAGGATTTAAACCACAAGGTTTAATGATGGAAAATCAAATTTTTAGCATTTACTGTTGGTCCATGCAGTACAGGTCCTTCTCACACAGCTGGAGGGCAGAGCAAGGATTTAAACCACAGGTTTTATGATGGAAAATAAAATTTTTAGCATTTACCATTGGTTCTGGATCAGTTGTGCCAAGGCCTGGAAGATCAGGGGTTGTGATAAGGACACAGAGGTGTTTTTTTGCTGGCACAAAGGGAATTCCGAACCTGTGGAAACCCTCCCTGATGGGCTGTGTTTACATTTTATACCAAAAACTATGTGTGCTATGTTTACAATGTTGTGCCAATATCTATAATTTATGTTGGGCAGTGTGTCTCCACCTTAAACCAACAGAAAAGTGTCACCATCACTGCAAAATATGGAGGGCAAGAAGAAGGAGAAGGTCAGGACACATCTTTCCATCTTTTCCCCCTGAACCTCATTCTAAGAACCCCAAAATTCCACTTTTTCACCCTGTGTTAATACAACTCCCACACTGCTCAAACCTTTGTGGCTTGGAATTCCTCATATAAAGTTGGCAGTTTTTTCCATGGGTTAAAATCAAAGCCACAGGTGTTTTTCACTTCATGCCAGGGTCTCAAGACAGCCAGAGGGATGTCCTGGACTCCCAGAATCAGAAATAAAACATCCAATTTCCCCCTTTTTTTGCACCTAGCGTTGTCGTTGTTGAGGCAGGACGGGAATGAGAAGACTCTGACTAGAAGGCTGCTGAGAGTAAAACTCCAATTTATTTAAAAGACACTGCTCTTTTATACAGAGCTTTGCAAAGACCAAATCCATTGGTTCTGAAGTGAAAACAAGTTAGAGCATTGGTGCAGAATGCTTGATGCACAGTGATAGAACTTAACTATAAACAATGTGAAAAACAAGAGAAATAAAGAATTATTTATATTCTCTCTAGCTCTTTCTCAGGCGTCTGCCTGGCTAGAAACTCTCAGTTTCTTTCTTTGACTGAATCCGAGTCCCACCTAGCGGGAATGTGTGAGTTATTTTGTGTTGTAGCATGACATGGGAGCAGAGAGGAAAAAACTTTTCCAACCTGGGGCAGCAAAAGTGGGGCAAAGAGGCTGAGCTGTACTCACCAGAACCATGAAGACCATGAGCTTGGCCAGCTCCACAGCCCTGCCATTGACAGCTTTGCTGGCCAGGAAGGTGAAGCAGATGCTGTTCCCACTCAGGAGCAGCAGCCGAGCGTTGTTCTCCATCAGCCACTCCTGGGGAACCACTTTGGAGCCAGGGGAGAGAGAATTTCAGTCAAAAGGGTTGGTAGGAAATTCCCAAAACTTGACACAAGTGTGTATTTGTATGTAAACTTTGAGATAAAGGATGTTAAACTTAGAAATGTTATAGAATAAAATATTGTTGAGGGAGAAATGGAGCTAGAAATAAGTTTTAAAGGATGGGCTTATAAATAAGTCTTAAAATATTTTAGAGAAATGGAACTATGAAAGATGTTTTGTACCTGATTAGCTTTAAGATATTTACAACATAGTGTGACTAAGCTGATAGGGTAAATAAACACTTATGGTTATTTTAATTAGGAAATGGTTGGCTTCTAATTGTAATGGGGTGAATGATAACATCTGGATTGTCTCACCCTTCTCATGAAACTAAAAATAGAATAACAGTTTTTAAAACACCTCTCAGTTACCCCATTTCTGGGTCAGAAAAGGGCGTAGTTCAACAACCTCTGAGCAGAGAAATTGCACAAATAATCCCTACCAGTGCTGTTGGAGCTCTCCCCACCAACCCTGGGACACAGCCAAAACTCTCAGTGGAGCTCAGGAGAATTTGCCTGAGCAAACTCTGTGTTTGGACAACGTTTCCTGAATAATTCAAGGTGAGATTTGAGTTTTAAAGGTCTGCATGGATTCTTAAAAGGTTTCTCCACGGGGAAAAAACAGCCTGGATGTGTAAGACAAATTGGGTTTTTGCAGTGTGATGACTTTTCCAGCTCAGCCACAGCTGCTGAGAGGAATTTGGCAGCACACAGCTGGGTTTGGAGGATCCATAATCCCAGGGATTAATGATAAAAGCAAAACCACACCTGACAGCTCATCCACAAGACTGATAACATCATCTGCTGTCCATTCTCTAGCTTCTGTACCATACAGCAGCTTAATTGCATCAGCCAAACCCTTCAGACTGCTCTCGTCTGTTGGTCCTTCTGTCATTTTCTGCCACACCACGTGTCCTGGGTGATACAGCAACCACAACTGCTGGTAAATGACACTTTTTAAACAAAAAAACAAAGGTGCTAAACTGAGGCAGAGCAGAGGAATTCAGGTGACACCACTGAGGCTTTGTGGTTATTTTCCATCTGTCACTTCAGCAGGGACAGTGAGTCCAACTTGAAGAAACTCAGGTTTAATAACGAGTGAGAAAATGTGTTTTCCTTCAGGGAAATGGGTGCTTCTTTGAGATGGATTTGAGTCAAGTCTTCCCAAGCAGGGAGAAGAGAGGAATTTTTGATATTTATTTAATATCAAATAAATATTGATATTTAATTTCTTCATTGAATTGTAACTTACATGGGTGTTTGTGTGTATAATTTATATATTTTCTGTATGAAAATATATCATTTTAATATATTATTGTTAGATATTTAAATATTTATTTCTATAAATATATTTTCTCTATGCTAGTGATGTCTGGTTGAGCAGAACATTTTTTTCCCCAGGCAATGCATTGGCTCCAATGGACAGAGGGCAGGTTCAGATTGGGTTTTAGGAAGGAATTCCTTCCCTGAATTCCTCACAGGGAGGATCGTGTGAGGGTGGTGAGGGGCTGGGATGGATTTCCCAGATGATAGAATTGTTAGATGTGATGATTGTTCAGTAATTAAATGTAATTACTGTTTAAGATAATAATGAGAAACTGTGGTCAGGGGCCTAAGAAAGATCACGAGAAACTCATGGCTGAATAAAATCAATGTATAGAATAGAACAATGTAAGTTTAATAATTAATATGTAAGTTATATAAGGATAGAATATAAAATACGTTCAGCTTGAAAGCCGTGTCAGAGTCAGATTTGGGTCTGTCCCCCTGATTCCCAGAACTCTCAACAATAGCACCTGCATGGAATCATACCCCATGATTATGTGTGCTCCTAAACAATATAAGTTTAATAATGAATATGTAAGTTATATAAGGATAGAATATAAAATACGTTCAGCTTGAAAGCCGTGTCAGAGTCAGATTTGGGTCTGCACCCCTGATTCCCAGAGCTCTTCATCAATAAAAGCACCTGCATGGAATCATATCCAGGGATTCTGTGTGTTCGTGGACAAGATGAGCTTCAATATCCCTTCCACCCCAACCCATCCCACGATTCCAACACATACAATCCCATTTTTTTGGGGTTTTCCTGCCCAGAAAATCTCCTCCCGAGGTGGGGGGGGTCACCCTTTGCTCACCATCGCGGGAGGACACGGGCCCGAAGATGATGTAGAGCAGGCGAGCTTGGTTAACCATGGGCCAGGGCTTGAGGATGCGAGTGAGCCAAAAGGCGGAGTCGCTGCGGCGGCTGCCCGGGGACAGCAGCACCCCCCGGCAGAACAGGCGGATCCGCAGCTCCAGCCGCCGGGCGCTGCCTGCAAAACACCGCTTTGGGTCGGAATCTGAGCTATTGATGATTCCCAGATTGTAGAAAGTCTCTGTCTTTCAGCCCCGCTGCCAAAGAAGAAGCCATAATTCATCTGTGCTGGTTTCAAGGTTGTTTATTCTGTTTATCTCTACCATGTTCTGCTGCCCTGCCGCAGCTCTGTCCTGCAGGGCAGCGTGTGGGGCTCTGCCCTCAGTGGGATGGTACAAACATTAAATACCACAAACTACCTGTGCTGGATTTACAATAACGTGCCAATATCTGTCACCTACGTTGGACAGCGTGTCCCCAGCCTGAACCAACAGAAAAATGCCAACACCACAGTGAAACATGGAGGGCATGAAGAAGGAGAAAAAGGACAAGACACACCCAATTTCCTCCATCTTTTCCCCTTTGAACCCCTAATCTAGAATCCTAAAATTTTACTTTTGCACCCGTGCCACACTTAATTATTACAGATATCAAACACTCAGAGCTTGTAATTCATCCTGTAAGATTGAAAACTCTTTTCCATGGACAGAGATCACAGCCAGTGTCTCTGGGGGCTCTGTCCAGGGGGTTTCCTGACCCCTGCCAGGGTCCCAGAGCAGCCAGAGGGAAGCCCTGGGTTCCCACAGGTTTGGATCAGAATTCCCCACTCTGGCTCCCTGCACAGCGCTGATCTTTGTAGGAAGGGAAAGGAGGGGGGTTTGTAATGTGTTTCATTCAGGTTTTGGCTCTCCTTCCTGGTATTATGTATGATTATAATTTGTGCCAATGAAATATTGTTGTATTGAATCAAGGGAAATAGGATTTGGCATGTATAATATTTAGTTATTACAAAATACACACCCCAGCTGACGATTTTGGGTTTTTTTGGGGCTGGGAATTACCTGGTTTGCTGCTGACGACCGTCTGCACCTTGCGGGCTAAATTGCTGAGCTCCCAGAGGAAGTTGAACACCCGGTGGCACTCGAGCTCATCCCAGCCCGCCGTCAGGATCTGCGGGGAAATGGGCTGAAAATGAGGAAATCAAACAGAAATTCCCCCCCCCAGAACATAAAATATTATTTTATTCTGTGTTCTCCCAGGAGAGCAAGGGAAGGGTCATCCCCGAGCGGAGGTGCTTGAGGATTTGATAGTGAAATTGGCCAGAAAAGAAATGTTTTTACATTAATTTAAGAATGAGAAAGCAGGGAGGATTTGATAGTGAAATTGGCCAGAAAATAAATTTTCTTATATGATTTGAAGCATTTAGCTATAAAAATCCAATTAGTCAAATTAGCTGTAAAAATCCTCGAAGTTCTATGAGGTGCCTTTTAACCAAATTCAGGAGAAAAACTGGATTTTTTTCATTTTTAAGGAGACAAAAAGTAAATTTTTACTCCATCAACAAGGAGCACAGAGTGGTTGGGAGTAAAATACAAGTTAAAAAATCCTCAGCAGTCAAATCAAATTCCAGCGCCAGAGAAATGGATGGATGAACAACACCAAAAAAACAAAAACAAAAAAAAAAAAAAAAAAAAAACAAAAAACAAAAAACCACCCCAAAACACAAAAAAAACCCCAAAAAAATCCCACCCCCCCCAAATAACCAAAATAAACCCCCAAAAAACCCAAAAACCCCAAAAAATCCCCAAAAAACCAACAATTAAAAAATAATTTTAAAAAAACCCACAAAAAAACCCCCAAAATAAAACAAGAAAAAACCCAAAATAAACAAAAAAAACCAATAAAACCCAGAAAAAAAAAAAAAAACCAAAACAGAAAAACCAAACAAAAAAAAAAAACACCTAAAAAACAAAAGAAAAAATACCTACAAAAAACAAACAAAAAACCCAAAACAAAAAAACAACCAAAAAGCCAAAAAAACCAAAAAATACAAAAAAAACCCAACAACAACAACAAAAAAAACCCCACAAATAAACCCAAAATAAAACCCCCCCCAAAAAAAACCCAAAAAAAAAAACCAAAATAAAACCAAAACAAAACCCAAAAAATCCCCCCAAAACCGGTTTATGCTTAAAAAAAATCTTGGAAAAAGCAGAATAATTGAGGAAAGTGGCTGAATTTCAAAATTTTTCTTATTTTTCTGATTTTTGTTCGGTTTTTGTGCGTACCTGGAGGAACTCCCCGTAGCAGCGCAGCCCCAGGCAGCGCAGGGGAACGGCGCAGCCGCTCAGCTTGAAACAGGAAACCTGCGAGGGGAAATAAGAATGGATTTTTAAATTTTAATGTAAGACTTTGAATTTAAAATGAATAGGATAAATATTGATGTAAATAATAATGACGAATTTTTAAATTTTAATTTAAGACTTTAAAATGTATAATGAATAGGATAAATATTGATATAAATAATAATAACAAATTTTAAAATTTTAATGTAATACTTCTAATTTTTTAAATTAATACAAAATAAAAAAATATTTAATTTTAATACATTATATAAAATATTTTAAATTTTAATTTTATTACTTTTAATTTTATAAATCACAATTCTTAATTTTTAAATTCTAATGTACGACTTTTAATTTTTACATGAATGCAATAGATATCGATATAAAATAATAATATTTAATATTTAATTTTGAATCAATCATTTGGACTCAGCCTCACCCCCTGGAGCAGGCGCTGCACGGACCGGAGCCTGTCCCGGGTGGGCAGCAGCAGCGTGCAGCGCTTCAGCAGCAGCCCTGAACATGGAATAAAAATCAGAAAAAGGAATGAAAATCAAAATAACACAGCCTGGGCATGGAAATAATAATAAAAAATAATAATACAGAGAAAAAAAATTAATAAAAAATAATAATAGAGTCTGGAAATGGAAAAAATAATAATAATAACACTGCCTGGAATGGAAAAAAATAATAAAAAATCATAATAACACAGCCTGGAAATGGAAAAAAATAATAACACAGCCTGGAAATGGAAATACAGAGAAAAAAATAATAAAAATAATAATACAGCCTGGAAATGAAAATTTTCAGGGAGGAAAAACCCCATTTTCATTCAGAAATGTTGAGACATCCAGAAGAGGCAGGACACAGGGTTTTTTTTCCATAACTCACAAATTTTGTGACAACCAGAAGAGGCAGGACAAGCAGAACTTTTTCCATAAATAAGAAATTTTGGGCCACCCAAAGGGGCAGGACATGCAGGGGTTTCTTTCCATAACTCAGAAATTTTGGGACACCCTTTTTTTTTGGGGGGGGGGGATTTTTTTGTGTTTTCTCATAAAACTTTTTAAATTTTGGGGATTTTTTTGGGGTTTTCTCATAAAACTTTTGAGGTTTAGGGAATATTTACTTCTCTATTTTTTTTTTTTTTTTGGCCACATCCTCATCATCCCCCTATTCACACACATGCCGGGAGACAGATTTGGAGTTTGTTGAGTTTTCTCATAAAAAATTTTGAGGGTTTTTTTTTTGGGTTTTTTTTTGGTTTTTTTTTATTTTATTTTATTTTTTTGTTGTTTTTTTGAGTTTTATTATAAAACTTTTGAGGTTTAGGGAATATTTACTCCTCTATTTTTTTTTTTTTTGCCACATCCTCATCATCCCCCTATTCACACACATGCCGGGAGACAGATTTGGAGTTTGTTGTGTGTTCTCATAAAACTTTTGGGTTTTTTTGGTGGGTTTTTTGGGGATTTTTGGTGGGTTTTGTCTCACCCAGAGCTCGGTAGTGCTCCAGGATGGAGGCGGCTCCCCTCGGGGCCGGCGGCTCCTGGTGGAAGTCCTGCAGCAGCAGGCGGCGGCTCCCCGCGGCCGTGGCGATGTAGCGGATCAGGCGGGCGCTGATGCTCTTGGACACCATGCTCAGCGTGCTGATGTCCTTCACTGCCGAAGGAAAGGCCAAAACGGGGGGAAAAAGCAGATTTTGGGATCGGTTTGTTGCAAAAATTACAATAAATGTTACATTTGTCATGTTAAAAAGTTATGCTGTATTAATTCAAATGGATAATTTATGTGTAACGGATATTACACGTAAAAAAATATTGAAATCGCATGAAATTATTTTAACTACTTAAAAGTGACAATAATGCTATATAGATAAAAATAATAAGTAAATAAAGGTAACTTTGGGATGCTGATGTTTCTGATGGGATCCTCACCTTGGAGATAATTCAGCAGCATCTGGAAGAGCTCCAAGGGGAAATTTGAAATCTCATGAAATTATTTTAACTACTTTTAAATGACAATAAAATAAAAAATAATACGTAAATAAAGGTAATTTTGGGATGCTGATGTTTCTGATGGGATCCTCACCTGGGAGATAATTCAGCAGCATCTGGAAGAGCTCCAAGGGGAGCGTTTGGAAATGCCCCAGCGCGGGCGAGGCCGGGGCAGCCGTGCCCGGCAGATCCGTGCCAGGCAGATCCGTGCCAGGCAGATCCGTGCCAGGAGGATCCGTGCCAGGGGGAGCCGTGCCAGGGGGAGCCGTGCCAGCCGTGGCCGGGGTGCGGACGGAGCGGCAGCGTTTCCGTCTCCGCGGCTGCCGGGGCCGCGCTCCGCGGCCGCGCTCCGCGCTCGGGGTCATCGCTGCCGCGGCCCGCGCAGCATCACCTGCGGGAAAGGAGAAAATTTACTTAAATTCGGATTTTCTCAGGGAAAAAGCTCCCAGAGGGAGGAGATGAGGGAAAATCTCGTGGGGTAATCTGCTGGAAAACATTGTGTAGGTAAAGAGAAACGTGTGGTTTTGTTTATTATATTAATTTATAATAATATATGATAATGTAAAATATATTAAAAATAATATATATAACGAATATAATATAATAACTTTGAGTATGTAAAGAGTAAAATGTGCTCTAAATTATTTATTATAATAATTTACAATAATATATAATAATATAATAAAAATATAATAATAATATAAAATATATAAAATAAATAAAAAATAAATATATTTTCTAGTATATAGTATATACTATAGTATATAGTATAAATACTACAAAATATATTAAAACAATATATATATTATTGTAAAAGTTATATAATAATATATTATATATTATTATATTAGTTATATATTATATAAGTTATTATATATTATATAATAGTAGTTATTATATGTAGTTATTATATTGTAGTTATTATATATTATATAATAAAATATAATATTATATAACTATGTAGAATAATATAGAATAATATATAACATAGGCAATACCAAATATAAAATAGAATAAATAATAAAATGTATTTTAATAAATAATATTATTATAATTTATAATAATATTTCATTTTATGAAATAAAAAATATAAATAAATACATTTTCACTGTCCACAATGAGGGTCTGTTAGTGCTGAGAAATCAGGGAATTTTGGGGAAAAAAACACATGGGGACACCGGAATTGTGCATTGAAGGGATTTTTTTGTGCTTTTTTTTTAATTTAGCTGTGGGATATTTCTGCCTTGCTAAAGAAAATATGACTGCTGCTAAAATTGGTGGGTTTAGGGTTTTAGGAGGGGAAACTTGACAAAAAGCCTTGAAGAAAAATCTATAAATCTATAAATAAAATGTATAATAAATTATATAAATAAATATAATTATCTTTTAAATATATAAAATATATATAAATATATAAATAAATAAAATAATAAATCTACAAATAAAATTATATTTTAATCTATAAATAAAATTATACAGGGATTTTTACACACAGAATTGTGGATTCCATATAAACCCCCTGTGTGCCATATAAAATCATTTAAATCACATAAAAATAATTAAAATCACATTAAAAAATCCCTGTTTATGACCAGGCACCACTAAGCTTGGCTAAATCTGGTGCACATTTCTGAAACTTTGGAAATCAACTTTCTTCTCTCCCCACTCTCCTTTCTATCTGGAGCTGTGGGGATTTTAAAATTTTGTTTTTATTTTATTTTTTCTGTGATTTTTTTCAAAAATTTTACCTTGACTCTCCAGTTCTGGAAGTAAAAATAATTTGCCACCAGCAGTGAGGTTTTTGGCAAGGATTTATCTAATATTTATCTTTTTCTGTCCAATCTGGTCAAAATTAAATTGATTATCACTGTTTTAATATGGAGCAGAGTTAGATAAATTAATATAAATAAAAATAAGTGCAAACAGCCAATTTAAAAACCTTTCCTGAAAGCTCCCATTTGTTTCTCTTTGGCTTAAAGTGGGTTTTTTTTTAATATATATATTTTTAGGGAGTTGAGGGGTTATGCATCTCCAGCTACTGCTGGGACATCAGTATTTGGAGAAGTGCTTAATCCACGCTGGAAATTGAAAGGTAAATGTTAAATATTTAACCAGCTAAACTCATCATATTAACTAAGAAGGGTCATCTTATTTGTGGCTATAAATTAATTTGTTTACAAGGCAGAAAGTCGCTAAACTCCTGCTAATGGAGTTAAATATTTAACCAGCTAAACTCATCATATTAACTAAGAAGAGTCATCTTATTTGTGGCTATAAATTAATTTGTTTACAAGGCAGAAAGTCGCTAAACTCCTGCTAATGGAGTTAAATATTTAACCAGCTAAACTCATCATATTAACTAAGAAGAGTCATCTTATTTGTGGCTATAAATTAATTTGTTTACAAGGCAGAAAGTCGCTAAACTCCTGCTAATGGATGCATTTTAATCCTGATTTTTCTCAGAGCCCTGTGTTAGCATTTGGCAAATATTTATTTTTATTTATGTTTACTCTGGAGATTGGTTTGGGATGTTTCTTTTCCTCATCACATAAACCCATTGGCTTTGAATGTTAACTCGATGGGGTTTTCATTTGTTTTTCCTGATTTTCTCTTGTCTTTCGTGGTCTAAAAACAAAATAAAACAGAGTGGAAGAAAATAGAAGTAAATAAAATAATAGTTTTCAAGTATATGCTGAAGTGGAGGATGACAAACCTTAGAAAACCATGCAGTTACCTTGTTACCCTTAACCTACACGGAAAATTTTTGTTTAAAAAGGATGGTTTCATTTATGATAAAGGCTCTGTATAAGATTGATGGTGCAAACCGGTCCCAAACCCTCCAAAATTGGAGAATAATGTGAATATAAAGCAGAGCTGAGGGTTCCTGGCCCTGTTGATGGCCAGGCTGTGTGAGGGGACTGGGTCCCAAGAGAGGAGGAAAACACTAAAAATTCCCCTTTTTTCCCTCACTCCAGCCTGGATTTCCTCCTCAGACTTCAATATTTGATGAAACGGGTTATTTTGGGTTATTTTGGGCCTTTTATCTGTGGTTTTGGGTTAGATTTGGATGGGTTACAACATTTACGTCGAAGGATGGGCCAGGCTGTGTCCTCTGCCATGAGCCCTCTCCCCCAAACTACCAAATTTTGTGGCTAAAGGGCAGAAAAGGGGGGACCTGCACCCCAAAACCTACATAAAATTCATAGAGGATGTCTAATAATTGATGGTACTCACATAAAACACTTTATCAGCCGCTTTTTACCTCAGGGAAAAACCGTCTCCACAAACAGCCCCGGCTGGGTGGTCACAGTGAGCTCTGAGGGGATGGCAGTGAGGGATCACCAACCCCCTGTGTGCCTGAGGGGGAAAGAAACCAAGAAACGCCAAAAACGCCTTTTTTAAACAATTATTATTATTTAACAATTATTATTGTTTAAATTCAACTCTTCCAAAGCCTTATTTCAGTCAAATGTTGCTACCCACAGCGAGCTCTGAGGGGATGGGGGTGCGGGATCACCAACCCCTGTGTGCCTGAGGGGGAAAGAAACCCCAAAACCACCTTTTTAAACAATTATTATTATTTAACAATTATTATTCTTTAAATTCAACTCTTCCTTTATTATTATTTAACAATTATTATTATTTAAATTCAACTCTTTCAAGCCTTATTTCAGTCAAATGTTGCTATCCACAGCGAGCTCTGAGGGAGCAGCAGAGGATGGGGGTGCAGGACCACCCACCCCCGTGTCCCTGAGGGGGAAAGAAACCCCAAAACCGCCTTTTTAAACAATTATTATTATTTAAATTATTTATATATATTATTATTTAAAGTCTTCAAAGCCTTATTTTAGTCAAATGTTGCTACCTATTGGGGTTGAAAGAGGTTCTGGTCGTCGGAGTGTGTACAGGCAGCACAGATGTGTTGGGGAGCCTCAGCCGGGAGCAGAAATGTTGGCAAATATTAAAAACACAGACGCGTTGGAGGGAGGAAAGGATCACAGACAACAACACCGCGCCCCTTCAGCGCTGTTTCCTTCGTGTTATTGGCAATTCCGGCTCTTTTTTAGGTGAACTTAGGCGAATTTTGGGCAAGAATCATTTTCCCGCCTTTTTGCCCGCGGCTCTTTTCGGCGTGAGGGGTTGGGGGGGGAGAGGGCGGGGCGCGAGCGGCTCGCGCGCGGCGTTTCCCGCCCGCGTTGTCCCCGCCCATCATGAATATTTAAATTAAGCCACGCCCCACCATAACGAGAGGGGCGCGCTGCTTGTTATGCGGCCGCGTGGTCACGCCCCCTCATGAATAATTAATGAGGGGTCTGCTGGGTTTTGGGGCGAGGGGACATCGGGGGTCCCAGGGGGGACATGGTGTCCTCAGGGCAGGGCTGGCCCGTCCCATGGGGCGGCAGGGCAGGTGTGGGCGTGTCCTGGGGCGGGGAGGCTCAGGTGTGTGGGGTGCCACAGGTGTGGGGTACCTTGGATGTGGGGTTCGGCAGGGATGGGGTGCCACAGGTGTGGGTGCTGCCCAAATGGGGTTCCACAGGTGTGGGGTACCTTGGATGTGGGGTTCGGCAGGGATGGGGTTCCACAGATGTGTGGGGTGTCACTGAGTTTTGGGGTTAGCAGGTGTGTGGGGTGTCACTGGGTTTTGGGGTTCAGCAGGTGTGGGGGGTATCACAGGTGTGGGGTGTCATAGATGTGTGGGGTGTCACTGGGTTTTGGGGTATCACTGGGTTTTGGGGTTCCACAGGTGTATGGGGTGTCACTGGGTTTTGGGATGTCACTGGGTTTTGGGGTATCACTGAGGTCGTGGTGTCACTGTGTTTTGGGGTATCACAGGTGTGTTGGGTGTCTCTGGGTTTTGGGGTTCCACAGGTGGGATCCCACAGGAGCATCACTCAGGGATGGGAGCATGGGGCACCTTCATCTCCCACCCTCGTCTCCATCCCTCATCTCCATCCCTCATCTCCACCCTCATCTCCATCTTTATTTCCCCCAGTATTTTTTATTTTCCCCCAGTATTTTTATTTTTCCCCCAGTATTTTTATTTTTCCTCCCAGTATTTTTATTTTCCCCCACTATTTTTATTTTTTCCCCCAATATTTTTGTTTGCTCCATTATTTTATTTTCCCCCGCTATTTTTACATTTTCCCACCCCTATTTTTATTTTCCCCCACTATTTTTATTTTTCCTCATTATTTTTAGCTTCCCCCCAGTATTTTTATGTTTCCCCCAGTAATTTTATTTTTTCCACCTGTATTTTTATGCTTTTTTTTTTTATAGATTTGGTGGTGAAAAAGCCATTTTTTTCCTTTTTTCTAAGCTGGATTTTTCCCAGATTTCCAGCTCCTCTTCCACCACAAGGAATATTTGGGAATATTTTCCCTGTGGGAACTGCCCAGGGGTGAAATTCCAGCCCCAAAATTGGAGCTGAGAATGCCCAAACCCCAAACCTCAGCTGCGTTTGGTTCTTCCCTTAAAGGAAAAAAAATTAAAAATAATTTAAAATACAGAATTTTTTTTTTTATATCCAACCCCCTGTGTGTCTGAGGGGGAAAGAAACCCCAAAACCACCTTTTTAAACAATTATTATTATTTAACAGTTATTATTCTTTAAATTCAACTTCCTCGGGATTTGTCAGGATGTATTCCGCGGGATGGATTCTGCGGGACAGATTCCATGAGATTCCTTGGGATAGATTCCTCAGGATTCTTCAGAATTTGCCAGGATGGTTTCCTCAGGATGGATTCCTCGGGATTCCTCGGGATGGATTCCTCGGGATGGATTCCTCGGGATTCCTCAGGATGGATTCCTCAGGATGGATTCCTCGGGGTGGATTCCTCGGGGTGGATTCCTCGGGATGGATTCCTTGGGATGGATTCCTTGGGATGGATTCCTCGGGGTGGATTCCTCGGGATGGATTCCTCGGGGTGGATTCCTCGGGATTCCTCGGGATGGATTCCTCAGGATGGATTCCTCAGGATGGATTCCTCAGGATTCCTCGGGATGGATTCCTCGGGATGGATTCCTCGGGATTCCTCGGGATGGATTCCTCAGGATTCCTCGGGATGGATTCCTCAGGATGGATTCCTCAGGATGGATTCCTTGGGATGGATTCCTCGGGATGGATTCCTCGGGATTCCTCGGGATGGATTCCTCGGGATGGATTCCTCGGGATGGATTCCTCGGGATGGATTCCTCGGGATGGATTCCTCAGGATGGATTCCTCGGGATGGATTCCTCAGGATGGATTCCTCAGGATTCCTCGGGATGGATTCCTCGGGATGGATTCCTTGGGATGGATTCCTCGGGATGAATTCCTCAGGATGGATTCCTCGGGATGGATTCCTCAGGATGGATTCCTCAGGATGGATTCCTCAGGATGGATTCCTCAGGATGGATTCCTCAGGATGAATTCCTCGGGGTGGATTCCTCGGGATGGATTCCTCAGGATGGATTCCTCGGGATGGATTCCTCAGGATGGATTCCTCAGGATGGATTCCTCAGGATGAATTCCTCAGGATTCCTCGGGATGGATTCCTCAGGATGGATTCCTCAGGATGGATTCCTCGGGATGGATTCCTCGGGATGGATTCCTCAGGATTCCTCGGGATGGATTCCTCGGGATGGATTCCTCAGGATGGATTCCTCAGGATGGATTCCTCTGGATTCCTCGGGATGGATTCCTCAGGATGGATTCCTCGGGATGGATTCCTCGGGATGGATTCCTCGGGATGAATTCCTCTGGATTCCTCGGGATGGATTCCTCAGGATGGATTCCTCAGGGTGGATTCCTCGGGATGGATTCCTCGGGATGGATTCCTCAGGATGGATTCCTCAGGATGAATTCCTCTGGATTCCTCGGGATGGATTCCTCGGGATGGATTCCTCAGGATGGATTCCTCAGGATTCCTCGGGATGGATTCCTCGGGATGGATTCCTCAGGATGGATTCCTCAGGATTCCTCGGGATGGATTCCTCGGGATGGATTCCTTGGGATGGATTCCTTGGGATGGATTCCTCGGGGTGGATTCCTCGGGGTGGATTCCTCGGGATGGATTCCTCGGGATGGATTCCTCGGGATGGATTCCTCGGGGTGGATTCCTCGGGGTGGATTCCTCGGGATGGATTCCTCGGGGTGGATTCCTCGGGGTGGATTCCTCGGGGTGGATTCCTCGGGATGGATTCCTCAGGATTCCTCAGGATGGATTCCTCAGGATGGATTCCTCAGGATGGATTCCTCAGGATTCCTCGGGATGGATTCCTCAGGATGGATTCCTCGGGATGGATTCCTCGTGATGGATTCCTCGTGATGGATTCCTCGGGGTGGATTCCTCGGGATGGATTCCTCGGGATGGATTCCTCGGGGTGAATTCCTTGGGATTCCTCGGGAGAAGTGCTCAGCACTGCTCGGCCTCCACAATTCCCTCCTTTTCCTGGCTGGCCGCCTCCACCTCGGCGTAGGAGGCGCGGCTGCCGCGGCTCCGGAATTTCATGGCGGGCCAGCGGGGCGGCCTCCGCTGGGGACAGAAACGGAGGAGGTGAGCAGCTGGGACAGGGCCCTGCACCCCAATTCCTGCGGGATGAGGAGGATGAGGAATATGCGGAGGATGCGGAGGACGCGGAGGACGTGGAGGATGTGGAGGATGTGGACAATGAGAAGGATGCAGAGGATGAGGAGGATGAAGAGGACACGGAGGACGAGGAGGAAGACGAGGAAGATGAGAAGGATGCATAGGATGAGGAAGATGAGGAGGATGAGGAGGACAGGGAGGATGAGGAAGATGTCGAGGAGAACGACGAGGATGACAAGGATGAGGAAGATGAGGAGGACAAGGAGGATGATGAGGATGCGGAGGATGTGGAGGACAAGAAGGACGAGGAGGACGACGATGACAAGGAAGATGAGGAGGATGCAGAGGATGGCGAGGACGAGGAGGATGACAAGGATGAGGAAGATGAGGAAGATGAGGAGGATGAGGAGGATGAGGAAGACGAGGAGGACGAGGAAGACGAGTATGACGAGGACGACGAGGATTTGGAGGATGATGAGGATGTGGAGGACGAGGAAGATGAGGAAGATGATGAGGATGAGGAGGACAAGGAGGATGATGAGGACGAGGAGGATGAGGAAGAGGACGAGGATGATGAAGGTGACGAAGATAAGGAGGACGAGGAGGATGAGGAAGATGAGGAGGATGCAGAGGATGAGGAGGATGAAGAAGGCGAGGAGGATGAGGAGGACAAGGAGGATGAGGAAGATGAGGATGACAAAGACGAGGAGGACGAGGAGGATGAGGAAGATGAGGACGATGAGGAAGAAGAGGAGGATGAGGAGGATGAGGAGGATGAGGATGATGAGGATGACGAAGATGAGGAGGATGAGGAAGATGAGGAGGACCCCGGCTGGCTCACCTGGATGAAGAAGAGCATGGCGCCGGACGTGGGGCGGCCGCTGATGTAGATCCCGGCCAAGAGGAGCCCGGCCAGGGCCACCAGGGCCACCACGATGGCCACCACGGTGCCCACGGGCACGGCGGCGCCCGCGCCCCGCCAGGGGAGGCTGCTCCCTGCGGGCAACGGGAAAGGAGCTCAGAAAAACACCAAATGTAACGGTTTTTTTAAAAATTGACATGATTTAAAATACAAAAAAAAAAAATTCAGAATGTTTTTAGAAATGTAGAAAATTTAAAATGCAAAAAAAATTTAGAAAATGTGCAGAAATTATAATATAATATAATATAATATAATATAATATAATATAATATAATATAATATAATATAATATAATATAATATAATATAATATAATATAATATAATATAATATAATATAATATAATATAATATAATATAATATAATATAATATAATATAATATAATATAATATAATATAATATAATATAATATAATATAATATAATATAATATAATATAATATCCCACATAAATCAATAGTAATTTAACAAAACCAAACAACTAAGACAAAAAAATCAACTCTTTAAACAATACAACCAATTAAAACAATAAAATAAAATAAAATAAATAAAACAAAATAAAATTAAATAAAAATAAATAAAAATAAATAAAAATAAAATAATAATAAAATAATAAAAATAAAATAAAATAAAATAAAATAAAATAAAATAAAATAAAATAAAATAAAATAAAATAAAATAAAATAAAATAAAATAAAATAAAATTAAATTAAATTAAATTAAATTAAGTTAACTAAAATCTCTCCTGGGGATAAAGCAGAGCATTCCCAGGGATGAAGCCGCCCTTACCCTCTCCTCCTGCAAACCGGTTGAGTTTGGTGTCGTCTGAAAGGAGAAAACACAAGAAAATCAGGAATTTTCTGTGATATCCTCGTGATTTTTAAAATTGTTAAATTTTCCTTTATAATTCTTTTGAAAGTTCTCATCAAACTTCTCCAGCCCCGATTTTTAAATTTGTTAAATTTTCCTTTCTAGTTCTTTTGAATGTTTGAAAGTTCTCATAAAACTTCTGATGTTTACAAATTTCTCCTGGAGTTTCTCACACATATTCATGTAAATTTTGATTATTTTGCTTTTTTTCTCTGTGGGAGGAGGGAATTGTTGGGCTGTTGGCGTGACCGTCATTGGTTGGAGATTTGGCAATTCCGTCCTCCAATCCAAGGTGACTTTTGGAATTCCATAAATATCAGACGTGGAATAAACCGCGCTCGGTTTCGGCCTTGGAACTCGACAAGCGTTTGTGGATTCACTCCGTGTCCAACATTCCCCGCCCTGTTCCTCCATGGATTTGGGCCGGTTGGATTGGACACAGATCCAGGGATTTGGGCCGGACACAGATCCAGGGATTTGGGATGATGGATTGGACACAGATCCAGGGATTTGGGCTGGATGGAGAAGACAGAGATCCAGGGATCTGGGCTGGTGGGACAGGATGTGGATCCAGGGATTTGGGTTGGACACAGGTCCAGGGATTTGGGCTGGTGGGACTGGACACAGATCCAGGGATTTGGGATGATGGGAAGGACACAGATCCAGGGATTTGGGCTGGTGGGACTGGACACAGATCCAGGGATTTGGGTTGGACACAGATCCAGGGATTTGGGCTGGACACAGATCCAGGGATTTGGGCTGGTTGGATTGGACACAGATCCAGGAATCTGGGCTGGTGGGACGGGATGTGGATCCAGGGATTTGGGTTGGACACAGATCCAGGGATTTGGGCTGGTGGGGAGGACACAGATCCAGGGATTTGGGATGATGGATTGCACACAGATCCAGGGATTCGGGCTGGTGGGACAGGATGTGGATCCAGGGATTTGGGTTGGACACAGATCCAGGGATTTGGGCTGGTGGGACTGGACACAGATCCAGGGATTTGGGATGATGGGAAGGACACAGATCCAGGGATTTGGGCTGGTGGGGAGGACACTGAGGGCCAGGCCCCTCTTTGGTGGAGCTGCTCCTCTGCCACTCTCCACTCTCCCCCCGCTGCCACTGCCATTCCCATCCAAAATCCCAAATTCACTTCGTGCCCGGTGTCACACGGAGCCTCTCGTCCCTTTTTTCCCAAGAAGGGTTGGAAAACAATTCCAACCCTCTCCTTGCCCTGAATTGTTCTTTCCAAAGCCAGCCCGGCCAGGCAGGAGCTCGTTCCCCACCCAGCTCCTCCTGAAGGACAATGACCAACGCTCCTTCCTGTCGATCCTAATTAGCGCTTTGCCTTAGGGATAATTAAGCAGACAAATTGCGGCGCTACCTGCGCCAGGATCGGCGGAGCCGGCTGCGCGTTAATGGGATTATGGAGCTTTGGGTCTCCAGGGAAGATCAGGGTTTTTTTGGTTGTTTTTTTTTCGTTTGTTTGTTTTGGGGTTTTTTTTTGGTTTTGTTTTTTGGGTTTTTTTTGGGTTTTTGGGGTTTTTTTGTGGAGTTGGAAGGAGAAGCAATCCCAAAAAAAAAAAAGCGATCACCGAGGGAATTCCAGGCTGAGACTCCTGGCACCAGTGAAATCCGAGCCCAGGGAAATCCCATCCCCCTCTCTCCAGGATTGACTCCTTCAGGATCCCCAGCATTCACCCCACCAGGGCCTGGTTGCTCGCTGACCTTCACAAATGGGTCAAAAAAGCTGGAAAAACTCCAAAACTCTTCCCAGTGTGTCTCACTGCCCCAGGTGTCACCTCTTGGCTGCCCTTCCCATCATCTCCTGCTCTCATCCCTCCCCAAGGATGGGCTTTGGAGCACCTTGGGGTGGTGGGAGCTGTCCCTGCCCTGGGGATGGGATGAGCTTTGAGGTCCCTGCCAACCCAAACCCTTCTGGGATTCCAGAACCTCACAGATCCAGGGATCACAGATGGAGAAGTGGACTCAGGAGGGGATTTTGGGAAGGAATTGGGGTGGAATTCCCAGAGGAGCTGTAGCTGATCCATCCCTGGAAGTGTCCCAGGAGGGGTTTGGAGCACCCTGGGATGGTGGGAGCTGTTCCTGCCCCTGGGGCTGGAGAGGATTTAAGGTCCCTTCCCACCCAAACCATTCCAGGATTTGCTCCAAAACCGCTCCGGTCCTGGTGTTCACTTGGATTTGGATTTGCTTGTTGAGGAGGTGAAAGATCTGGCCAGGGATCAGGGATGGGGATGGGGGATCAGGGATGGAGATCACCTGGCCAGGGATCAGGGATGGGGATGGGGGATCAGGGATGGAGATCACCTGGCCAGGGATCAGGGATGGGGATGGGGGATCAGGGATGGAGATCACCTGTCCAGGGCCTAAGGATCACCTTCCCAAGGCTCAGGTGGGTGGTGTCACCTGTCCATGGCTCAGGTGAGTGGTGTCACCTGTCCAGGTCCAGGCTCACCTTCCGTGGTGAGGCTGCCGAGGAAGAGCGAGGCCGTGGGGGAGGTGACACGGCCGGGCTGTGGGGACACGGAGGGGACACGGCCGGGCTGTGGGGACACAGAGGGGACACGGCCGGGCTGCGGGGACACGGAGCTGCCCGGGGGCGCTGAGTAGTGGCCGCCCGCGGCCAGATCCTCACAGGTGCTCTCGTCCGGCTGGGGAGGGAAAAGGAGAGTTTGGGGTTAAAGGAGAGTTTGGGGTAAAAGGAGAGTTTGGGGTTAAAATGAGAGTTTGGGGTTAAAGGGAGAGTTTGGCATTAAAATGAAGGATTTGGGTTAAAAAGGAGGGTTTGGGACTGGGATTTGGACCAGGATTAAGTCTGGGACTGGGATTCAAACTGGGATTTGGACTGGGATTGGGACTGGAACTGGGATTGGGTTTGGGACTGGGATGGAGTTTGGGACTGGGATTTGGACTGGGACTGGGATTTGGACTGGGACTGGGATTGGGATTTGGACTGGGATTGGGACTGGGGCTGGGATTGGGCACTGGGACTGGGCCTGGGACTGGGCTGGGATTGGGCTGGGGTTTGGGACTGGGCTGGGGTTTGGGACTGGGATTTGGACCAGGATTGGGATTTGGGCTGGGATTAAGACTGGGATTGGAACTGGGATTGGGACTGAGACTGGAATTTGGACTGGGATTGGGATTTGGACTGAGACTGGGATTGGGATTTGGACTGGGACTGTCGGGGCTCACCTGGCCGCAGCCGTAGCTCAGCCACTCCTCTCGGTACCGATCGAAGCCGCTGGAGCACCTGCGGGGAAAATCGGGATTATCCCGGGATTATTCCCGGGCTGCGGGAAATGGAGTCCCAGGGAAGGTTTGAAACGCGACAGAAAATTCACAGAGCGAGCATTGATACCCAAAATGTAAAATGAAAAATGCTGATTTCGAGAACAGAACAGACATTGTAGGGAGAAAAATGAAATTAGAAACAAGTTTCAAAAGGCGGCCTTGCAAATAAAACTGGGTACTCTGGAGAAATGGAACTATTTGATGTAATAAATATAATATATGTAAATAAAATATAATTATATATATAAGAAAAGTTGTGTTGTAGCAGGAGCCACGAGGGGTAATTTTAGATTATTATCTTTAAGGCATTTACAGCATGGTGTGGCTAAAGCTGATAGACAAAAAAAAAAAAAGCTGATATTGTAATTAGTAATTGTAAATGCTTATATTGTAATTAAGATATAATATTGTGTGCTGTAATTAGGAAATAATTGGCTTCTGATTGTGATAGCATGAATTATAACATCTGTTATATACCTATATAATATATATAAAATATATATTTTTAATATATAGTATATATTATAACATCTGTTTTATGTATTTTTAAATGTATATAATATATATATTATATATTATAACGTCTGTTTTATATATATATCTCACCCTTCACATGAGACTGAAAATGGAATTAAAGTTTTTAAAACATCTCTCAGTTACCCCATATCTGGGTCAAAAAAAGAACATAAGGAGGGTGGGAATGTCTGCAGTTCCACAGCTCCCAAAAATCCCAAATTTTATTCCCACCCAGGTTGGGAATTTTTGGATAAATGGGAAAGGTGAGCCCCAAGGTTTGATCCGGAGCTGTGGGGTTTCCACACGGCTGGGCTGGAAAACTCAAATATTTCCATTGCCAGAGGAGGGAAAGGGAAAAAAGTGTTTCTGCAAGGGAAAAGGAGAGGGAAAATCAGGGGAAAAGGAGAGGGAAAATCAGCGGAAAAGGAGAGGGAAAATCAGGGGAAAAGGAGAGGGAAAATCAGCGGAAAAGGAGAGGGAAAATCAGGGGAAAAGGAGAGGGAAATCAGGGGAAAAGGAGAGGGGAAATGAGGAGAAAAGGAGAGGGGAAATCAAGAATAAAGGGAGAGGAAAATCGGGAGAAAAGGAGAAAGAAAATCAGGAGAAAAGGAGAGGAAAATCAAGAGTAAAAGGAGAGGGAAAATGAGGAGTAAAAGGAGAGGGGAAATCGAGAGTAAAAGGAGAGGAAAATCAGGAGAAAAGGAGGAGGAAAATCAGGAGAAAAGGAGGAGGAAAATCAGGAGTAAAAGGAGAGGGAAATGAGGAGAGAGGCCCGGGCTGAATTTGAGTTTCCACTCCCAGGACTCGGTGCCAGGACAAGGCCACGAGACCCAGGAGGTTCCCTGGGCTCCTTCCAGCAACATCTGCAGAGGAAAACACTGCAGGAAAAATCACTGCAGGAAAAACACTGCAGGAAAAAACACTGCAGGAAAAACACTGCAGGAAAAAAAACTGCAGGAAAAAACACTGCAGGGGCTGCAGAGGAAAAACACTGCAGGAAAAAAAACTGCAGGAAAAACACTGCAGGAAAAAACACTGCAGGAAAAACACTGCAGGAAAAAACACTGCAGGAAAAAACACTGCAGGAAAAACACTGCAGGAGCTGCAGAGGAAAAACACTGCAGGAAAAAACACTGCAGGAAAAATCATTGCAGGAAAAATCACTGCAGGTAAAATCACTGCAGGAAAAACACTGCAGGAAAAAACACTGCAGGAGCTGCAGAGGAAAATCACTGCAGGAGCTGCAGAGGACACCGGGCAGAGCCAGCCCAAAAAAAAAATACAGATTTTATTATCTGGGAGGACTCGGGGTGGGAAAGGCTCAGGGAGGACCCAAACCCCAAATAATTTCTTCAAACATTGATTCACCCACCAGGGAAAGGAGAAACTTCTGGGATCTTTGCTTAAAGCCCAGTTCCTGTCAGAATTATGGGCTCAGAAGAGGCAAAAAAATTCAGAATTTATCTGGAAGTAGAGATGGGAGGACTCGGGGTTGGAAAGGTTCAGGGAAGACCCAAACCCCAAAAAATTCCTGCAAACATCGATTCACCCACCAGGGAAAGGAGAAAACACAAGGAAACTTCTGGGATCTTTGCTTAAAGCCCAGTTCCTGTCACAGTTATGGGTTCAAAAAGGGCAAAAAAACCCCCAGATTTTATTATCTGGGAAGAGACATGGGAGAACATGGGGTTGGAAAGGCTCAGGGAGGACCCAAACCCCAAATAATTCCTGCAAACATCAATTCACCCACAAGGGAAAGGAGAAAACACAAGGAAACTTCTGGGATTTTTGTTAAGGCCCAGTTCCTGTCACAATTATGGGCTCAGAAGAGGCAAAAAAATTACAGATTTTATGATCTGGTTTGGAATCACGAGGTTGGGATGTCAGCCCCGAGCCTGGAGCTTTTTGGGAAGGATAATATGGCCCTGCTGGAGGGAAGTGCTGACAACATCCTCCTGCTCCAGCTCCATTCCCAGCACTTTCCTGCCAGCTGGAATTCCCACTTGGAATCTCAGCTGTCCCCAGGGACGAAGGGCTGGTGGCCAAAATCAATGTCAGCACCAACAGCTGGGCTTTGGAGGGTGAAAAAAAGGTTAAAAGGGAGGGGAAAGGCTGGGATGGAATTCCCAGAGCTGCTCCTGGATCCCTGGGAGTGTCCCAGGCCAGGCTGGGACATCGGGAGGTATCGGAATCTGAGGTATTGATGATTCTGAGATTGTAGAAAGTCTCTGTCTGTCAGCCCCGCTGCCAAAGCAGAAGCCATAATTGGTCTGTGCTGTTTCAAGGTTGTTTATTCTGTTTATCTCTAACATGTTCTGCTGCCCTGCCGCAGCTCTGTCCTGCAGGGCAGCGTGTGGGGCTCTGCCCTCAGTGGGATGGTACAAACATTAAATACCAGAAACTACCTGTGCTGGATTTACAATAACGTGCCAATATCTGTCACCTACGTTGGACAGTGTGTCCCCAGCCTGAACCAACAGAAAAATGCCAACCCCACAGTGAAACATGGAGGGCATGAAGAAGGAGAAAAAGGACAAGACACACCCAATTTCCTCCATCTTGTCCCCTTTGGACCTGTTATCTAGAATCCTAAAATTTTACTTTTGCACCCATGCCACACTTAATTATTACTTATATCAAACACTCAGAGCTGGTAATTCATCCTGTAAGATTGAAAACTCTTTTCCATGGCCAGAGATCACAGACAGTGTCTCTGGGGGCTCTGTCCAGGGGGGTTCCTGACCCCTGCCAGGGTCCCAGAACAGCATCCCACTGAGAGGTATTACAATTTAAAATAAATTTACAATTTATACTGTAAATCCAGCACAGGTAGTTTGTGGTATTTAATGTTTGTAACATCCCCCTGAGGGCAGAGCCCCACACGCTGCCCTGCAGGACAGAGCTGCGGCAGGGCAGCAGAACATGTTAGAGATAAACAGAATAAACAACCTTGAAACAGCACAGACCAATTATGGCTTCTGCTTTGGCAGCGGGGCTGACAGACAGAGACTTTCTACAATCTCAGAATCATCAATACCACAGATTCCGACACATCGCATTAAATCTGCTCTGTAAAACCCCGAGAGCAGGGACAGCACCATGTCCTCATTCACCACCCCAAAAAAAAAAAATCAGCAAAATGCCCAAAAACATCTTTGCTGGCCCCATCCCTGAGGATGTGGCCTGTCCCACACCGAGGAATGTCCCCAACGCTGTCACCTCCCTCCTGGAGCCCTTCCAGCGCTGCACTTCCACTGATCCCAGCTCGAGTCAGGATAAATTTCACCCATTTTTAATCTCACTGACAAAAACCTGAGCCCTGCCTCATGTCCCAGCTTGTTCCAGGATTAAAATCCCCCAGGAAATTCAACCTTGGGGTGGGTTGGAATTGGAGATCAGCTCACGGCTCAATGGGGCTGAGAGCAGCACCCCAAAAAACAACAAAAAAAATGAAATAATAATAATAATAAAGGCAGGAACACGGAGAGAAAGAGCGGCCCTGGCAGGGGGAAGCCCCAGGGGAAGGAGGAGGTGCAGGTACCTCTGCAGGACGTGGCACCAGCTGCAGTTGAAGGTCAGCTCCGAGCCCACGCAGGTTTCGCAGCTCTGGTGCTGCAGGCAAGCTGCAAAAAAACCAAAAAAAACGAAAAAAAACAAAAGAGCAGATAGGTTCCAGCCAAATTTTGGCCACGGAGAGAAGCAAAACCTCCCCAAGGCTGTGGGAGTCCAGGGCATCCCTCTGGATGATCTAGGAGGTCAAAAAAACCCCTGGACAGAGCCCCCAGAGACATTATCTCTGATTTTTGTCCATGGAAAAGAGTTTTCAATCTTCCAGGATTAATCACAAGCTCTGAGTGTTTCATATAAATAATAATTCAGTGTGCAAAAGTAAAATTTTAGGGTTCTACATAAAGGTTCCAAAGGGGGACAAAATGGAGGAAATTGGGTTATGTTTTGTCCTTTTTCTTCTTTTTCTTCATGCCCTCCATATTTCACTGTAGTTACAAGCTCTGAGGGTTGATATAAATAATAATTAAATGTGCAAAAGTAAAATGTTAAGATTCTAGATAAGGGGTCCAAATATATGTAAGATATTTTTTTACTTGCTCAAGAAAGGGATGAGATAATCAAGAAACTCTTCACACAGAGATAACAGCGACACAAAACCTGAGGAGTTCCTGGCTCCTTATCAGAAAATAAAAACTTCCTTCCACCTTCTCTCCTATGGAACCACCAGGATTAAGGGGAAGAAGTCGACAAAACCCAGAAAAATTCTGAATTTGCAAGGAAATTATGCGTCATGTATGAGATACATGAATATGCAACAGGCTGCTGCTTTTAAGTGTTATTCCTTTGGTGGTTTTGGTGCCCAAAAACCACCCAGATACCGGAAATTCTTTGCTTTTTATTGTCTTGTAATTGTCCTAGCTCTAAATTTTTATTACTCTCATTGTATTGCTATTTTTATAACCGTTTTTTATTAAACATTTTTAAAAAGATTTTAAAAACATGTTTTTTAAAAAAATGTTTTCCACAGGCAGCACCAAGCCCTGAGTTCCCCATTCCCCACGGGAGGTGAAGGGAGCAGCTCCTCCCCAGCTCTTCCCACCTGGGATTCAAAACTCAGCTGGGAATTTTTTGCCGTTAATTTTTTGCCATTAATTTTTTTTTTTTTTTTTTTTTGCCATTTCTGGTTATTCCTCCTGGGGAAGGAGCTGAATCCCCCCAGGGCCGTGTCCACTCGGAGGGAACAGGAATTCTGCTGCTCACGGGGCGTTTTTGGTCTAGAAAATTGGTCAGGATGCCAAAAAAACTCAGTTTTAACCAGGCCTTGAATAGCAGAACCCAGAGTGGCTCCTGTCCCAGGTGCTGTGACATTCCTGGGGATGGAATCACTCAGACCCTAAATCCCTCATTTCTGACCGAAAAAAGAGATGAGGACCCACTCTCAGCTCACTCAGACCCTAAATCCCTCCTTTCTGACCCCAAAAAAATGTTAAAAATTGAACCCCCAGAAGAACCATCAGGGGCAGCTCCTCTGCAGATTCCCTGAGCTGCTGGGGGAAAAAAACAGGGAAAAATTCAAACCTCCAGCAGGCAAAAAAAAAAAAATCGAGATTTTGCAGAATGGTTATTTATGTTCTGCTGCTAAAATCGTCCTTGAACACCCCGGGGAGAGCGTTGAGTGCAGATTTCCTCTCAGCCCCGATTTAAGGGAAGCTCTGCCCGATCCAGCTGCTCAAAACCCGCCTGAGGCACCTCCCAAAAATCTCAGGCGGGTGTGGGGGCGTTGGGAATGTCTTGGAGACAGACCCGGAGTGAAGTGGTGTCCAGAAAAATCAGCTGCTGCTCGGGGAGTGATGGAAAAAAATAATAAAAAATGGGATTTCAGGTGGGAAGAGCTGAGGGGGAGCAAGGAGAGCTCAGGGCACAGCGTGGCACAGTGGCACTTGTGTCCCCAGGGATGTCCTTGTCCCTTTTTTGGGGATTCTGAGCAGGGGAAGGGGAATTTTCCTCCTCAGCTCCTCCCGAGCCGCATCCCGGCCTGAGCTGGGCTGGCAAACACCAGCGGGTTGGGATTTCCCTTGGCTCAGGTTGATCCCAAATTCGTCCAAATTCATCCCGGAATCCATCCAGGCAGGGCCGGGGGTGGGAGAGGCGCAGTGGCAGCGTGGGGACACCAGGACGGGCTGGGGACCCCAGGGTGGGGGGAGCTGGGGACCTTGGGGACCCCAGGACAGGCTGAGATGGGGACCCCAGGGTGAGCTGAGCTGCTCCCCAGGGACCCCAGGGTGGGCTGGAGACCCCAGGGTGGGGAGAGCCGGGGACCCTGGGGACCCCAGGACAGGGTCAGCTGATCCCTGGGGACCCCAGGGTGGGGGTGAGCTGTTCTCTGGGGACCCCAGGGTGGGGCTGAGTTCCACTCCAGGGACCCCCAGGACAGGGTCAGTTGCTCCCTAGGGACCCCAGGATGGGCTGAGCTCCTCTCTGGGGACCCCAGGATGGGCTGGAGACCCCAGGGTTGGGGTGAGCTGCTTCCCAGGGACTCCAGGGTGGGCTGAGCTCCTCTCTGGGGACCCCAGGGTGGGCTGAAGACCCCAGGGTGGGGCTGAGCTGTTCCCTGGGGACCCCAGGGTGGGCTGAGCCGCTCCCTGCTGCCAGCATCCCCTCCCTCCACAGACAGGCAGCATCGCCCCCCCAGCACCCCCAGCCCTGCCTCGGCTGCCCCCCCCGAGGCTGCTGGGGTTTGTGGGTGCAATTTGGGGTGCCAGAGGGGCACAGGGGCACTCACTGGGCAGCGGGGTGAACTCCACGGCCGACAGGCTGCTGATCCTGCTGCTGTCCAGCTCCACGCGGTGGTACTCGTAGATCGTCCGGCGCCGGGACTCTGCAACAGAGCCTGGCCTTAAACCGGGCTTCAGCTGCCTTAAACTGGGCTTAAACTGGCTTAAATTTGTCTTAAACTAGTCTTAAACCAGGATTAAACGGGGTTTAAACTGGGCTTAAACCGGCCTTAAACCGTCTTAAATGGGACTTAAACTGGGTTTAAACTGGGTTTAAACTGGGCTTAAACCAGGTTTAAACCTGGCTTAAGCCAGTGTCAGAACTCAAAATGTCCCTCAGACATTTTTGGAGGTTCCAGGCCCAGGTCAGAAGCATTTCAGACCCTGGCAGGCAGCTGGAAACAGCTGTGATTTTGGATTTGAGCCATGGAATGATTTACCAACCTTGCAGGAAGAACAAGAAGTCAGAAAAGTTTAGATGTTATAGTAGAAGTAGTCACAAAGTAAAGGGAAGAATTTTTGAGTGCTGTACAGGAGGGTTTTGGTTTTGTACATGGGGGTCGGAGGGTTTAAGATGGAGGGATTTGGGCCTGCCCTGTCCTTCCTTTCTTCTTCCTTCCCTCCATGTTCTTGGTGATGTTGGCACTCACAGATTGGTTTAGAGTAGAAAGGCACCATTTAATATAGGTAATAGGCATTGGGGAAAAACTGTAACCATGTAACACATAATGTACCATATAAAAGATAACAGCAGCCCTCAGCGAGGGGAGAAAAGAAAAACAAAAGAGCCAAAAAATTTGTCAAAGGTGTGTGTGTGTCTGCCTGAGCTGCTGAGCAAACTGCAGCAGCTCAAGAAGAAAATCTTTTAGATAATTTACAATAAACTGCCTTGAGACTGAACAACAGAAGAATTCTGAGCCTTTCTTTATTTTTCTTTTTGGAAAATGGATTTCAAGGAGAAAACTGAAGATTCCCACTTTTCTTTTCTGGAAATGGATTTGAAGGAGAAAACTGAAGATTCCCACTTTTCTTTTCTGGAAATGGATTTGAAGGAGAAAACTGAGCATTCCCATTTTTTCTTTTCAAATGAATCAGTGAAGGACTGTCAGCAATGTGGGCCAGGCTGCTCCAAATCCATGACCCCAGACTGGGAGTTTTGGGGTCAACCTCCTTCTTCAGGGAAGAAGTTTAGGATGCAACATCATTTTGGGCTGTAAAACAACGCTTGTGTAATTTTAATTATGCTTGGCTATAGTTTCAGCAGCCTTTTCCTAGCAGAATTCTCACCCACAAATGATTGTGGGGTTTTTAAATGAGTATTCTGTGTACAAACCTTGAGATAAGAAATGCTGACTTAATGATTGGCTTTAAGGCATTTACAGCACGGCAAAAGCTGAAAAGCCAAAAAAACACTTGTGGCGTGTTGTAATTAGGAAATAATTGGCTGCTGATTGCCATGGCGTGAATTGTAACATCTGTAGATCGTCTCACCCTTCACACGAGACTGAAAATGGAATAGAAGTTTTTAAAAATTGATCTCTGGGGGAGAAAAAAACTTAATCCAACAGGCTGGGAGGTGCCAGGGCTGCAGCCCTGAGCCGCTCCCAAAACAGCTCCAAACAAAAATCAGCCGGCTCTGACTCACGGCCGGGGCCTCCCCCTGATGCCTCAGCTTTTCTTTTTTCTTATTTTTCACATTTTGTGCTGTTTCAGTGTGTGGGTCTGGGTTTGTGTATTATGGGATGGTGAGTTCTGTTCACAGAGCAGAGACAAAACAATTCCTGCTCCGGCTGGGACCAAGGAGAAATGATCCAAATCTCTGCCCCAGGAGCACAAACAGCGCGGGCTGGAGAGAGAAAAACAAGAACGGTGGGGCTGCACGGGCTAAAAGTGGAATTGAACAATTAACTCCAATATGCAAATGAAGGAGAAATTATCAAAGTGACAGACCCTGTGAGCGGTCAAGCATTTTGTGACCATGTTGGGTCCATTTTGAGTCCATTTTGTGACCATTTTGGGTCCATTTTGGGTCCATTTTGTGACCATTTTGGGTCCATTTTGGGTCTATTTTGTGACCATGTTGGGTCCATTTTGTGACCATGTTGGGTCCATTTTGTGACCATTTTGGGTCCATTTGGGTCCATCTTGGGTCCATTTTGTGACCATTTTGGTTCATTTTGGGTCCATTTTGTGACCATTTTGGTTCCATTTTGTGACCATTTTGGGTCCATTTGGGTCCATCTTGGGTCCATTTTGTGACCATTTTGGTTCATTTTGGGTCCATTTTGTAACTACGTTGGGTTCATTTTGGCTCCATTTTGGTTTCATTTTGTGACCATTTTGGGTCCATTTTGTGACCATTTTGGTTCATTTTGGGTACAGCCCTGGCTGGGCTCTGGCGCTGCCCAAGGTGGATCCACTGAGGAGATCTTTTAATGAATCCCTGCTTGGTTCTGGAACTGCCTGGCCAATCTCTCCACTGAGATCTTTTAAATAAATTTATTCTCTAACTCTGCCTGGCCAATCTCTCCACTGAGATCCTTTCAATAAATTTATTCTCTAACTCTGCCTGGCCCCAGTTCTAGCTCAGCCTTCTCAAGGCCCCACCCAGAGCTCCCAGTGCTCCTGCAGCCGCTTCCCCCCAAAAATCTCCTCCTGCCCCACCCCACTCCAGCCGTTTTCACTTCAGGGTGGTGACACAGCCCTCCTCACACTCACTGGAAATCCAAGCAGGGCATCCTCGCACCCCGAAATCCCCCAGGACAGACGAGGATCCCTGTGGGATCGGCTCCCCAGGGACTCACCAGGCACGGCGGGAGAATGGTTGAGGACCATGAAGGCGTCGGAGAGCCCGGCCTTGACGGGGTGCTGGCTGGCACTGATCTGCGGGATGGGCACCGGGATCTGCCCGGGGACAGGGGGGACAGAGGTGGGACAGAGGTGGGACACATCCCAGCCCTGCCCCAGCCCCCAAGAATGTCCAACCCCCTCCCAGCCCACCCTCGTGCCCCATCCCCTCTCTCACCTCCTTGTAGCCGAAGACGATCCTCCCGCTGCTGTGCAGGGCGGCCTGGAAGGTGAAGCTGCCCATGTCCTCCTTGCCCTGGAGATAAACCTTGTCCCACTGCACCACAAACACCGTCCCTGGGGGGCACCAGAGCTGCTCAGTCCTTCCCTCTTCTCCCCCTGCTCCGTCCTCTCCTGCCCGTGAGGCTCCATCTCACCCCCCAGCCTCCAGCATCTACTCGGAGCGGAGCAGAACATCCCCAACTGTGGGAATTCCACGGATCCCAAAGAGTTTGATCTGCAGCCTTAGGAGGAGCTTAGATTGATGTGAAAATAAAGTATGTTAGGTAGAAAAATAATGAAGTTATGTTTGTGTGGTTGTAAGTCAGGAACTGTGTTGGGTTAGATGGTGAAGAGCATAAAGAGTTTAGAAGTTACAGTTATAAAGAGTTTAAAACAGAGTTATAAAGAGTTTATAAAAGAGAGTTATAAAGAGTTTAAAAGTCTTTAAAGAGTCTATGAGTTTAAAAGTTGTATTAGAAGCATGCCATCCATCCATCCCATCCTGTCTGTCCCATCCCATGGATTCCATCCCATCCTGTCCATCCCATCCCATCTTGTTCTGTCCCATGGATCCCATCCCAACCCATCTTGTCCATCCTGTCCATCCCATCCCATCCCATCCTGTCCATCCCATCCCATCCCATCCCATCCCATCCCATCCCATCCCATCCCATCCCATCCCAGCCGCAAGCAGAGAACCACACCTGGGAAAGCTCATCCCGCTCTCTGCCCAGAGAGCTGCCACCAGCAGAGCCCGTGTCACTGTCACCATCCCTGCCCCGGCGGTGACGGAGCCGAGCCCGCCCGGCCGAGGCCGGAGCAGGGGTGGCACTCACCATTGTCCAGGTAGCGCACGGTGGAGTTGTGCGAGTAGCTGGGGTTGAAGTTGGCCATGAGCGGGGCGATGTACTGCGTGGCCGTCAGCATGCGGTGCATGACGTCCCCCGTGAAGATGAAACCTGAGCGCGCAGAGGATGAAGCTCGCCCTCCTCCCTCCGCCCCATCCCATTTTTACCCCTCTGGATTTCCTCTCTGTGTCCCCCCCGGTCTCTGCAGGAGCTGAGGGAGCAGCAGCTCCGGACTCCCCGAGGAGATTTGGGGTGCAGGGGGAGGTTGGAAGGGCTGGAGCACGTTCTCTGAGCTCGCTGGGGCTCAGGGGTGTGGGGTGAGGGTGGAGCCAGCACCGGAGCCGTGTCCAGGCCCCGCTGTGGGTAACGCATCCCATCCTGTCCATCCCATCCTGTCCATCCCACCCAGTCCTGTCCCATCCTGTCCCATCCTGTCCATCCCATCCATCCCATCCTGTCCCAGTCACACCCAGTCCTGTCCCATCCAGTCCCATCCATCCCATCCCATGGAATCCATGGATCCCATCCCATCCCATGGATCCCATTCCATCCCATGAAACCCATCCCATTCCATCTCATGAAACTCATTCTTATCCCATGGATCCCATCCTGACCATCCCATCCCATGGATCCCATCCTGTCCCACCCCATGGAACCCACCCCAACCATCCCATCCCATGGATCCTATGGAACCCATCCCATGGATCCCATCCCATCCCATGGATCCCATCCCATGGACTGCATCCCATTCCATGGATCCCATCCCGACCATCCTGTCCCATCCCATGGATCCCATCCTGTCCCATCCCATGGATCCCATCCCAACCATCCTATTCCATGGATCCTATGGAACCCATCCCATGGATCCCATCTCATCCCATGGATCCCATCCCATGGATGTCATCCCATGGATGCCATCCTGATCATCCTGTCCCATCCCATGGATCCTATCCCATCCCATCCCATGGATCCCAGCCCGTGGATCCCAGCCCGTGGATCCCAGCCCGTGGATCCCAGCCTAGGTCCCGGTCCCCGCTCACCGCCGGTGGCAATGGTGACCTGCCGCAGGAGGTGGCCGTAGAAGGGGAAGTCAAAGGACAGCGTGACCCTCTGTGGGACAGAGAGTGGGGACAGCCGGGCTCAGCCCCGGGACAGCGCCGGGAGTGTGGGAAAAGGGGTGGGAAGGGGGATCCTGCAGGTTCCTCCATCCCTGGAATGAGCTGGAGGCCACCAACACACCCCAAGCCCTGCTGGGCCACCCCTGCTGGACACGGGGACACGGAGACATGGGGACACGGGGACAAAGGGACATGGGGATGCGGGGATACGGGGTCACGGGGACATGGGGTCACAGGGACAAAGGGACATAGGGACACGGGGATATGGGGATACGGGGATACAGGGACACAGGGTCACGGGGACAGGAGGACACGGGGACAAAGGGACATGGAGATATGGGGGTATGGGGATACAGGGACAGGGGGACATGGGGACATGGGGACACAGGGTCACGGGGACAGGGGGACACGGGGACATGGGGATACAGGGACATGGGATCACAGGAACACAGGGATATGGGGTCACAGCAACACGGGGACATGGGGACATGGGGACACGGGGATATGGGGTCACAGCGACACGGGGATATGGGATCACAGGAACATGGGGATATGGGGTCACAGCAACACGGCAACATGGGGATACGGGGACATGGGGACACGGGGATATGGGGTCACAGTGACACGGGGACATAGGGATACAGGGACACGGGGATATGGGGTCACAGCGACATGGCAACATAGGATCACAGGAACACGGGGATATGGGGATACGGGGACACCGGGGCTCACCGAGGCCTGCCGGTGCGTGTTGGAGAGGATCCCGTGGACCTTGACACGGCCCCCGCTGGCTGCCGCCATGTCCACCCAGAGCGCGGCGCGGCGCGCGTCCCCCGGGCCGTAGCTCCGCGAGATGTAGTAGCTGTGGTTGTCCTCCTGCAGCCACCGGGGACACGGGGACACGCAGGGACATGCGGCGTAGCAGCACCCGCGGGGTGGCAGGGAGCAGGCACAAAGCGGGGAGAAAGGCAGGGAAAATCAGGGGAAATCCGGGATAAATCCAGGGAAAATCTGGGATAAATCTGAGATAAATCCAGGGAAAACCCAGGAAGAATCTGGGGTAAATCAAGGGAAAATCAGGGAAAAATCTGGGATAAATCCAGGGAAAATCTGGGATAAATCTAGGGAAAATATGGGATAAATCCGGGATAATTCCAGGGAAAAGCCAGGAAGAATCCAGGATAAATCAAGGGAAAATCCGGGATAACCACTTCCACATCGGGACTTTTCACTGCCGATTTCGGGGATTTTGAACCAAATCGGTTAAATAACCCAAATCGGGTTTTGGGCCGATTTTGGGTATTTTGAACCAATTTCACATCGGGATTTTTCACAGCTCCTCTCCATCCCCAAAGGATGGGCTGGAGCAGATGGAAGCAGCCACTTTGTCCCCTTGGGGCCACCAAAACCAGCGGGACGAGTCACCGTCCTCCAAAAAAAACCCCCCCGGGACCGAGAGCGCCGGGAACTCCCGCGGCCCCGCCACAAATAACCGGCAGCTAATTAAGGGCGGGTAATTAGGCTGGGAGAGCCGAGGGAGGTGTCCCACAAGGTGACACGGGAACAGAGGACAACCCCCCCTCGGCACCGGAGTTGTCCCCGCGTGTCACCCGTGACACGAGTGTCCAGCCCGGGGCTGGGTGATCCCCGGGTTGTAATTATCCTCGGGGTTGTAATTAGCTTCTCTGGGGTGTAATTATCCTCTCCGGGGTGTAATTATCCTCTCGGGGATGTAATTATTCCCTTTGGGATGTGGGATCCAGCCCCATATCGGGACCGGTGCCAAACTGGGAATAGATCTGGCAGCGGGAGCGGGCCCGGAGCGGGTCTGGGTGGGGGTCGGGACACAGATCCGGGGGGGGGTCGGGACACGGATCCCGGGGGGGGGCCGGGACACGGATCCCGGGGGGGGGTCGGGACACGGATCCCGGAGGGGGGCCGGGACACGGATCCCGGGGGGGGTCGGGGAACGGATCCCGGGGGGGGGTCGGGGAATGGATCCGGGCGGGGGTCGGGACACGGATCCCGGGGGGGGTCGGGGGTTGGGGGTCGGGTCCTGGAGAGGGGTCGAGGCACAGATCCCGCCAGGGGTCGGATCCCGGGTCCGGGCGGGGGTCGGATCCCGGGTCCGGGCAGGGGTCGGGGGTCGGGACACGGATTCCGGCGGGGGTCAGGGGCCGGGATGCGGATCCCGGCGAGGGTCGGGACACAGATCCCACCAGGGGTCGGATCCTGGGTCCGGGCGGGGGTCGGGGGTCGCGGCACGGATCCCGGCGGGGGTCGGGGAATGGATCCGGGCGGGGGTCGGGACACGGATCCCGGCGGGGGTCGGGGGTCGGATCCCGGGTCCGGGCGGGGGTCGGGGGTCGCGGCACGGATCCCGGCGGGGGTCGGGCTCAGCGGCACTGACCACGACGCGGGTCCCGCTGGCCGGCAGGGTGTCGATGGCCAGGCTGTCGCCCGCCAGGTCGTGGCTGATGCGGGTCCCCTCGGTGGCGGCCGGAGCTCTCGGTGCTGGGGGCACACAGGGAGGGGTCAGTGGCAGCCCTGGGCTCAGCGGTGTCCCCCAGACACGGGTTTGGGGGGTCTCAGCCCCATGAGCAGCGGCACTGCAGGCACGGAGGGGCGGGGAGGGCGCCGGGGTGGCCGCAGGGACAGGGACAGGTGACAGCCACCCCGGCCAGGGCAGGACAGCTGGGGACAACACTCGCAAACGGGGGTGGCAGCCCCCGCACGCTCCAGCGCGACCCCGGAGAGGGGGAAGCCACACCAGGGTGGCCTCGATGTCCCCAAGCACCCCGGGCTGGTCCCAAATATCCAAAAAAACCGCGTCCCTCTCCCCCTCCACGCACCTCTCCAGCCCCGTGGAGGCAGCGGAGGCCGGGATTTGGTTAAAAATACCCCAAATCGGCCCAAAAACGGAGCTGGGGAGCGGGGGGAGGGAGGAGAAAAAAGCCATTTGGGACCAGATCTGCGGAGAACCGGGAGGGTTTTGGCAGCGCGGCGCGGGCGGAGGCGGCGAGGACGGCGAGCGCTCGCCCACGGGCAGGGACACGGCCGGGACATCTGTCCCCAAACGGGGACACAGCCTGGGGGGGGCGCGGGCTGCTCCCCCCGCCCCTGGGAGCGGGGTCCCAGCGTCACCCCACGGGAGTCAATTGCTAATTGCTGCCTAATGAGGCTGGGTTCTGTTCCCAGGTGTCCGGGTGGGGAAACTGAGGCAGGGGGGAGCAGGGCTGAGAGAAGGGCTCTGGATGGGGAGGGGGGGTCACACTCGCCATTTTTGGGGGGCACAGGGGGGCACAGGGGGGCCCAGCCCTCGCTAGGGCGGGCAGGTGTGGGGTGATCCAGAGACCCCCACAGAGACTCCCCAAAATCTCAGCCCCAGCCCTGCCATGGGGGGGTCACGGGTGGGGGGGGGGGAATACAGCCCCCCCATCCCTGTCCCAGCACAGATGGGGGGTCCGGGCACCCTGGGGCAGGGGGGAGCACGGGGTGGGGTGCGAGACACCCCCAAAGCACCGCAGAGAGAGGGGGGGAGACACACAGACCCCCGGGACCACCGGACAGAGCCCAAGGCACAGCCGGGACCTCCCTGCACCCCCAATCCCGGCGGCCCCCCCAGAACTCGCCCCCTGCCCCTCGTACCTGCGGCCAGCGCCCCGCGGAGCAGGCAGAGCAGGAGGAAGCCCCCCCAGAGCATGGTGGGGGTCGGGGGGCTCAGCGCCCCGCCATGGGCCGGGACCCCCGGGAGGGAACCGCGCACCGAGCGGAGCCGGAGCCGGAGCCGGAGCCGGGCGGGGCCGGGGGCGGGCCCGGGGGTGGGGATGGAACTGGGGGGGCCGGGATGGAAAAGGGAAGGAGTCGGAGCTGGAGCTGGGACCGGCAGCGGTACCCCCGAGAGCCCAGGGGGGTCGGGAATGTTCCTCCATCCCCCCCCACACACCCACCCCGAGTTTTTGGGGTTCCACTTGCGAGGTTCGGGGTGCTCCGGGCAGCCCTGGCGTGACCCCGCTCTGGGCTGAGCCCACAGCCCCCCCAAAGCCTCAGGATCGCTGCACCCCCATAATTTGGGGAATTTGGGGGGGCTGGCGCCCCTTCACCCCCACCCCTCGGAGCAGCCCTCCCACATTCAGCCAAACCCACTGCTGCGCCCCACTGCATAATTTGGGCAGAGTTTTGGGGGGCTCCGCTGCACCCCAGCCCCTCAGCCCTGGGTGCCAGGGCGGGAGGAGGGGTCAGACCCCCCCCCCAAAAAAAAAAAAGCCAAAAATGCCTGGAGGGCGATGCTGACCCCCCCCACCATCATCCCGCGGGCAAAACCGGGGGGTGCGTGGTCAGTGTGGGGGTCCCGCGGCTGCTCCGAGCTGAGGAAACAAATGGGGGAAAGCGATACTTTTTGGGGGGATCCCCGAGACCCTTTTGGGGATCCCCAGCGGTCCTTCCTTCTCCAAAATCCCCCACCCGGGGGTGGGGGAGCCGCTTTGGGGGGGCCAGGGTCTCCCCTCGCTGCCGGGGTGGTGGGGGGCAAATGGAAAGGGGTGAGAAAAACGCTGTGGGGCACCCCAAAAAAAGGTGTGGAAAAGAAGGGGGCACCCGGATTTGAACCGGGGACCTCTTGATCTGCAGTCAAATGCTCTGCCACTGAGCTATACCCCCGGTGCGACGGGAACGGCAGCGGCACCGGGACAGCGGCACCGGCACCGGGACAGCGGCACCGGGACAGCGGCACTGGGACCGGGACAGCGGCACCGGGACAGCGGCACCGGGACAGCGGCACCGGCACCGGGACAGCGGCACCGGCACCGGGACAGCGGCACCGGGACAGCGGCACCGGCACCGAGACAGCGGCACCGGGACCGGGACAGCGGCACCGGGACAGCGGCACCGGGACCGGGACAGTGGCACCGGGACAGCAGCACCAGCACCGGGACAGCAGCACCGGGACAGCGGCACCGGGACAGCGGCACCGGCACCGGGACAGCGGCACGGGCACCCCAAAACACGGACAGCCCCGGTCAGGGGCACCCCCAAAACACGGACACCCCCAAAACACGGACACCCCTCAGTCACAGGCACCCCACACCCAGTGGCACCCCCAAAACACGGCATCCCTCAGTCACGGTCTCCCCCAAAACACGGACAGCCCCAAAATACGGGCACACCCTGGTCAGGGGCACCCCCAAAACATGGACACCCCCTGGTCACAGACACCCCCATCCACACAAACACACACCCACGGACACCCCCAAAACAGGGGCACCCCCTAAATACGGAAACCCCCTGGTCAGGGGCACCTCCAAAACACGGACACCCCCAAAACACGGATAGCCCTGGTCAGGGACACCCCCAATCCAAGACACCCCCCACTCAGGGACACCCCTACACTCACACCCCCACCCCACTCAGGGGCACCCCCACACTCAGGGGCACCCCACACTCGCCCCCATCCCCCTGCCCCACCCCCGCTGTCCCCCCGGGCCGGGGGCGGGCAGACACGGCCCCCCCAAAACCCCCAAACCCCCAAAACCTCCAAACCCCCCAAAACTGCCCAAAACCCCAAACCCCCAAACCCCCCAAAGCCCCAAACCCCCAACCTCCCCGGGCAGCTCGGGGCTGTGCGTCCCCCGCAGCTCTCGGGGTGCGGGTGGGACCCCCCAAACTGCCAGCCGGGTGTTTTGGGGGGGCAGAACCGGCACTGGGGGGGTTAACCCGGAGCTGCCGCCGCGGGGCGCGGATGGGAACAGCGGGGTCGGTGTTTGCTCCCAAATCCGCGGGGTAAACACGGGGGGCTGGGCTGGGTTTGGGGGGGTCGCATCCTCCTCGGAGCGCTGAGCGATCCCCGGAACAGCGGGAGAAAAATTTGGGGTCACCCCACTGTGGTTGGGGCACCCCTCAGGCTCCCGCTGGCGGCTGGGGAAACTGAGGCACGGGCGGGGGAGGGGGATTGGCACACGGCGGGGGACCCCCAGTGCGCCCCAATCCCAGTCCCCGTCACCTCCTCGCTGCTTTTGGGGGCGAACCCCCCCGGAGTGCTGCCACAGCCCCCCTAACCTGCTGCTGGGACTGGGAACGATCCAAAAATGTCCCCAAAACTGTCCCAAAAATGTTCCCAAAACTGTCCCAGCAATGTCCCAGTAATGTCCGCAAAAATGTCCCAGAATTGTACCCAAAACTGTCCCAGAATTGTACCCAAAACTGTCCCAAAAACGTCCCCAAAAGTGTCCCAAAACTGTCCCCAAAACTGTCACAGAAAAGTCCCCAAAACTGCCCCAGTAATGTCCCCAAAAATGTCCCAGAATTGTACTCAAAAATGTCCCAAAAACGTCCCCAAAACTGTCCCAAAAATGTCCCCAAAAACCTGTCCCAAAACGTCCCCAAAACTCTCCCAGCAGTGTCCCCAAAACTGTCCCAGCCTACCCCGAGATGTGGGGGGACACAGGGCACCCCAAACTGCACCCAAAATCAGCACCCCGAGGTGTGGGGGCACACAGGGCACCCCGAAGTGTCCCCGCAGGGACCCCAAGTGGATTGCGGGGGTCTGGGGGGGGGTCGCGGGCACGGAGCCCCCCGCGCTGGGGGACACGGAGGTGGCAGCGGCGGGGGCGATAAGGACCGGGTGATAAGGACCGGGCGATAAGGGCCGGGCTGGCAGCTCATTCTGGGGGTGCCAATCCGCTCACCCCGGCCGGGGAGGGGGCACCGGGCCGGGGGGGCACGCAAACACCGGGCAGTGCCAGCCCTGTGCCCCCCGCTGCCCCTTTTGGGGGTGCCACCTTTGCTCCCCAACTTTTCCCTCTGTCTGCACCTCGTTCCTGCTGTGCCCGCTCTGGGAAAAGGGAAAAACAAACCCAGGGAATTGGGGGGTTGGGGGGGGGTGCAGGGTACCCCAAATTGTGCCAGGCAGTGCCCCCGAGCTGGGGGGGATCTGTAGGATATGGGGTGGGTGATGTGAGGGGTTGGAGGGGACGCAGGGTACCCCAAACTGCACCCAGATCATCATCCCACACTCCAAACTGCACCCCAAAATCACTCTGAGCTATGGGGGGACACAGGGAACCCCAAACTGTACCCAAATTCCTCATCATACACCCCAAATTTCACCCAAAATCACCACATGGAGCCATGGGGGCACACAGGGCACCCCAAATTCCACCTGAACTCATCACCCCACACCCCAAGTTGTACCCAAAATCAGCACCCCGAGCTGTGGGGGAACACAGGGCACCCCAAATTTCACCCCAAATCACTCTGAGCTATGGGAGGGGACACAGGGCACCCCAAACTGCACCCAAATTCCTCATCATACACCCCAAATTTCACCCCAAATCACCACATGGAGCTATGGGGGCACACGGGGCACCCCAAATTTCACTCAAACTCATCCCCCCACACCCCAGGGCTGGCACCGGAGCCAGACCGCCCCGGCGGGGGGGGGTTGTTTGTTTGCCCCGGGGCCGGTGCCCACCCCGGGGGGGTTGTTTGTGTTCCCCGGGGCCGGTGCCCACCCCGGGGGGTTGTTTGGTTGTTTGTGTTCCCCGGGGCCAGTGCCCACCCCGGGTGGTTGTTTGCTTGTTTGTTTGCCCCGGGGCCGGTGCCCACCCCGGGGGCGAGGCTGGCAATTATGGAAATCCCTTAAGCCCTGATTGCCCCCTCCCACCCCACCGGGTGGGCAAACACCCGGAGCAGCGGGGGCCGAGGCTGCCCGCGGCTACAAAACCCCCTCGGGCCGGCCGAGCTGGCACTGCCACTGCCACCGCCATGGTGACATCCCCCGCCATCCTCTGCCTCGTCGCCTGGCTGCTGCCACCCGCCGCCGGGCACCTCTGGGCATGGATGTTCGCCCTGCCCCAAAATTCGCCCGATGCGGCAGCGCTGGGCAGGAGCCCCGGGGAGGACGCGGAGGAGGTGAGGGGACAGTGGGGGACCCCCGGGTGAGGGGGCTGGGGGGGACACGGGGGGAGGCAGAGAGCCGGGATGGGCACAGAGGTGGGTTGGCAGCCTAGGTGGGTGGGCACGGGGGTGGTGGGGGCAGAATTTAAGCCGGGGGGCACGGAGGGGGCACGGAGGGGATAAAGAGGGGGCACAGAGCTGGGTTTGCAGCCTGGGTGGGTGGGCACGGAGGGGACACAGAGCAGGACACAGAGGGGACACGGAGGGGGCACGGAGGGGGCACGGAGAGGGAGCAAAGAGGGGACAAAGAGGGGACACAGAGGGGGCACGGAGGGGGCACGGAGAGGGAGAAAAGAGGGGACACAGAGGGGACACAGAGGGGACACAGAGGGGGCACGGAGGGGACACGGAGGGGACACGGAGGGGGCACGGAGAGGGAGAAAAGAGGGGACAAAGAGGGGACACAGAGGGGACACAGAGGGGGCACGGAGGGGACACGGAGGGGGCATAGAGGGGGCACAGAGAGGGAGCAGAGAGGGAGCAAAGAGGGGACAAAGAGGGGGCACAGAGAGGGAGCAAAGAGGGGACACAGGGTGGCAGCAGGGGATGGGTTTGCCGCGGGGGTCACCCGAGGTCACCCCGCAATGTCCTGCCGGGGACGGGGACACGGGGGGGCCGGGAATGGACACGGGGGTCCGGTGATGACCGGGGGTAGCCCCGGGGGTCCGGTGATGACCGGGGGTGGCCCCGGGGGTCCGGTGGTGACCGGGGGTGGCCCCGGGGGTCCGGTGATGACCAGGGGTGGCCCCGGGGGTCCGGTGATGGCCCCGGGGGTCCGGTGATGACCGGGGGTGGCCCCGGGGCTCCGGTGGTGACCGGGGGTGGCCCCGGGGGTCCGGTGATGACCGGGAGCGGACACGGGGGTCCGGTGGTGACCGGGGGTGGCCCCGGGGGTCCGGGGCGCGGTGGCGGCGGGGCCGGGGGGGGCGCCGGGCGCTCCAGTGGCGCAATCGGTCAGCGCGCGGTACTTATAGGGCGGTACACGAGCGATGCCGAGGTTGTGAGTTCGAGCCTCACCTGGAGCAGGATTTTGTCGGGGTTCCCGCCCTCCCCCTGCATTGCCCCCCAACCTTTGCCCCGCCGCCGGGTTTTGTTTTCCCGAGAAAAAAAAAAAAAAATCCTGGAACCGCTGCCCGGTGTGGCAGAGCCCCTCAAAATCACCCCAAGGTGTGCCCAGCATGGCCGGAGTCAAGGACGGGGTGGGGGACAAGGTGTGACCCCCCTGACGTGGCGTGTCCCCTCCTCCGCAGGTGACCCCGTGCAGCCCCGCCACCCCCTGTGCCCACGGGCATTTCTGCGACGAGCACTTCGGGCTGTGCCTGCCCACGCGGCCCGTGGGGCACTACTGCCGCCACGACCCGCACTGCGCCCCCGGCCTCATCTGCGTGTTCGGCAAGTGCCAGCAGCCCGTGCCCCCCGGGCAGGAGGGTGAGTGGGGGGCTGGCATGGGGGGCACCAGCTCTGCGGGACTGGGGGGGTGCGATGCTGCAGCGGTGCTGAACCAGGGGGTGGTGGTGGGGGTCGGAGTGGGGGTCTCCATCCCCTAAATCTGCTTTCTGTGCCAGCGGTGCCTGGCACTGACCCAAAGCTGCCACGTCCTCCCCGGGGGTCTCACTGAACCAGGGGGTGTCAGAGTGGGGGGTCTCCATCCCCTAAATCCCCTTTCTGTGCCACCAGGAGCGCGGTGCCAGCAGTGCCTGGCACTGACCCAGGGCTGCCACGTCCCCCCCGGGGGTCTCGCTGAACCAGGGGGTGTCAGAGTGGGGGTCTCCATCCCCTAAATCCCCTTTCTGTGCCAGGAGCGCGGTGCCAGCGGGACGAGGAGTGCGGCCCCGGCGGCTGCTGCGCTCGCCAGCACGGGGAGCGCCTCTGCCAGCGGCGCCTGGCACCGGCCCAGAGCTGCCACGTCCCCCCCGGGGGTCTCGCCTTCAGCATCAACCAAGTGTGCCCCTGCCAGGCCGGGCTGGTCTGCCGGCCCTCCGCGCCCTCCAGAGAGTGAGTTTGGGGTGTGGGGGACCCCTGGGTGCGGCCCAGGCTGGGGGGATGGCGGTGGGATGGCGCTGAGGTGTCCCCGGTGTCACCGATGTCGCTGTCCGCAGGAAAGCGTTCGAGTACCGGCCGGAGAAGAGCGAGTGGCGGTGCCGGCAGCGCTGAGCCCCCGCCGTGTATTTATTGTCCCTAAATAGCGGGGCCGGAGCCCCAAAAACCCGGCCCGGTGTTGCTGCGCATCTCCCGGGGGGGCTGGAGCCCCCCGACCCCCGCGCCGGGTCCTCGCCCCTTCCCCTGCCCCGGAACCCCGGGCGGGTCCCGGGTCCATCCCCAGCCCGGGCAGGGGGGCGGTGCGGGGGTCACCGAGCTGTGTCCGGTCCAGCCGCGGTGGCCGCAGCACCCCCGTGTCACCCCCGTGTCCCCCGTGTCCCCCCCTGTCCTCCGTGTCCCTCCGTGTCCCTCTGTGTCCCCCCGCGTCCCTCTGTGTCCCTCCGTGTGTCCCCCGTGCCCCCCCCGTGTCCCCTCCTGTCCCTCCGTGTCCCCTCCGTGTCCGCCCCTGTTCCTCCGTGTTCCGCCTGTCCCCCCGTGTCCCATCCCTGTCCCCCCGTGTCCCCCCGTGTCCCCAGCGGGCTCAGGAGCGGGGCAGGTCTCACCGAAATCTTTATTACAAAGAACCAAAGCGAGCGGGGCGAGTCCCCCCCCATCCCTCCCCCCACACACATAAACCAAATAAATAATAAATAAAATAACATTTTTTTGTCGCGTCTTTAAATTAAAAGTTTCACGAGTGACATAAACACGGGACATCCCTCTGCCCCTTTTTTTTTGGGGGGGGGGGTGGGCCCACTGCCCAAATTTTGGTCGCCACGGGGGCGATCGCTGGGGGCAGAGGGGGCTCAAAGCACTTGGCAGGCAGTGACACCGAGTCCCCCCCAAAATATCAGAGGGAAACTGAGGCACACGTGGGTGGCGGCAGAGCTGGGTGCCCCCCCCCCCAAGCCCCCCGACCCGGGCTGGTGGTCTGGGTAAGGCAGAGACCCCGGGGACCCCCAAAGGGTGGGGGTGGGGGGCAAAGGGGCCGCCCCATCAAGGTGGGACAAGCCCCGTCCCGCGGTGAGGCTCGGACACGGGGTGTCCCCAAGGCCACCCTGGTGTGGTCACCCCGCCGAGCTGGGGGGCACAGGGGACGCCCCGGGGCGGGCACAGGACAAGGCAGTGCCCCGGGGTGCGGGGGGGACGGACAGAGGCTGACGGACAGACGGACGGACACGGCGGGGGGGGTTGGAACGGGAGGGGAGGGGGCTGGGGAAGGGGGGGACAGCGGGACCCCCCCAAAAAGCCAGGGCTGGGCAGCTGTTAGCACAGGTTAGACCCCCAAAACTGGCTCAGATTCACAACCCCCCCCCCCCCCCAGTTCAGGCAGAGCCCCTCCGAGGCAAACACATGCAGACCCCCCCTCGGGAGCACCTTTGGGGGGGCACGGCCGGGGGCAGCGGGGACCCCCCAGCACACACCGCATGCACCCCCCGGGCACGGCCGGGGGCGGTGGGGGCAGTGCCAGGCACTGCTGGGGCGGGGGGCACTGCTGGGGCGGGGGTCCCAGAGCACCATGGAGAAGCGGGGGGCACCCAGCGGGCAGGGCTGGGGAGGGGGGCACGGCCCCTCACCCCTCGCCGGGGGGACGGGGACACGCCGGGTCCCCTTTGGTCACTTGCTGTCCCTGCCGGGCAGGGAGGGCCCGAGGCACCGCCAGATGTTGGGGGGCTGCGGCAAGGGGGAGACCCCCCCTCAGCAAGGAGAGGGGCGCGGCTGGCCGGGCTCGGGGAGGGGGGCGCACAAAGGCAACCAGCGGGGCTGTCCCGCACCCCAAAACCAGCGCTGGGGGGGAGCCCCCTGCCCGCACCCCCTCATCCTAACGCGTGTAAACATCCCGGCCCCAGCTCTCCCCATCGCTCTGAGCCAGCGGCTCTTCACCCTTGGCTCGGCCCCGCAGCCCCCGACCCTCCCCGGCCCCGTCCCAGGAACCGGGCGGCGGCTGCGGGGCGGCCCCGGGGGTGCCGGGCGGTTCCTCCTCGACGGGCTCCATCTCGATGTCCATGCAGCAGGAATCGCCGGGCTCCCGGCTGCCCGCTGCCTCCGAGTCGAAGGTGTCCTGGCGGGGCAGGCTGCGGGGAGCCGGGCGGGAGGGCGGCGGGGGGACCCTGCCCTGCCCGCGGCCCCCCGAGTCCCCCGGGTGCGGAGCCTGGGTGCGAGAAGCGAGCACACCATGCGGGGCCGGACGGGCGGGGCGGCTTAGTGCGGGGGTTAGTGGGGGACAGCGGGGACAGCTGGGGACACACGCTGCTGGCCAGCCTCTGGCGGGGGACACGGGGGCGGGGAGCGGGGTGGAGCTCGCTGGGACATTTAGCGACAAGACAGAACGGGATGTGTGTCCCCCCACCCGGCTCAGCACGGTGGGATGGGGCTGTGCACCCCACCAAGGGCACCCCCAAATTATCCACCCCCACCACGGCTCCCCCTGAGAGGTGTGGGAATGGGGAGGGTCCCCAATCCCCTGGGCAGCCCCAGGAAGGCACAGGGTGGTTCCTGAAGGGGGTCCCCAATCCCCTGGGCAGCCCCAGGAAGGCGCAGGGTGGTTCCTGAAGGGGGTCCCCAATCCCCTGGGCAGCCCCAGGAAGGCACAGGGTGGTTCCTGAAGGGGGTCCCCAATCCCCTGGGCAGCCCCAGAAAGGCACACGGTGGCTCCTGAAGGGGGCAGATCTTGGGGGTCCCCAATCCCCTGGGCAGCCCCGGACTCCCAGGGGACCCCAAATGCGGCGCTGGCAGGGACAGAGCCCCAGGGTTAATCCCAGGGGTGGCCCCGATCCAGGAACAGGAGCATGTCCCTGGGGTGACCCCGATCCCCCACTGCTGGGGGGCTGTGGTTCCCCATGGTGACCCCAATCCCATGGTGACCCCAATCCCAGTGTCCCCAGAGCAGGTGACACCACACCTCGGGACCACGGTCCCCTAGGGTGACCCCAACCCCAGGGGTGACCCCAACCCAAGGGTGGAGAGCCTGATCCCAGGGAAGGTGACCCCAGGGACAATCCCGCACCTGGGGAGTGCCACAGTCCCCCAGGGTGACCCTGACCCCAGGGATCTCCTGAGGGCTGGGGGGGTGTCCCCAGTGTCCTGGTGTCCCCAGTGTCCTGGTGTCCTCGGTGTGCTGGTGTTCCCGGTGTCCCCAATATCCCCGGTGTCCTGGCGTCCCCAGTATCCCCAGCGTCCCTTATGTCCCTGGTGTCCCTGATGTCCTTGGTGTCCTGGCATCCTGGTGTTCCCAATGTCTCCAGAGTCTCTGGTGTCCCCAAAGTCCCTGGTGTCCCCAATATCCCTGGTGTCCCTCATGTCCCCGGTGTCCCTGATGTCCCCAATGGCCTGGTGTCCCCAGTGTCTTCAATGTCCCCAGTGTCCCCAATGCCCCTGATGTCCCCGGTGTCCTGGTGTCCCTGGTGTCCCTGATGTCCCCAGTGCCCCCGATGTCCCTGGTATCCTGGCATCCCTGGTGTCCCCAGTGTCCCCAATGTCCCTGATTTCCCCAGTGTCCTGGCGTCCCTGATGTCCTCAATGCCCCCAATGCCCCCGGTGTCCTGGCGTCCCCGCCGTCCCCGCCGCCGCCTCACAGCGCGTGCTCCTCCAGGGCTCCGGGGGGGCTGGGGGTGGCCTGGCGGCCCCAGAGGCCGAGGTTCCTGCGCAGGGAGGTGAGCACCTGTACCTGGAGGTTGGAGACGGGCGCGGGGCTGGCGGCCAGCGCGGCCGTGGCCATGGTGCGGTTCAGCAGCGGGTTCGGGGGGTTGCTGCTGGGCGGGTGCGTGGCCTTCCAGTACGCCTCCAGGTACTCGGCCAGGTGCTCGCAGGCCTCCTCCAGCTGGTTCTCGTCCAGCACGATGTCGAACATCTCCTGAGGAAGGCACGGGTGACAGCTGGGGCAGGGAGGGGACAGTGGAACAGGGAGGGATCTGTGGGACAGGGCGGGGACAGTGGGACAGGGTGGGGTCTGTGGGACAGGGAGGGGCAGTGGGACAGGGAGGGGCAGCTGGTGTGGGGCAGAACCTATGGGACAGGGTGGGGACAGTGGGACAGGGAGGGGACAATGGGGCAGGGAGGGGCAGCTCAATGTGGGGCAGAATCTATGGGACAGGGCAGGGACAATGGGACAGGGAGGGGACAATTGAACAAGGAGGGATCTGTGGGACAGGGAGGGGACAGTGGGACAGGGAGGGGCAGCTGGTGTGGGGCAGAATCTATGGGACAGGGTGGGGACAGTGGGACGGGGGGGGGGGGACAGTGGGACAGGGAGGGGACAGTGGAACAAGGAGGGATCTGTGGGACAGGGCAGGGACAGTGGGACAGGGAGGGGCAGCTGGTGTGGGGCAGAACCTATGGGACAGGGTGGGGACAGTGGGACAGGGAGGGGACAGTGGGACAGGGTGGGGACAGTGGGACAGGGTGGGATCTGTGGGACAGGGTGGGATCTGTGGGAGAGGGTGGGGACAGTGGGACAGGGCGGGGACAGTGGGACAGGGAGGGGCAGCTGAATGTGGGGCAGAGCCTATGGGATAGGGTGGGGACAGTGGGACAGGGAGGGGACAATGGGACAAGGTGGGGACAAGGGGACAGGGAGGGATCTGTGGGACAAGGCAGGGACAAATGGGACAGGCCAGAATCTTTGGGGCAGAGATAATGGGACAGGTCAGGGACAACAGGATGGGATAGGACCTATGGGACAGGGCAGGGACAGTGGCACAGATCAGGGACAGCAGGACAGGGCAGGATCCGTGGGACAGGGCAGGATCTGTGGGACAGTGCAGGGACAACGGGACAGATCAGAGACACTGGGACAGATCAGGGACACCGGGACAGGTCAGGGACAGTGGGCCAGGGCAGGATCTTGGGACAGGCTGGGCAGATCCCGGGCAGGCGTGGGCAGGGCAGGGCAGGGCAGGGCAGGGCAGGCTGGCACCACGGGGCGCACTCACAGGCGGGCACTGCGCCAGCTTGTCCGAGGCCACCATCTGCACGTTGAGGTGCTTGGCCTGCGACTTCCCCCGGGACTTCACCAGCCGCTGCAGCACCTGGCGGGAGGGGACAGCCGGGGTGGCCGCGGGGACACGGCCCGAGCCCGGCCGGCGTCCCTGGGGTGGCAGGGAGGCGCTGGCACTGCCCCCAGCGCCGTGCCCACCTTGGGGGAGGTGATTTTGATGTAGACGATGATGGGCGCCAGCGAGGTCTTGGCCAGCTGGGCAGGGTGGTTGATGGTGTCGGCGTCCAGGGCCACCAACTGCAGCGTCCGGGCCAGCTCGAAAATGCGCTCGGTCTCACTCTGCACCTCGGCTGGGGACACGGGGACAGGGTCAGGGGACACATGGTGACAATGGGGACAGGGTCAGGGACATGGGGACACGGGGACAGGGTCAGGGGACACGTGGGGACAATGGGGACAGGGTCAGGGGACATGGGGACACGGTCAGGGGACACGTGGGGACAACGGGGACATGGCCAGGGACGTGGGGACATGGTCAGGGGACACGTGGGGACAACGGGGACAGGGTCAGGGACATGGGGACATGGGGACAGGGTCAGGGACGTGGGGACACGGTCAGGGGACACGTGGGGACACGGGGACAGGGTCAGGGGACACGTGGGGACAATGGGGACAGGGTCAGGGGACACGTGAGGACATGGGGACATGGTCAGGGGACACGGAGACAGGGACACGGTGGCACAGCCAGGGGACACAGAGGGACAGGGGACATGCAGGGACATGGACAGGGACACGGGGACATGGTATGGGGACACGGGGGGACAACAGGGACAGGGTCAGGGGACATGGGGACACAGCAACAGGGTCAGGGGACACGGGGACACGGTCAGGGACATGGGGACTGTGTCAAGGACATGGGGACAGGGTCAGGGACATGTCTGGGAGTGTCTGGGGGGGTGTCCAGGGGCTGTCCGGGGGTGTCCCCAGGTGTCCCCAGGTGTCCCCAGGGGGTCCCGGGGGTGCAGGGCCGTACCCAGGCTGCAGCGGGTGCTGGAGCGCTCGATGATCGGGTGCTTGCTGGGGTTGTTGAGCACGGAGCGCTTGGCCAGGGAGATGTCGGCCGTGACCCGCGTGATGGAGATCCTGGGGACACGCGGGGACACCCCCAGGTGCACGGTCAGCCCCCCCGGGACACTGGTGTCACCCCAGGGTCCCCCCCGGGACACCGGTGTCACCCCACAGCCATCACTGACCCCAGTGTCACCCCCCTGCTGTCACCTCCCCCCCGGGGTGACCGCGGGGTCAGGTTCCCCCTGGTGGGTTCAGGGGTCCCCTGGTGGGTTGGGGGTCCCTGGTGGGGTCAGGTGTCCCTCCGTGGGTTCAGGGGTCCCTCTGTGGGATCAGGGGTCCCTGTATGGGGTCAGGGGTCCCTGTATGGGTTCAGGGGTCCCTCCGTGGGGTCAGGGGTCCCTCTTTGGGTTCAGGGGTCCCCCAGTGTATTCAGGGGTCCCTCCGTGGGTTCAGGGGTTCCTCTATGGGCTCAGGGGTCCCTCCATGGGGTCAGGTGGATCAGGGGTCTCTCCATGGGTTCAGGGGTCCCTCCATCGGGTCAAAGGTGGGTCGGGGTCCCCCCGGCGCTGCTCACCGCCCGTCGAAGCGATGCTTCAGGAAGTCGAACAGCGCCTTCTGCATCATGTCCGTCACCTGGGGGGACACGCGGGGGGGACAACGGGACACCGTGGGGCTGGGGTCCCCCCCTGAGCCCCCCCAGACCCCCCCAAACCCCCCGGGCCCCCCAAACCCCGCTCACCTCGTAGCCCTTGAGCGAGGGCCCCACCAGGACGATGGGGCGCATGGAGGGCACCACGTCGTACGGGGGCACGTGCTCGCTCTGGGGACACAGCGTGTGTCAGCGGGGATGGGGACATGGGCACCCACAGGACACCCCTGGGACACGGGCACCCATGGGACACCCCCGGGACACCCCTGGGACACCCCCGGGACACAGGCACCCACGGGACACCCCCAGGACATGGGGCAACCCCCAGAACACGGGGCACCCCTGGGACATCTCTGGGACACGGGCACCCACGGGACACCCACAGGACACGGAGCACCCCCGGGACACCCACGGGACACCCACGGGACATGGGGCACCCCGGGGGGTTTTGGGGGGCGCCCCCCGGGGCTCCGGGCGCTACTCACCGACTTCTGCTTCTGCTTGGCTGCGGCCGCGGTGCGGGGGAGACAAACAAGGCATGCGAGCTCGTTAGCGTGTTCCTTAGCGTGTTCCTTAGCATGTTCTTAGCGTGTTCGTTAGCGTGTTGTGTTCGTTAGCGTGTTCGTTAGTGTGTTGTGTTCGTTAGCGTGTTCATTAGTGTGTTGTGTTCCTTAGCATGTTCGTTAGCATGTTCCTTAATGTGTTCATTAGCGTGTTGTGTTCCTTAGCGTGTTCCTTAACGTGTTCATTAGCGTGTTGTGTTCCTTAGCGTGTTCCTTAACGTGTTCATTAGTGTGTTGTGTTCCTCAGCATGTTTGTTAGCATGTTGTGTTCCTTAGCGTGTTCCTTAGCGTGTTCCTTAGCATGTTCATTAGCGCGTTCCTTAGCATGTTTGTGTGTTCCTTAGCGTGTTTGTTACCGTGTTCCTTAGTGTGTTCCTTAGTGTGTTATGTTCCTTAGCGTGTTCCTTAGCATGTTGTGTTTGTTAGCATGTTGTGTTCCTTAGCGTGTTCCTTAGCATGTTAGTTAGCGCATTCCTTAGCATGTTCCTTAGTGTGTTCCTTAGCGTGTTTGTTAGCGTGTTCCTTGTGTCTTCCTTAGTGTGTTGGTGTTTCTTAGTGTGCTACGTTCGTTAGCGCATTCATTAGCATGTTCCTTAGCATGTTGTGTTTGTTAGCGTGTTGTGTTCGTTAGTGTGTTCCTTAGCGTGCTCGTCAGCATGTTCATTAGCGTGTTTGTTAGCGCGAGCACAGGGCTGGCACCCAGGGGTGACAGGGACATGGGGGTGGCACCCCAGGGACATGCGTGTGACACCACAAGGTCATGGGTGTGGCACCCACCTGGGCCAGGGACACGTGTGTGACACCCCGGGGTCATGGGTGTGACCCCCAGAGCCCCCCAGGGACACAGGTGTCACCCAGGGGTGACCCAGTGACATATGTGTGACCCAGAGGGGACACAGGTATGACCCAGAGGTGACACAGATGTGACCCAGAGGGGACACAGGTGTCACCCAGGGGTGCCCAAAGGACACGTGTGTGCGAGACCAGAGCCTCGTGCGTGCCCCAGGGTGACACAGGTGACACCGGCGTGTCCCGGGTGTCCTGAGGGACGGTGACACACCAGCACCGCCCCTCGGGGGCTCCGGGTGCCAGGGGGGCTCTGCCAGGCCCCGCAGACCCCCCCGTCCCGCGCGGTGGTTGTGCCCAGACCCCCCCCGGGTTATGGGGGACAGGAATGGTCCATTCTGACTGCGGGGGGGTGACAGCGGCCGTGCTGGAACACACCATGCGCACACTGCGGGGGGAGGTGGCCGGCAGGGGGGGCACAGGCTGGTCCATTCCATGGGCTGGGGGGGGGTCACAGCCATGGGTTGGTCCATTCCATGGGCTGGGGGGGGTCACCATGGACTGATCCATTCCATGGGCTGGGGGGGGTCACCATGGACTGATACAGTCCATGGAGATGGGGGGGCACAGCCATGGACAGATCCATCCCACTGACAACACGGGGGGGGGCCGTGCTGTGGGGTGACCCCAGCCCTGTGGGGTGCCCATATGAGGTGACCCCAGCCCCATGGGGTGCCCCAATCCCCGTGGGGTGACCCTGTGGGTGCCCCCAGCTCCATGGGGTGACCCCGTGAGGTGACCCCAGTCCCATGAGGTGACCCCAGTCCTGTGGATTGACCGCATGGGGTGACCCAGTGGGTGCCCCCAATCCTGTGGGGTGACCCCGTGAGGTGACCCCAGTCCCATGAGGTGACCCCAGTCCTGTGGATTGACCCCATGGGGTGTCTCCAGCCACATAGGGTGACCCTGTGGGTGCCCCCAGCCCCATTAGGTGCTCCCTTGGGTGCCCCCAGCCCCATGAGGTGACCCTGTGGGTACCTCCAGCCCCATGGGGTGACCCCATGAGGTGACCCCAGTCCTGTGGGGTAACCCCAGCCCCATGGGATGACCCTGTGGGTGCCTCCAGCCCAGTGGGGTGCCTCCATGGGATGTCCACAGCCCCATGGGATGACCCCGTGGGGTGCCCCCAGCCCCACGAGGCGCTCCCATGGGTGCCCCCAGCCCCACGAGGCGCTCCCATGGGTGCCCCAGCCCCCTGGCAGTGCTGTTAGGGCGGGCAGCGCAGCGGGTGCAGCGGCAGAGCCGGGCCCGGCGGGGGCCGTTACCTTCCTAAAGAAAGGGATGCGCTTGCCGTGGGCGGGGGGGGTGGTGACGCTGCTCACGCTACTTTTAGGGGAGCGCTGCTGCCTCTCCAGAGCCTCCTCCTCATCCTCCTCATCCTCCTCCTCCTCCTCCTCTAACTCATCGGGGTCAAAGGCAAAGCCTGGGCACGGCCGCGCCAGGAGAGAAGAGAGCGATGAGGGCGGCGGAGGGAAGGGGAGGTGGAAACGGGGAAGAAAAGGAGCAGAAGGGGGTGGAAGAAGAGGGGCAGAGGGAAATGGGGTCACCCTGCCTGCACGAGGGGTGGAGGGGACGAAGGGACCCCGAGGTCAGACCCCTTACCGCTGGCGGGGGGCGTGGGCCGGCGTGTCCCCGTCACCGCATCGCCCAGGCTGGAGGTGGAGTTGTCACCCGATTTGCTGCGTGGGAGAAGAAATGAGGGATGGGAGGGGACGGATCAGCTCCGGAGAGAGATGGAGGAGGAGGTTGGGGGTGTCGGGGTGAGCCTCACCTGGAGCTCAGGCGGTTCTGCCTCATCCTCTGCTCCTGCAGCAGCCGCATCTGCTCCAGCTTGACGGGGCTGGGGATGAAGCCGACCTCGCAGCCCTCCTTCACCAGCCGCCCGATCCACCAGTCGTTGTTGTACTTCTGCTCCGGGGAAAGGGGAAAAACACCTTAAAACCCTGCCCCAAACTCATCCCAGGGGGGAAAATACCTTAAACCCTGGCCCAAATTCATCCCAGGGGGAAAAAACACCTTAAAACCTGCCCCAAATTCATCCCAGGGGGAAAAACACCTTAAAACATGCCCCAAACTCATCCCAGGGGGGAAAATACCTTAAAACCTGCCACAAATTCATCCCATGGGGGTAAAACACCTTAAACCCTAGCCCAAATTCATTCCAGGGGGAAAACCACCTTAAAACCCACCCCAAACCCACCCCAGGGGGGAAAACACCTCAAAACCACCCCCAAACTCATCCCAGGGGGGAAAACACCTCAAAACCACCACCAAGCCCACCCCAGGGAGATAAAAAAACACCTTAAACCCCCCCAAAAAGCCACCCCAGGGGGATAAAATACCTCAAAACCACCCCCAAACCCACCCCAGGGAGATAAAAAAAGCCTTTTAACCCCCCAAAAGCCCCCGGGGTGCAGCCCCTCCAGGCCTGGGCACCTCCTTGATGTGCAGGAAGTCTCGGGGCTCGAAGCTCACGGCCAGGCCGGGCACGGGCGCCTCGTCCGCGGCCGCGGCGGTGTAGCCCAGGTTGGTGCGCACGGCGAAGGCCACGGGCTTGGTCTGGGCACGGCATGGCACGGGTGGGCAGCGGCCCCGGCACCATGGGGGGTCCCCCCCATTGTCACCCCGAATGGGGGATCCCCCCCTCTGTCACCCCAAAATGAGGGATCCCCCTGCTGCCACCCCAAATGGGGAGATTCTACCCCAAATCGGGGAGATCCCCCCTGCTGTCACCCTGAAATGGGGAGATTCCAGCCTGAAATGGGGAGATCCCCCCACCCCGCCACTCCAAATCGGGGAGATTTCACCCCAAAATGGGGAGATTCCAGCCCAAAATGGGGAGATTCCACACCAAAATGGGGGGATCCCCCCCTCTGTCACCCCAAATCAGGGGATCCCCCCCGCTGTCACCCCGAATCGGGGAGATTTCACCCCAAAATGGGGAGATTCTAGCCCGCTGCCACCCCGAAATGGGGAGATTACACACCAAAAGGGGGAGATTCCCCCCCTCTGTCACCCCAAATCGGGGAGATTTCATCCCAAAATGGGGAGATCCCCCCCTCTGTCACCTCAAATCGGGGAGATGCTCTCCTCTGCCACCCCAAAACAGGGGAATTCCACCCCAAAATGGGGTCCCGGGTCCGGGGCTGGGGGGCACTGGGGAGTCCCGGTCCCGGGCCTGGGGGGTCCAGGGCCGGGATTGGGGTTGGGGGGTACTGGGGGGGTCCCGGGGCAGGGCTGGGGGCACCGGGGGTCGGGATCCCGGGGCTGGGGGGTCCTGGTGCCGGGGTTGGGGGTCCCGGGGGGTCCCAGGGTTGGGGTTGGGGGTCCCGGTGCGGGGCTGGGGGGTCCCGGTGCCGGTGCCCGGGGGTCGCTCCGGGCTGTCCCACCTTGGCTTTCTCCAGCTGGGCCATGGCCTGGCGCTCGGCCTCCCTGCGCAGCGCCTCCCGGTCCTCCTCCAGCGACACGTCCGAGTCCGAGGGGCGGCTGGTGTAGGACTCGGCCGAGCCCTGGCACCGGCAGCGGGCACGGCTCAGCCAGTGCCCACCGGGCAGGGAGCCCAGCCCCGGTTCCGGCCCTGCCAGCCCCTGCCCGCTGCCACTGCTGCTGCTGCTCATCGCTGTGGCCACTGGGAGCCACCCGGGGCTGCCCGGTGCCACCCTGGTGCCACCCTGGTGCCACCCTGGTGCTGCCCAGAGCCACCCTGGTGCCAACCCAGAGCCCCCGGTGCTGCCCTGGTGCCAGTCTGGTGCCATCCCGGTGCTGCCTGGTGCCACCTCAGAGCCCCTGGTGCCACCCTGGTGCCACCTGGGTGCCACCCAGTCCCTCTCTGCAGTCCCCAGTGCCACCCCGGTGCCACCTGGTGCCACCCCGGTACTGTCCAGTGCCACCCCGGTGCCACCGCGGCAGGGTGATGGCAGGAGAGGGACACGATGGGACAGGGACGGGGATGGGGACAGGGACAGGACAGGGACAGGGACAGGGACAGGGATGGGGACAGGGACAGGGACAGGGACGGGGACAGGGACACCGCAGCTGTCGCTGTCGCTGTCGCTGTCGCCGGCCGCGGGAAGGTGACACCGACACCGGCGCCGCTCCCGCCCGGGGCCGCTTCGGGACCCCCCGAGTGTCCCCCGGGGCAGGGGACAGCAGGGACACCCAAGGGACACCCAAGGGACACCCAAGGGACACCGTGGGGACACCGCGGGGACACCTAAGGGACACGGTGGGTGACATGTGGGACACGCCAGCCTGGATTTGTCCCAACACCCAGAGGGAATTTGGGGGTCCCGGGGGGGTCCCGCTCCCCAAAACTCCCCCTGGGGACACCATCCTGCCCCACGGAGGGGACTCGGGGGGTCACACCAACACCCCCCAGGCCCCCCAAAAACCCCAAACACCCCCCAACACCCCACAGACCCCAAACACCCCCAAACACCCCCAAACACCCCAAACACCCCCCAGACCCCCCACAGACCCCAACACCCCCCAGACCCCCAAAAACCCCACAGACCTCAAACACCCCACAGACCCCCAAACACCCCACAGACCCCCCCAAACCCCCGGGGGAGAAGAGGGGACCCCAAGATGAGGGCGGGGAGAGGGAATGGGGGGTCCTGGGGGCTGTGGGGCTGGTTGGGGGGATTGGGGGGTCCTGGGGGAATGGGGGGTCCTGGGTGGGCTGTGGGGTTAGGGGGTCCTGGGGGCTGTAGGGCCGGGGGGAACGGGGTGGCTGTGGGGCTGGGGACAATGGGGGGTCCTGGGGGTGTGGGGCGGGGGGCAATGGGAGGTCTTGGGGGATTGTGGGGCCGGGGGGAACGGGGAGTTGTGGGGTTGGGGGGAACGGGGGTCCTGGATGGGCTGTGGGGCCAGGTGGGGGGTCCTGGGGTTGTGGGGCCAGGGGGAATTGGGGGTCCTGGGGATGTGAGGCTGTTGGGCCGGGGGGGTCCTGGGGGATTGGGGGGTCCTGGGGGCTGTGGGGCCAACTGGGGGGGATTGGGGGGTCCTGGAGGGTGTGGGGCCGGGAGGGGGGGACTGGGGGGTCCTGTGGGTGTGGGGCCAGGGGGTTCCTGGGGGATTGGGGGGTCCTGGGGCTGTGGGGCCGGGTCGGGGGGATTGGGGGGTCCTGGGGGGTCCTGGGGGTCTCTCACCGGGGCAGCTGGGGGGCCTTTCCCGGGGGGCTCCATGGCAGCGGGGCCGGGGCAGCGCGGCGGGGCCGGGCGGGCCCGGGGGGGGGGTCGGGGCGGGTTTGGGGGGCTCAGGTTTCACCCCGGGTATTTTTAGCCCGGGGCCGGGCAGGGGGTGGGGACCGGGGTCTGGGGGGGCCCCAAATTTGGGGAGAGAGGGTTTGGTACCGAGGGGGAGAGGGGGGGTTGTGTCCCCTCCCTGGTACCCCAAAAAGGGGCAGGGGATCCCTGGGGGGGGTGATTTTGGGAGGGGGGGGATGGGATTTTCGGAGGGGGGATGTGATTTTGGGAGGGGGGGATGTGATTTTGGGATGTGGGGATGTGATTTTGGGGGGATGTGATTTAATTTTGGGAGGGGGTCATGTGATTTTTGGAGTGGGGATTTAATTTTGGGAGGGGGGATGTGATTTTGAGAGGGGAGATGCGATTTTGGGAGGGGGGAACATGATTTTGGGGGGAAAAGATTTAATTTTGGGAGGGGGGATGCGATTTTGGGTGTCGGGGTGTGATTTTGGGAGTTGGGAATGTGATTTTGGGGGGATGTGATTTAGTTTTGGGTGTGGGGGATGTGATTTTGGGGGGATGTGATTTAGTTTTGGGTGGGGGGGATGCGATTTTTGGAGTGGGGATTTAATTTTGGGTGTGGGGGGACGTGATTTTGAGAGGGGAGATGCGATTTTGGAATGGGGGGATGCAATTTTGGGAGGGGGGATGTGATTTTGAGAGGGGAGATGCGATTTTGGGAGGGGGGGAACGTGATTTTGGGGGGATATGATTTAATTTTGGGAGAGGGGATGCGATTTTGGGTGTCGGGGTGTGATTTTGGGAGTTGGGGATGTGATTTTGGGGGAATGTAATTTAATTTTGGCAGGGGGGGATGCGATTTTGGGGGGATGTGATGTAATTCTGGCGGGGGGGATGCGATTTTTGGGGGATGTAATTTAATTCTGGGTGTGGGGGATGCGATTTTGGGGGGATGTAATTTAATTTTAAGCGCAGGGGATGCGATTTTGGGGGGATATAATTTAATTTTATGTGCAGGGGATGCAATTTTGGGGGGATGTAATTTAATTTTGGCTGTGGGGGATGCAATTTTGGGGTGGGGGGACACCTCCAGCACACAGCGCGGAGCAGAGAGCTACCAAGGGCACGGTCAGATCTGGTTGGGGGGACCCCACCTCAATCCCCGGGGTACAAAGGAGGGCTGGGACCCCCCAAAAATCTCCGGGACCCCCCCAAAATCTCCGGGGGTCCCCCGTACCTGGCGGACGAAGCTGTTGGAGGTGGTGTCGGAGGAGGTGCTCCCGTCCGAGCGCTTGAAGCGGCTCTTGCGCCGCCCGTACTTGCCCTGGGCACAGCGAGGGGAGCGCTGGAACCCCAAAAATCCCCCCAAAACTGCCCCCAAAACTGGGGGTGAAGCTCTGCACCCCAACTCCCGCTGCTGGGGATGCTCCAAGTCCTTCCACCCCCCACCCCGCAGCCAAACCCCACTCAGGATGGGGATGGGGATGGGGATGGGGGGGCTGCCCCTTCTTCGGATTTTGGGGGGCTGCGACCCCCCCAACCCCAACCCTGAGGTCTGAGCAGCTCAGGGGAGCAGCCCCCCCAAAATCCACCTCCCCCCACTCAAAACCCCCGAGGTGAGGGTGACACCACCCCAATACCCGACACCCACCCCCCAAAATTGGGCACCCACCCCCATGGGACCCCCGCTCCCTCCTGCTGGGACGGGCTGGAGGATTTGGGGGTGTCCCAGCGCCTCCCCCGCGCTTTTTGGGGGGACAAAAGGGGGTAAAACGCTGGGGGGGAGGGGCTGTCACCCCCCCTCGGTGTCCCCAAGGGACAGCTGGGCCCAGCTGCCACCCAGCCCGGGGGGAGGGGGTCCCCATTTGGGGTATTTTTAGGTTCAGGACCCCCCCCTCACATGCCACCCACAGTGACAGACACTCGCACCCCAAAAATTGTCACCCCCACCCCCCATTAGTGTCCCCAGAGCCCCCCACCCCTCTGGGACCACTGAGGGGGTTGTCCCTGCTCCCCCCCCCCCAAAAATACACCCACAGGGTCCAAACCGAGGGAAGGGAAGGGGGTGACCGGGTGGGGGGGGCACCCCAAGTTTTCCCAATTCCTCAAACTTTCCCTGTGGGCACAACACCCCCATAACCCCCCAAAAAACCCCAAAATCCCACTTGGGTGTCAAACCGGGGTGTGGATTTGGGGTCTCTCCCAGCGGGGCGCGGTGGGGTTGAGGGTGGGGGGGGTCCCCCTTTATTTTTTCGGGGTGCTGGGAGGGTGTGCCCCCCTAATTATCAGCGTGGGGGGGTTGGGGGGAAGGGTTGAACCCCATTTTTCCCCCACACGCGGCGGAATCCCACGGGACGCCCCCCACCAGCCGCGCTGTTCCCTCGCTGCGGGCGGTGCTGCCACCCCCAAAATCCCCCAAAATCCCCCCAAAACCCCCCAAAATCCCCGCGGGGGTGGCACCTGGAGGGCGGCGTTGTCCAAGACGTCCATCTGGATGTCCTGCGTGGAGCTGGAGGGGGTCCGGGCCATGCCGCCTTCCCGCACCATGGAAGGGATTTTTTGGGGGTGGGGGGGATTTTTGGGGTTTTTTTTTTTTTTTAGGGGGGATGGGTGGGTGGGTGGGTGGATGTGGGGAGGAAGATGATGACGATGACGATGAAGCTCAAGCCTGGCCCCCGCGGTGACGGAGGAGGAGGAGGAGGAGGAGGAGGAGGAGAGGGGATGGGCGGCCGCTCCCGCACCGCCTTCCCCGGGTGGAGGGTGGGGGGGATGCGCCCCCAACCCCCCCAAAATTTCCCAAAATTTGGGGCTGCTGAGGGTGCCCCCACCCCAAATTGGCTTGGGGGGACCCCAGAAAGAGCCTGGGGGGGGTGGGGGGGTGATGGGGACCCCCAGGTAGGAGCAGCTCCCACCCCCGAACGCCTCCAGCGCTCCCAAAAATCGGATTTTTCCCCCCAAAACCCCCGCGGGGTGAGAACCCCCCGCTGCTTCTCCTGGCAGTGCCCCCTGTGCCCCATGGCACCACCTTGGGGACAATTCCAGAGGTTTGGGGACATTTCCAGGGGGTTTGGGGACATTTCCAGGGGGTTTGGGGACATTTTCAGGGGGTTTGGGGACACTTCCAGAGGTTTGGGGACACTTCCAGGGGGTTTGAGGACACTTCCAGAGGGCTTGGGGACACTTCCAGAGGGTTTGGGGACAGTTCCAGGGGGTTTGGTGGCAGTCCCAGAGGGTTTGGGGACACTTATAGAGATTTGGGGACACTTCCAGAGGGTTTGGGGACATTTTCAGGGGGTTTGATGGCACTCCCAGAGGCTTTGGGGACACTTCCAGGGGGTTTGGGGACACTTCCAGAGGGTTTGGGGACAGTCCCAGAGGGTTTGGGGACAATTCCCGAGGGTTTGGGGACATTTTCAGGAGGTACGGTGGCACTCCCAGAGGGTTTGACGACATTTCCAGAGGGTTTGGGGACAATTCCAGAGGGTTTGGGGACAATTCCCGAGGGTTTGGGGACACTCCCAGAGCGCTCGGTGGCCGTTTGGTGAAGCGGCAGCAGCCCCGCCCCGGGGATTTGGGGTTCACCGGCTGATTTTGGGGATAACCCGCTGATCCCAGTTCATCCCAGTTCCTTCCCAGTTTATCCCAGTCCATCCCAGTCCATCCCAGTCCCTCCCAGTCCATCCCAGTTCCATGCCAGTCCATCCCAGTTCATCCCAGTCTATCCCAGTTCCTTCCCAGTGCTCCCAGTCCATCCCAGTTTATCCCAGTTCCATCCCAGTCCATCCCAGTTTATCCCAGTCCCTCCCAGTCCATCCCAGTTTATCCCAGTCCATCCCAGTTTATCCCAGTCCCTCCCAGTCCATCCCAGTTTATCCCAGTCCCATCCCAGTTTATCCCAGACCCTCCCAGTCCATCCCAGTTTATCCCAGTCCATCCCAGTTTATCCCAGTTCCATCCCAGTCCATCCCAGTTTATCCCAGTCCCTCCCAGTCCATCCCAGTTTATCCCAGTTCCATCCCAGTTTATCCCAGTCCCTCCCAGTCCATCCCAGTTTATCCCAGTCCATCCCAGTCCCTCCCAGTCCATCCCAGTTTATCCCAGTCCATCCCAGTCCCTCCCAGTCCATCCCAGTTCCATCCCAGTTCCATCCCAGTCCATCCCAGTTCCATCCCAGTCCATCCCAGTCCATCCCAGTTCCATCCCAGTCCATCCCAGTTTATCCCAGTCCATCCCTCCACGCTCCCCCCCGGCCCGCACCGCGCATGCGCAGTCCCCTCCCTGTCCTTCCCGCGACGCACGCGCGGGCTGTACCATCCCCGCACAGCAGAGGGGAGACCAGGGCAGTACCCACCCTTCTCCCACACACCCCACGCGTGTCCCAGCGCCACGCGTGTGCTTTAAATGAGTTAAAATGATGACTTGATGTCGATTTTTCCTTTATCGCCGTTCGGGCCGCGGCGGGGCCGCGGGGAGGGGCGCGGGGGGGGCCGGTGGTACGCGCCGCGGGCGGGGGGCGGAGCCAGCGCCGCCTCTCCGCCGCCGCCGCCGCCGCCATGAGGTGGGAGCGGAACCGCGGCCGCGCTTAAACCGGGCTAAAAACGGGCTCGGGAGGCACCGGGGAGGGCTGCAGGGCGGCGGGAACCGTTCTCACAACCGGGGAGCTATCCGGGCAGCGCTGGGTGGCGGCTGCGGGCGATGTGAGGCGGCCGCGGGTCCCTCAGGCCTGGAGGGAAAATGGCGGAGGGGCGGAATGGCCGCGCTGAGGGGACGCGGCGGCGGGATGGGGGTGTGGGGGGATGAGTGGGGGGTGAAGGAGCTGGGATCGGTGCTGGGATGCGGCTCTTGGTGCGGGGTGGGGGATTTGGGGAGCTGGGGCTGGGGACATGAGGGGGGTGGGGAGGGAAGGGCAGAGTCCCTGATGGGGGGTGAGGGGTCCCTGATGGGGGGTGAGGGGTCCCTGAGGGGGCTGTGGGGACCCTGATGGGGGGTGAGGGGTGCCTGAGGAGTTCCTGAGGGGGTTGTGGGGACCCTGAGGGGTGATGAAGGTCCCTGAGCCGGATGTTGGTGGTTCTGAGGGATGGGTGAGGGTCCCTAAGGGGAGCGCAGGGTCCCTTGGTGGAGGTGGGGACCCCCTGGCCGGGAGGGAGGGTCTCTAAAGGGGGGATGGTGTCGCCTGGGGAGGATGGCACAGTCCCCTGACGGGGCTGGGGGGGTCCCTGAGGGGTTCGGGGGTCTCTTGGGGGGCTGTGGGTCCCTGGAGGAGATCAGGGATCCCTGAGGGGGTCAGGGGTTTCTGGGGGGGGCTGGGGGGGTCCCTAAAGGAGGTCAGGCGTCCCTGAGGGGGCTGTGGGGTCCTTGGGGGGGCTGTAGGATCCCTGAGGGGGCTGGGGGGTCCCTGAGGGGTTTCTGGGGTCCCTGAGGGGTTTCTGGGGTCCCTGTGGGCCCAAACCCCCCGATCCATGCCCGTGTCCCCGCAGTATGCTCCGGCTGCAGAAGAGGCTGGCCTCCAGCGTGCTGCGCTGCGGGAAGAAGAAAGTTTGGCTGGATCCCAACGAGACCAACGAGATCGCCAACGCCAACTCCCGTGCGTGGGGGGCCCTGGGGGGTGTCTGGGGGGGCTCTGTGGGGCACAGGGATCCCCCAGCAGGGTGGGGACAGAGGGTTTGGGGAGCTCAGGGTTGGTTTAGGTTGATAAAATGAGCGAGTCTGGGAAAGAGCTCCCAGAAGGGTTCGGTTTGGGTAAAATTCGGCGAGTTTTTGGTAGGCTAAAGCGGGGTGGTTTTGGGGATTTGCGCTGCTGGGGTGGTCTGGGGTGATGAATTGGGATTTGGGATTGGGAATTGGGATTGCTGGAGGTTCGGTGGGTGAAGCAGGGGGGAAAACACATCTGAGAGAGGAGAACAGGGCTGTGAGGAGGGGAAACAGTTTTGAGAGGGGAGAAAGGGCTGTGAGGAGAGAAGGAGGAGAAGAACAGGGCTGTGAGGAAGGAAAACAGTGCTCTGTCCATTCCTGGGTGCTCTGTCCATTCCTGGGTGCCTCCCAGCCCCCAGCAGCTGCGGGTGCCTTTGCAGGGCAGCAGATCCGGAAGCTGATCAAGGATGGGCTGATCATCCGCAAGCCCGTGACCGTGCACTCGCGCGCCCGCTGCAGGAAGAACACGCTGGCCCGCAGGAAGGGCCGGCACATGGGCATCGGTGAGGGGCCTGGGAATGGGGATTGGGGGCTGAATTCTCCTGGGAATGGGGATTGGGGGCTGAATTCTCCTGGGAACGGGGATTGGGGGCTGCTTCCTCCTGGGAATGGGGATTGGGGGCTGCATTCCCCTGGGAACGGGGAAATCACATCAGGAAATGCTGCATCCGCCTGGTAATGGGGAAATTCAGTGCTGCATCCCCCTGGGAATGGGGGAATTCCCCACCAGGGAGGGCTGCTTTCCCCTGGGAATGGGGAATGGAGTGCTGCATCCCTCTGGGAATGGGGGAATCACACTGGGGAGTGCTGCATCCCCTTGGGAATGGGGATTGGGGGCTGAATTCTCCTGGGAATGGGGAAATCACATCAGGAAATGCTGCTTCCTCCTGGGAATGGGGATTGGGGGCTGCTTCCTCCTGGGAATGGGGGAATTCCCCATCAGGGAGTGCTGCAGCCCCTGGGAATGGGGATTGGGGGCTGCATTCTCCTGGGAATGGGGGATTGAGTGCTGCATCCCCCTGGGAAAGGGGAAATCACATCAGGAAATGCTGCATCCCCCTGGGAACAGGGAATGGAGTGCTGCATCCCCTTGGGAATGGGGAAATTCCCCATCAGGGAGTGCTGCATCCCCCTGGGAATGGGGAAATTCCCCACCTCCCTCCCCCTGGGGCATCCCCTTGGGTTTGGTGACAGGAACCCCCTGGGCTGCGTCAGGGGTGGTTTCTCAGGGCCGAAGGGGAGGGTGAACAGCTCTGGGCTGGGTGTGGGGCTGAGCTGGCAGAACTGGGGCTCCTTCTCACCCCGCTCCTGCTCCAGGCAAGAGGAAGGGCACGGCCAACGCCCGCATGCCCGAGAAGGTCACCTGGATGCGGCGCATGCGGATCCTGCGGCGGCTGCTGCGGCGCTACCGCGAGTCCAAGAAGATCGACCGCCACATGTGAGTGTGCCGAGCCTGGAGCCCGGAGCTCCGCTGCCCTGGGTGACCCCGGCCCTGCCCTGGGCAACCCCGGCCCTGCCCTGGGCACCCCCAGGCATTCCCAGCCCTCCTTGGCCATTCCCAGCCTCAGGAAGGTGGGTTAGGGTTAGGCACAGCACAGGACCGGTCTTCCCACTATAGACCAGTCCTCCCAGTGTAGGCCGGACGGGTCCATGGACAGGTCCAGTTCTCCCAGCAAGGGCTGGGATGAGCCCTGAATCCTCGGCCCTGCGCTTCCCACGTTGCCAGCGGGGCAGGGACATCCCCATATCCCATCCCAGTGCTCCCAGTCCATCCCTGTGCTCCCGTCCCAGTCCATCCCAGTGCTCCCAGTCCACCCCAGTCCGTCCCCCCCGCAGGTACCACAGCCTGTACCTGAAGGTGAAGGGTAACGTGTTCAAGAACAAGCGGATCCTGATGGAGCACATCCACAAGCTGAAGGCCGACAAGGCCCGCAAGAAGCTCCTGGCGTGAGTGGGCAGGGAAAAATCCCCCCTGGATCATTCCAGAGGGGCTCCGGGAGGGATCCAGCCCAGCCTGGCAGCAGGGAAACACGGGGATTTGTGTTTCACCGAGCTGGGAAATGGGAAATCCTGGAAATCCCTGAGCTGGGAAATGGGAAATCCTGGAAATCCCTGAGCTGGGATATGGGAAATCCCCGAGGTGGGAACTGGGAAATCCCTGACTGAGGTGGGAACTGGGAAATCCTTGAGGTGGGAAATTGGAACTCCTTGAGGTGAGAAATGGGAAATCCCTGCCCAGCTGCTGGATCGGGTGAATGATTAACCAGGGCAGGGGAGGGATTGCAGGATCCCACAGTGTCCTTGGGGTGGGAAAAAGCTGAATTTTCTCACTCTGGGATTACAAGTGACCCTCCAAAAACAAAAGATCTCCTTGGCATGAGCGGATGGGAATACCCGGGAACCTGCGGGATCTGTGGCGGTGCTGGGCTGGGGCAGGCGGGGCAGAGCTCGGGGCGGGCTGGGGCCGCTCCCAGCCCGGTCCTTCCTCCCCCGGGGGTCGGGGCAGAGCTCGGGGCCGCTCCCAGCCCGGTCCTTCCTCCCCCGGGGGTCGGGGCAGAGCTCGGGGCCGCTCCCAGCCCGGTCCTTCCTCACTCCCCGCCCCACAGGGACCAGGCGGAGGCGCGGCGCTCCAAGACCAAGGAGGCGCGGAAGCGCCGGGAGGAGCGGCTGCAGGCCAAGAAGGAGGAGATCATCAAAACCCTCTCCAAGGAGGAGGAGGCCAAGAAGTGACCGCCATCAGAACCTCTGCCATCAGAACCCTCTCCCGAGGAGGAGGAGGAGGAGGAGGAGGAGGCCGGGAAGTGACCGCGGGCTGTCTGTCCCCTGCGCTGAGCGTGTTCCATCCCCGGGATCCAATAAAGCTTCCCGGGCAATTCCCAAGGGTTGTGTCTGTGGGGAGGGAATCGCTGCTGGGAATTCTGTGTGGGGCCCTTCCCCACAGCCCCTGAGCCCCCCCAGAGGGGCTGGGGGAGGTTTGGGGGGGCTCAGGGAGGAGCTGAGGGGCTGGGGGAGATTTTGGGGGGGGCTCAGCACCCCCAGAGGGGATGGACTCAGGGCTGGGGCTCACGGCAGGGAACCCCCAGGACAGACAGACGGACACAGCCTGGGGAGCTCTGCCCCTGCCCTGGAGGGGTTTAATGAGATGGGGAGGGACCCCCACCCCAAAATGGGGCTGAGACCCCCCCCAGCTCATCACAGCGATGGCACCAGCTGGGTGTGACCCCCGCAATGTGTGTGACACCCCCAAATCTGACAACCCCAGCTCCTCTGTCCGGCCCCGGGACCCCTGAGTCCCCCCACGCCCGGTCCTGCAGCGGGATGGGGACGGGGCTGCAGATTGGGGCGCTGCAGAGAGGAGGGGTCTCACCCCGGGGTCACAGCCCCTGGGGACCCCAGGGTGGGCTCAGCTGCACCTCTGGGGACAGAGGATGAAGCACAAAGATCCCGGGGGTGGCACTGCTGGTGACATTCCCAGCCCGGGACAGGGAGCAGCGGATGGATTCCCTCATCCCTCAAAAATCAACTCTGAGCTTCCAGGTGAGGTCAGGGACAGGGAGGTGGTGGGACACCGCTGGTGACACTCCCAGGCTGAGCTGGGAATTGAGGAGGAAAATTGGCTCCTCCTCGATTTTCTCCATCGTTTTGGCCCCAAGCTGCAGCACAGGAGCCTCTGCCGGGCTTTGGGAGGGCAGAAACCTTGACCTGGATGCCAGAAGAGAAAGCAAAAAGGGATAACACCCCCAAATTTAGGATATTTTCCAGGCAAATCCACCCCTATCCTGCCAAAAAACCCCACCAAATTACCCCAAAACCCACAGCAGCAGCCAGCCATGAACAGAGAAAATCAAACAGAAATACAAAGGGAATTACACAGATGTGCAAAAATAGGAATTTGTTGGTTTGAAACACCCCCGTGACAGCACTTCCCACCTGCCCCATCCTCACCCTGTCACAGAATTGGGATAAAAGGTGCTCGGTGCCTTCAAAGCCCAAAAAATTCTCTTTTTTTTTGGTTCCACTGGATCTGCTCAGCCTCGCTGGAGGATCTGCCACCCCAGAAGGTCCCAGGCTGGTTCCTGGAGAGTCCCTCGGTCCCTGCTCCCGTTGGGAGTCCAGGGGGGGCTGGAAGGCAAATCCAGGCTCTGGAAAACTCTGCTGGGAGGGAGGTTTGGAAATGGGACGGGATCCTCGTCCAGACCTGTCCCAGAACCCCCAGAACTCCCCAGGACGGAGCAATTCCTCCCCACTGCGGGCACTGAGCTCTGCTGCCCTCAGCCACCGGCTCCCAGCCGGGAAAACCCCAGGGAAAGACAAACCTGGGACATCCCGGGCTGTGGAAGGAGTCCCTGGATGAGCTCCAAGGTCCTTCCACCCCAAACCATTCCTGAACCCACGGAAACACTCACAGCTCCCCCATCAGGAGCTGCCCCATGGATTTTCCTCCACCAAGTGACTCCCCCAGCGAGACACGGCTTGGAAAATGGTGTTTATTGGTATTTATAAATATAAACATCAGGAAGAGTCCATTTGAAGACGGATAATTGACTTAAAAGGACACTGTCAAGAAGTTTGAGCTACCTTAATGCTGTCACCCTGGTCTGCAAACAGAAAATAAAATTGCTTTGGGTTCTGTGTTCCGGAGTTTTCCCTGGAAAACTCTGCTCTGTTACAAAGGGATCAGCCAGCCAACCACGCCCTGGCTCCAAAACCCCGCTCTTGCTCTCCCCTGCCACAGTGGGAACCGAACAAAAGTGTTTTGTCTCTTTATTTTCCCAGAGTTGTGCAAATCCTGTGATTGCCGGGTGACCCGTCCAGCCTGCCACCGCCCCGAAACCTGGAGAAAGTTCTGGAAACGAAGGCGCCCGAGGAGAGGGGGAGAATCCACAGCGCCAGGGAGGAGTTGAATAAATAGAAGGGATGAAAAGCCACCTACAGGAGGGCATTGACAGCATCCTTTTAACCACAGCAGCCTGGAGTCGCTCCGAGCAGACTGGGGGGGCTGGGGGAGATGAGGGGGTGCAGCTCCAGGGGGGCTCCCGGGACCCTCCTGCTGGGAACAGCGAATTGTCCTTGGAATTCCTGATGGGAAAACCCCAAGCCCAGCCCCTGAAGCAGCCAAGTCCTGCTGCTGCAGCCGCTCTGTGCCCACCAGGAGATTCCTCAGCAGGGAGGGAAGGGCGGACACCCCCTTAAACCCTCGGGATCTGCCCAGCAGCTCCTGGAATTCGGTCAGTCGGGGCTCCCCTGTGCTGATTTCGCCTGAAACGCCCCCAAAAAAGCAGCCACAGACCCCCCCATCCCCCCCAGAGCTGGGCCTGGCACAGGCAGAGCCCATCCCGGGGCTCCACACTTACCTGAGGAGGGTGGGGAGGTGGGGAAGGGCCCTCACGGGGAGTGAGGGGGGACCCCAGCCCTGCTCCGACTGGGAATCCCAAATTCTTCATCGGGGCAACGAGCAAGAAGCTTCACTTTGCTTTTCTCCTCGTGGGGAGGATGGAGGGAAAGGACAGCAGGAGGGAACTCCCAGTCCTTTAAACTGTCTCCCCGTACTGAGAATTATATATTTGGGTATGTTATTCCCTGTATGGAGAATTGTATCCTTGTCATTGGGATAAAACCTGGATTTGGGGTAAATTTGGACACCCTGATCGCACCCAGCCTGGGGTGCAGACCCCTGTGCTCCTTTAAAATCTTCCTGACAGCACACCACGGGTCCAGGCTTCTCCTGGGGAAAAAACCAAATCCTTACGGATTTGTGGCTTTGGGCTGGGAAGTCTTGAGAAATGACTGAATTGGGAAAAAATTTGGAAAAAAACCTAAAAAAAAAAAAAAAAAAAAAAGGAAAAAAAAAAGGATTTGAGGAGGGTAAAATATGTGGCATTAGGAATTCCAAGCTCTATCACAACAATCTGGGAAGAATCTGGGAAGCCTCTGAGCTGGATGCCACGGACACAGGGAAGATGAGACTCCGTGTGAGCGTGCTCAGGTGGGAGCAGGGAACCACAGGGGAATCCTGGAGCACAGGGAAATCTGGGATGCCAGGGAAAATCCAGGATGCCAGAGAAATCCAGGATCCCAGGGACATCCTGGAGCTCAGGGAAATCCCAGATCCCGGGGAAATCCGGGATCTCAAGTACATCCAGAATCCCAGGTACATCCCAGATCCCAGGGAAATCCTGGACCAGAGGGAAATCCGGGATCCCAGGGAAATCCGGAATCCCAGGTACATCCCAGATCCCAGGTACATCCCAGATCCCAGGGAAATCCAGGATCCCAGGCACATCCTGGACCACAGGGAAATCCGGGATCCCAGGGAAATCTGGGATCCCAGGGAAATCAGGATCCCAGGTACATCCCAGATCCCAGGGAAATCCTGGACCAGAGGGAAATCTGGGAACCCAGGGAAATCCAGGATCCCAGGTACCTCCAGGAACCCAGTTACATCCCAGATCCCAGGGAAATCCCAGATCCCAGGTACATCCTGGACGACAGGGAAATCTGGGATCCCAGGGAAATCCCAGATCCGAGGTACATCCCGGATCCCAGGGAAATCCCAGATCCCAGGGAAATCCCGGATCCCAGGTAAATCCCGGATCCCAGGCCCATCCTGGCTCAGCAGCTGCTGCTCCATTCCCTCCCTGACACACGGAGCTCGTTGGGGCGTTCAGGTTTGTTGGGATTTTCCCTTCCACACAACAGGGTTAAAACGTGTTCCTCTCTCCCCTCTCCCAAGGATCTCTGCTCCTTTTCCCACCCCGCCAGCAGCACCAGGGACCCTCCAGGCTGGGATCTCTCCCCTCCTCCCCGCGGGGCATTCCCAGCAGGAACGCTTCGGGACACCAGGCCGACCCAGCCGCGGCTCCATCCCGCCGGGGTCCCGGGGGGTGTGGGGGGCACCCCAGCCCTGCTCACTGGGGCTGGCAGACGAGGCTGGGGCAGCGTCCCTGCGAGGATCCGGCGTGCCCGGAGCGCCGCGGGTCCGGCCCGGCGTGGGGGAGCTCCGCTGTCATAGGATGATGCAGCATCTGCAGAAGCGCTGCCGGCTGCCGCCCACCGAGGGCGGAGGGGTCACCGGGGCGAAGTAAGCGTGGACCTTGATGTTGGGCAGGTGGGTCTGGAACGGGAAACGTGGGGCAGGAATCAGGGACACAGCCCCGAGAGCCGGGGGCAGGCACAGCCACAAGTGCCATGGCCACCCGGCCTGGGAATGAGACACCTCCTGGGAATGTGGCACCTCTGGGGCCATTAATTGGGAATTGGTGGAATCCCCAGGGAATGAGGCTCCTCCAGTGCCATTAACTGGGAATTGGTGGAATCCCCATTGCTGGGCGAGGTTGGATGGGGTTTGGAGCAGTTTGGGATAGTGGAAGGTCTCTGCCCATCCACTCTGCCCTTCCAGTGGGACTGGATGGGCTTTCCCAACCCAAACCACGCCAAAATTCCGTAATTTTATGGTGTCACTTTATAGATCCGTATTCTCTTGGCAGAGAAAATGTCACCATTGCTCTTCTTTTACACCTCAGGAGGGGACACGGGGCAGAAATTCCGTCCTGACAGGGTGAGGCCCTGGCACAGGTGCCCAGAGAAGCTGTGGCTGCCCCTGGAGCCCTGAAGTGTCCAAGGATGGTGCCAAGTGTCCAAGCCAAACCATTCCACCTTTCCATGACTCCAAATCCACCACTGAGGGTTCTCACAAATCTTTTGAGCACGAGCAGCTGGTGATGGGAGCTCTGCCAGCTCAGCCCTCCCGATGGATAAACCCAATCCCAGCTCTTCCTTAGGACAAACCCTCCTGGATCCCAGCTCCTCCCCATCCCAGCTCCCCCGGGTCGCTGCTCACCCTGAGTCTCTTGATCCCGGCCCGTGTGATCTGCTGGCAGTCGTACAGTTCTATCCTCTCCAGGCTGTGGCAGCTCTTGAGGTGCTCCAGGGAGGCGTCGGTGATCAGGGGGCAGTTGTCCAGCTCGATCACCTCCAGGCGGTCGTGGGCGCAGGCGCCGTTGCCCAGGTGTCGGATCCCGTCGTCCGTGATCAGCTCGCAGTGGGATAAACTCTGTCCCCAAACGGAGGGGTTAAACCTGTGGGAACCCAGGGCTTCCCTCTGGCTACCCTGGGACCCTGGCAGGGGTCAGGAACCCCCCTGGACAGAGCCCCCAGAGACACTGGCTGTGATCTCTGTCCATGGAAAAGAGTTTTCAATCTTACAGGATCAATTACCAGCTCTGAGTGTTTGATATAAGTAATAATTAAGTGTGGCATGGGTGCAAAAGTAAAATTTTAGGATTCTAGATTAGGGGTGCAAAGGGCACAAGATGGAGGAAATTGGGTGTGCCTTGTCCTTTTTCTCCTTCTTCATGCCCTCCATGTTTCACTGTGGTGTTGGCATTTTTCTGTTTGTTCAGGCTGGGGACACACTGTTCAACATAGGTGACAGATATTGGCACGTTATTGTAAATCCAGCACAGGTAGTTTGTGGTATTTAATGTTTGTACCATCCCACTGAGGGCAGAGCCCCACACGCTGCCCTGCAGGACAGAGCTGCGGCAGGGCAGCAGAACATGTTAGAGATAAACAGAATAAACAACCTTGAAAACAGCACAGACCAATTATGGCTTCTGCTTTGGCAGCGGGGCAGAAAGACAGAGACTTTCTACAATCTCAGAATCATCAATACCTCAGATTCCGACAAAACCCAGCTCCTGACAACCCAAAATCCTGCCAGAACCTCGCTGGGGATGGAGGTTGGTGGGGCTGGGTTTGCTCCTTGCGCTGGAGCCACTGGGCTCTGTGGTTTCTGAGGAGTGATGAGATTCCAGCTCCAACTTCCAGCTGGAGGGGGAAAATTCCTCCCTGGCACAGCGTGCCCTGAGAAGCTGTGTCTGCCCCCAAATCCCTGAAGTGTTCAAGGCCAGGCTGGATTTGGCTCTGAGCACCTGGGATAGAGTGGAAGGTGTCCCTGCCCACGGGAACAGGAGGATCTTTAGGGTCCCTTCCATGGTTCCAGGGGAATGCAGCTCTGCAGGGATGAGACCCCCAGGGTGGCACAGAAATTCCAGCAGAACCCACCTTTGGGACAGCTGTGGCCTCACCCACTGTGGGAAGGGCCCTGGCCTGGATCCAAGAAGCAGCAGGAATACAGGAATCCCCCCTCAGTGTGGATTTTTGGGGGAATTCACCTGGAAAGTCCTCGAGGAGGAAGCAGGGCTTGAGCCAGGAGCTGGAACTGGCTTTCCTGAGGGATGACTACGCTGCAGAACCCACATTCCCACACCCCCCAGGACAGGATCCCTCATGGCACAAACCCAGGGGCGACAGAGACCAAATTCCCAGAGATTCAGCCCCAAAAGGAATGTGGCTTTCCAGAGGCACCGAGCATTGCAGCTCCTGGCTGCCCTCCAGGTTCCTCTCCCACAGACAGATCCCACTTGGAATTCTGCTCCTGGGAGAATCCCCACAACCCTTCCCCTGTGGGGATTGCTGTGAGCAGCAGGGGAGGGATGAGAGGTTCCTCAGGGTCAGGTTTCCAGCAGAATTCTTCCAACTGTTAAATCAGGGAGTGTTGAAAATCCATTTGTTTGGAGAAAGGAAATGCTGGAAGTGCCCCTTGGAATACTCACCAGGACCTGCAGCCGTGGACAGTGTATGGAAAGCTGGATTAGTGTGCTGTCTGTAATCTGGAAAAGAGGGAAAAACCCTTTTTATGTTGGTGCTGGGCACAAGGATTTGGGGTTTTTTTTTCTCTCCTACCAAAGCAAAACTGCAGGATTTTCCTTAATCCATGAGATTTCCCCACAGGAATCCACTTGGATTTTCCACCATGGAATCCATGGTGATTTTTCACCATGGAAAACACCTCCTGCCCTTGGAGAACTGGGATGCAGAGGCATCACTGGATTTTTAAAATTCCCTAAGGAGCTGAAATCAGCTCCCAAATGTGTCCCAAATGTGCCTCTGGAAGGACAAGGAGGGCTCAGATTCCCTCTGAACACCCTGCAGATTGCCCAGCTCCTGGTTTTCTTCAGGAAGAAGGAATCCCACACGAAGGTTCCCAATCCCAAACCCCCACAGGAGCTGCCTGGGATGGATTTCTGCTCTGGCTCAGCTTTGTTTCTTCCTTTTAAGGGTTAATTCCCAATCCTTTCCTGCCTGGGCTGGTGACATTCCCTCTTTATATCCCAAATTTCTGCCCAGAATTGCAGGACACGGGGTCCAGCTGTTCCCAGGAATCACAATCCCATTCCCTTTGTCTCAGGCTCAATTCATTTCCAATCTACCCTCGGGTTTGGAGGTTTTTTTATGGAATTTTGGGTCAATTCCACCCTTTTCGCTGTAAATTCCAATCCTCCAGAATCATTGCTGCTTCCCAATTTCCCCCATGGTTTTCCAAATCAGCGGAAACTCCCGTTATTTTTAGCAAGGTAAGATTTTTCTCTGGGATTTCCCCTCAAAAATCTGGGATTTTCTCTCACAAATCCATTATTTGATCCAGGATCTCTCACTCTTAAATATTTCTAATTTACAGCACAGTTCCCATGGAATCCAAACCAAGGATAAAACCTCACTCCCAACATTTTCCTCTCCAAATCCAGTCACTCTCCCCACTCAGGATTCCACATAAAGTTCTGATTTGGAGAAAATCTCTTAATTTTCCACCAATTTTCCACATTTCTGCAAGAGAAACATCCTGAGGTGGCATTCCTACCTGGACACACTCTTCCAGATCCATTTTTTCAAGCTCATGGCAATTCTAGGAATAGAGAATTCCAAACATCCATGGTGAATGTAAAATCCAGACATTAAATATAAATATGAATCCATAAAAATGTAAATATAATAAATATAAATATATTCTATTACAAATATGAGATTAAATAGTAAATTAAATAGAAATATTATAAAAACAAATATAGAAACAATAGCATTATATAAATATAAATATAAATATAAATATAAATATAAATATAAATATAAATATAAATATAAATATAAATATAAATATAAATATAAATATAATTATAAATATAATTATAAATATAAATATACCACCACAAAGATAGTTTGCTTTAAAAATTAAGGGGTTTCTCTAAGAGATATCACTACTAGAAGTAAAGTTTGGTGCTTCTTTCTGAAGGATAATAAAGGAAATTTCATTTATTAAAGGGGTTTTTAAAGCATGGAGAGTAAAGGAAGTTACACTTAGACAAAACCAGTGAAGTTTATAACTAAAATATTTAACATTTCCTGTGGTTTGGCTGCAAATCCTCCCAGGTGTGTGAGCCAGAACGATGCCAAATATCCCATAAAACCAAATTTTTGGACTTTAAGCTTCCACCCAAAATTCAAAGTGTTCCCAAACCTCCTGGGTGATTTTTTTTTTTGCCATGAAAAGGGAGGAAAAGCAGGAGGGGAAGGAAGAACTGGGCTCTTACCCTGGCCAGGGTGGTGAAGCCCACGTCGGTCAGCTGGGAACACCTGGCCACTTCCAATATTCTGCAGGACACAAGGAAAGAACCATGGTGGAGCCCCAAAATCTCCCAAAAAATTGAGATTTTTTTTTTTGAATGACTTCAGGAGACCCCTCCATTCCAGGGAGAGCAGCAGGGGACACAGGAATGTCCCCAGCCAGGGTCACCCCACGTCCTCGTGGAGCTGATCCAGGATCTGACACCCTCACGGGGAGGAATTCGGATATTGGAGTTTTGGATGTTGAGAATTTTAAACTTTCTGAGAGACTCTGACTCCCAGATAAAGCTTCCAAAATTAATTAACAGCACTGGGATTATGGTGTGGAGTTGGTTAGGAGTGTGTAACAGCACAGGGTGGAAAATTCAGAGTTTGGGGTTTTAGAATATAGAAATACATTGGGGCGAGATGGAGGTTTTAGGTTTGTTCTTCTTCACCTTTTTCTTTCTTCTCCTCCAGGGGTTTGGGTGGTGTTTTGTAACTGGACAGAAAAGTCCACAGTGCAGGCTTGGAGTGGGCAGTTATTGGGTTAAAAGTGAAAATAATTGAGGTGTCATTTCTTAATTGGATAATTTAGCCTTAAAAGACCTTGGAACAAAAGCCAGTTGGGCATTTTGTGCCTTGCTACTGAGAGACTGCAGAACTCACTGCTGTGAGGCTGCAGCACTGATAAGGAACAATAAACACCCGAGTTTGAACACAAAATTCCTGCCTTAGGTTGGGAATTCCAGCTCAAAATATGGGAAATTATTTAACACACTGATAAGGAACAATAAACACCCGAGTTTTAACACAAAATTCCTGCCTTAGGTTGGGAATTACAGCTAAAAATATTGGAAATGTTTAACAAACTGATAAGGAACAATAAACACCCGAGTTTGAACACAAACCATCCTCTCAAGTGCCTCAATCCCAACCCTGACAGAGGTAGAAGCCAAAAACTGCCATTCCTCCTCTGGAATTTGGGGTGGGATTTATCCTGGTTGAGTTTCTGCACCTCTGGAAAGGTTCACCCAATCCCAAAATTTTCTTTTGATGGCTACACATGGAGATACAGTGTGGGTACCATGCTGGGAGCTCTTTTAAACCCCAAGAATTTGGGGCCAACCTAAAAATCACAACCACCCTGTTCCAAAAAAACAGCTCAGGGACAAAAAGCATAGGGATAAAAACTCGGGGGGGGGGGGGGGGGGGGAAAGATCAGGGATAAAAACTGGGAAAAAAAAAAGCTCAGGGATAAAAACTGGGAAAAAAAAAAGCTCAGAGACAAAAACTGGGAAAAACCTTTGAGGGTGAAATGGCTGAGGGACCAGCTGGACCCTCTGCTGAGTGTTCCAGGGGGGAAATGCTGGGAGAACTCACCGGAGGCGTGGGCAGTTCTGTCCCAGGGCGTTGAGGATGGCATCAGTGATGTTGGAGCAGCCAGAAGCACACAGGGACTGCAGCTTGTGGCAGCCCCTGCAGATGGTGATGAGCCCATCGTCCGTGATTTGCTGCCAGGGAAAGCACAGCTGCCTCAATCCTGGCAGGATTTGTCCCTCCCAGCTCCAAATTCCAGCTCTTTTTGGCACCAGAATTGATATGGTAATGTTTCACCCCGAAATTGTTATGGAGGTGTTTCGCTGGAGCAGCAGAGGGAGGATAAACCTTGCTGGATTTGGGAGTATCAGGGAAGGGATTTGCAGGGAAATGTTTTGGAGCTGGACACGGTGAGGGATGGGGGAAGGTGGTGGGAGTCCTGCAGGGCTTTGTAATTCCTGCTTGGAAAGACACAGGGAGTCTGTCCATCCCTGTCCCTGGACACAGGGGCTCCATCCATCCCTGTTCCTGGACACAGGGGGTCCCTCCAGTCCCATCCCTGGACACAAGGGCTCCATCCATCCCTGTTCCTGTGCCAGACTGTGCTGGCACAGACAGAGAGCCCATGCCAATCTATTTTTTGGCATAAACACACATTTTTGGCGCTGCAGAGATGGTTGAGGGCCCTTCTGTGCAGGAGAAGTGTCTCTGTGGGCTCAGTTCTGCACGGGGATGAGAGGAGAGGCCTGGCAGCATCAGCCCAGCCTGACAGGAAGGATTTTTCCAGCTCATCCCACAGATAAGTTCAGAGGGAAGAGAGAAACACTCCTGACACAGCAAAGGTGAGGGGCTCAGTGCCCTTCAGGTGCCACCAAGGAGCTGCTGGTGACAAGTGCCCCGTGGGCAGGGGATGGAGCACATTCCATGAGGGAATCCTGGGCAGTGCCACTCACCAGGCAGGTCTGCAGGTTCAGGGTCACCAGCTCAGGACAGTGGGCACCGATGAACTTGAGGGCCTCATCCTCCAGCTGCAAGGAAAACCACAGGGACGGGAACTGGGAGCACTGGGATTTGGGAATTAAAGCTGGGACAGCAGGAAATGGGGATTTCCTCTGGGGAGGAGGGAAAGGCAGCACAGGAATAGCAGCACCAGGAGTGTTCCTGCCTTTTACCCCATCAGGAGCAGAGCCTGGCCCCAGCAGCCAGAGGAAAGGACTGCCATGAAACCCCTCCCTGAGCCCAGATCTGGCCATGGATCACAGGGACCTCCTCCAAAGGATCAGTGGGAAAAGGAAAATCGGGATAAAAGGATTCTCCAGCTCCACAAGTGATTTATTCCCTGTCCCACTCCTGGGGGATGCTGAAGAACTTCCACAGCAGCACCTGATCTCCAGCACCGTGGGGATTTTGGAGAATAACCCAAATCCCTGAGTTTCCCACTGTGAGGAGCAGCAGGACACCCCAGCCATGCCCATTCCCACTTTTCCAGAGCTGTACCTGGGTGCAGCCCTTGAGGGACAGGGCCCGGAGCCCCCCGCAGCCCCGCACCAGCGCCTGGATCCCGTCCTTGGTCACTTGGTCGCACCAGGAGATGATGAGCTGTTCCAGCAGCGGGCATCCCTCACTGGGGACACACAAAAAAGCTCATTTACCTCAGGAAAAACCCTGCTCCAAGCCAGAAGCTCTGCTGTTCCCATTTCTGGGAGCCTCAGAGCACAGCTGCAGCCCCAGGGGACACCAGGAGGGGACACCAGGAAAAGCCCAGCTCCAGAGGAAGACTCTGCTGGAATGCTGGGTTGACTGGAGGATCTCAGAGGACTTTTCCAGCCTTAATAATTGTAAAATTCCACGGAAAATCCCTGCTGCCAGCTCCTACCTGAGTGCTTTCAGGGACAGGTTGGTGATGGAGGTGCAGGAAGCCAAATCCAGGTGCCTGAGTTTGGAGCAGAACTTGCTGAGGCTGGTGCAGGTGCTGCAAGAGACACACGGGGGGACATTCCTGGAATGGATTCATGGATTCATCCCAGGCTGCAGAAATCCCATGGGATGGGCAGGTTTGGGGTGAGGATGGAGGTGGGAACATGGCACAGGTGCCCAGAGCTGCCCCTGGATCCCTGGAAGTGGCCAAAGCCAGGTTGGAGAGGGTTTGGAGCATTTTGGGATAGTGGAAGCTGTCCTGGCAGGGGTGGGAATGGATGGGATTTGAGGTCCTTCCAACCCAAACCATTCCATGGATGAGATTTAAGGTCCTTCCAACCCAAACCATTCCATGGATGGGATGTGAGGTCCTTCCAACCCAAACCATTCCATGGATGAGATTTAAGGTCCTTCCTACCCAAACCACTCCATGGATGGGATTTGAGGTCCTTCCAACCCAAACCATTCCATGATTCCTCCCTCACACCCCAAGGCTGTTTTTTTTGGCAGCCAGGGAAGTTTTACTCACGCGTCCGTGATCTTGGTGCAACCATTGAGGTTCAACACTTCGATGTTCCTGCAGTTCTGGGCAAAGGTCCTGGGGTGAAGGAAAGGGGAAATATTGGATTTGTCAGGCAAAGGAATTCCAGGTGGCTCATAACATGTCAGAACAAAGCTTTACAAAGCTGATTAAAGGAGAAAACTGAGATAATCAAGAAGGAAATCAAGAAGAAAACCATGGAAATCAGAAGAATCAAGAAGAAAATAATCAAGAAAATCAAGAAGAAAATCAGGATGAAAATTAAGATTCAGATCAAGAAAAGAATCCACAAAGAAGAAAGGAATCAAGAAAATCAGGATGAAAATTAGGATTATGATCAAGAAAAAAATCCAGAAAGAAGAAAGGAATCAAGAAAATCAGGATGAAAATTGGGATTAAGATTAAGAAAAGAATCAAGAAAGAAGAAAGGAATCAAGAAAATCAAGAAGAAAATCAGGATGAAAATTTTATTTTTTATTTATTTACAATTAAATTTTTTAGATAAAACCCCAATAAATTAAATTATAAAAAAAGACAAATTAAATTATAAAAATGATTAATGAAATAATATAAAAAATTAATTAAATGAGAAATGAATAATCTCTGTCACTTCTCTCCAGGTTTTGACATCCCAAGGTCTTGGATCCAAAGCGGGGATAAATTCTCCCCATTTTTTGTTCCATAAAAATATGGGAATTTTGTTTTTGCAGACCATTCCTGAGGGTCTCAGAGGCGATAAATTCTCCCCATTTTTTTCTCCAGATACATTTGGGAATTTGGGTTTTGCAGCCCATTCCTGAGGGTCTCGGATCCAAAGTGGGGATAAATTCTCCCAGTTTTTTGCTCTATAAAAATCAGGGAATTTGGGTTTTGCAGCCCATTCCTGAGGATCCAAAGTGGGGATAAACTTTTCCCATTTTTTTGCTCCATAAAAATCAGGGAATTTGGGTTTTGCAGCCCATCCCAAGGTACCTTAAGGCGTTGTCCCCCACTCCCAGGCAGCCGCGCAGGCTCAGCTTCCGCAGGAATCCCCCGCATCTCTTGGAGATGTTCTCCACCACTCGGCCCTGGGGGAGACAGGAGGAGCCCCGTGAGACCCCCCAGACCTTCAGGAGGCTGAAGGGAACATTCTGCAGGTGAAATAGGATTTGTTATTCCAGGGAAAACGGTGCTAAGGGGATGGAAATGCCGTGGGGATGGGCTCGGGGACAGGGAGGAGAATGATTCAGCTTCTGAAGATGGAGGGACAAGGAAAAATCACCTAAAGTAAATCAGCAAAAGCATTTTGAGAAATTTCCTCTATTTTGGAGCTCCTGGACGTGGGCACAGACTCCCCAAGGAAGGGGAGAGGAGCTCCAGCCCCGATTTCCAAGCACAGCCAATGGATAAACTCCAGTTTTTATTCAAAACAGAGATGAGCAGAACCAGCCCACGAGTTCTGCTCCTGCAGGAAAAGACATTCAACCATTTGTGCTCCAGAGATCCACAAAAGGGTTTTTAATTTCAAATCTGGACCCAAAGGCCCCGTTACAGCCAGGATTTATTTTTCCCCTGGGACCAACGGGCAAAACCACTGGAGAATATTTGCACCAGAAACTCAGAACCTTCCCCTGCAACTTTGGCTGCTCCTCACAGAGCAGGAACAACCCTTGGTCATTCCAGGACTAATTGGCATTTGGGAACTCTGTGAGATGAGGATTTTCTTCCAGAATCTCTTTTCCAGTTAAAAAAACCCCTGAAATCGGCTCAAAAGCAGGCTCAGCACAACACAGCCCCACCATCAAAACCTGGGCTGGCCAGGTGAGCTCTGGGGACACCACGGGAGCAGCTCCATGGCTGATGCTCGACCTCCAGAGCCCTGAAAAAAGGCTGGAAAAGCTGAAACACTGCCTGATTCTGCAATTCTATATTAAATTCTATGTTCTACATTCAGTTCTGTATTAAATTTTATATTCTATTCTATATTCTATATTAAAATCTGTATTAAAACCTATATTCTATATTCAATTCTACATTCTATATTCAATTCTATATTCTATTCTGTATTCTATTTTTCATTCTATATTCTCTTCTATATTAAATTCTATATTCTATATACAATTCTATATTCTAGTCTATATTCTATTTTATATTCTATATTCAATTCTACATTCTATATTCAATTCTATAGTCTATATTTAATTCTATATTCTAGTCTATATTAAATTCTATATTCTGGTCTTTATTTTGTATTCAATTCTATATTCTAGTCTATATTATATTCTATATTCAATTCTATATTCTAGTCTATATTCAATTCTATATTCTATTATAGCAAGCCTATAAATTCTGCTCAAATTAGAGGAGCCAAACGTGTTTCTATCAAGAATTTACAGGGACTGATGGATTTAACTCCGTTACAGCAGAGCCTGAGGAGGCCCAGCAGGAACTTTGAGGTGAGATACAACAAATTTTGTTTCCAACGTGTTTTAAACAGGATAAAAAAATCCTGAGATTTTTTTTTTAAGCATTGAGGATTTTTTCCTCACCCATTTTCCTGCTTAAGGCAATTTGAATTTGCAGCCTCCATCCCCACTGCTGCTGCAGAATCCACATCCCACAGGTTCAGCCAGCTGCATCTCTTAGGGACAATTTGGACCTTGTATTTCCCAAATCATCTTCACTTCAATTTCAATTTTTGGTATTAAAGATACAAATATTTCAAGCCCTGATTCAACAGACGTTCAGCCCTCATGATCTTATCTGAGTGCAAGGAGCAGCAGCTTAAATTCTCTTCCATACAAGCAGCAGTTTTCTCCAAAAAAAGTACCTTTGCTACTAATTTCTGTTTTCAGAACACACAAAAACTACCTTCCTTTCCATTATTAGCTTTAATTCTTGCTAGGGATATAGAAATCTGTCCATTTTCAAAAGCTGAATGGATTGCCAAGACTTGAAAAGACTCCTTGAAGCTGAAGAACCGAAATGAGTGATTTCTATCTCCAGGGAAGGTAGGAAGGGTTACACTGGGAGTATTAATTCATTCGAGGCTGTAATTACATTTTAACAAGAAAAAATGGGTTTGTATGTCACTTAATTATACCTCAATATCCCTCTGGAAATCAAACAGGTCAATTCGCTGCCAGTTACTGCCATCCAGGGCCAGAACATTCCATGCCTTTATTGGGGGAAAAAAATGTAAATGTGTGGTTAATATGAAAAAAAAAAAAAAAGTCAGTGGGGACCTAGTCCCTGTTTGTTCCTTTGAGAAACAATATTTTGTCCCAGGTGGGAAAGCAACAGGTAATTGCAGCCAGCAGGGAGAGCTGAGCAGGCACCAGGAGCACTTGCAGGGAGCTTGGTGGCCTCAAAATTCGGAATTCTGAGTCCCCCAGGCAAGGAAGAGGTGCCCTGGCTGCTCCCACTCCCTTGGGAGGTGCAGGAAATTCCTGGCTGGAATTTCCTCCCCAGCACCTCAGAGGACACCTGGGCACAGGTGAGTCCTCACAGATGCACTGCCAAAGGGTTTGGGTTTTGTTTAAATCAGCAAAATCCTCACAGCTGCACTGCCAAAGGGTTTGGGTTTTGTTTAAATCACCAAAATCCTCACAGCTGCACTGCCAAAGGGTTTGGGTTTTGTTTAAATCACCAAAATCCTCACAGCTGCACTGCCAAAGGGTTTGGGTTTTGTTTAAATCACCAAAATCCTCACAGCTGCACTGCCAAAGGGTTTGGGTTTTGTTTAAATCACCAAAATCTCCCTGGTTCCTGCTCCAAAGGAGAGGCAAACTGCTGTTGTTTGTTTTAAGGTTATGGCCAGGAGAAAAGCAGTAGGAAATGCCCCAGTGGCTGTATAATTCCATGGGCAGTGCAGGGAACGTTCCAGAACCTTCCTGCACATCCCTGCAGGAACTCCCTGTGCAAACAGGAGCTGGGACAGGCCAGGAGAACACCCTGACATTGGCAAAGAATCCCTGGCAGTCCCTTCTGCCAGCACTGCTCTGCTGGATTCCAGCTGGGAGCTCCTTCCCTGCACAACCTGTGGTATTCAGGTGCCAACTGTAATGCCCAGACACCACACAGGGTAATTTTAAAAATGCAATTAACAATGTTTAATCTTTTTTTTTTTTTTTAATTCCAATGTGCTTAGAGTAATTAAATCAGTGGTGGCTGAGGTTTGGAGCCAGGACTGATGGGTTTGTGCAGGTTTGATTGATGGGTTTGTTTGCCAGGATGGTGAACACAGCACTCCAACACCTTCCCTGGATCATCACCCCAGCCTTGCTTGTGCTGCTTCCCCTGGGAGTTACCAGATACTGGCAGGAAAAAGCACCTGAATAAATCTCACAGCTCCAGATAACTGAATTTTCCAGTCCAGCTGGAGGAATTCTCCCTGAATAATCCAAGTTGGGTTTCATTAACTGAAGCCCCCACTTTATTTCCATGCTTACTCCAACTAGATCCAAGGAGAAAATGAACTTTCATTGGCTGTGCAGCATCTCTATGAATTAAAATTCCAGTGTTTCCACCAAAAAACCCACAGGATGCCATTTTGGGCTCATCCCATATTGGGGATTTCAGCAGGGTGAGCTCCCTGTAAAACCCAGAATGAGGGGACAGATCTGGGCAAAACATCAGCCCCTTCCCCTTTGTACCTGTGACACTGGAAAATGCTATTCCAGCTTGGAATTCCCCTTCACTGGTGCTTTGGGAATTTTCCAGGACTTCCAGGGGACACTAAATAACCCCAGCTGAGTGGCACAAAGCTCCCTGGCCCAACGCCCCTGGAGAGGGAGGATTGTCACCCAAATCCAACCCCTGCCAAAATCCACCAGGAAAAAGAAAGGTTCTTACCCTGGAAACTTGAGCACAACGACACAGAGTGACCACATCCAGGAAAGAGAAAATTCTGGAATAGAAATAAGAGATACCTTATAGGTTATTGACATTTAAAATAAAAGCGGATGTGGAAAACAAAGCTGGGGGAGCAAAACAAAAACAAAAAAAAAAGGAAAAAGGACTGGGACAGCAAAATTTCTTTGTGATTTGGCTGAAAGCTGAACTGTGAAAGGACGTGCAGAGGCAGCAGTTCCCAAATGGAAACAAAACTCGGCCACGGAGGCACTGGGAAACAGAAACCTCACACCTTGGAGTGGGCCCTGACCCCACATCAGCGACTGCTCCCCCCAAGTGACCCTGGCAGCAGCCCCACAGCGAGCCAGGACACGGAGCAGCACCAGGGAGGCTGGGCTGGCTCGGACTGCACAGGAGCGACTGCAACACTGCAACACCTTCAGCAACTGCTCCCCAAATGGGCAGTGCCATCCCTTAGCGTGGGCAGCACCATCCCTCATTTCAGCTCCCCGAAATGGGCAGCGCCATCCCTCATTTCAGATCCCCGAAATGGGCAGTGCCATCCATCCCTCATTTCAGCTCCCCGAAATGGGCAGCGCCATCCCTCATTTCAGATCCCCGAAATGGGCAGTGCCATCCCTCACTGCCAGCTCTGGGATCAGGGCAGTGCCACAGCCCAGTTTCAGTGCCTGGATCATTCCTGGTTTCCCAGCAGAGATCCCAGGGAAAGATTCCAGGGAAGGATCCCAGGGAAAGATTCCAGGGGGAATCCCAGGGAAGGATCCCAGGGAAGGATCCCAGGAAGGATCCCAGGGAAAGATCCCAGGGAAAGATCCCAGGAAGGATCCCAGGAAGGATCCCAGGGAGGGATCCCAGGGAGGATCCCAGCTCTGCTGGAGGGAAGGATCCCAGGAAGGATCCCAGGGAAGGATCCTAGGGAGGATCCCAGGGAAAGATCCCAGGGAAAGATCCCAGGGAAAGATCCCAGGAAGGATCCCAGGGAGGGATCCCAGAGAGGATCCCAGGGAGGGATCCCAGAGAGGATCCCAGCTCTGCTGGAGGGAAGGATCCCAGGGAAGGATCCCAGGAAGGATCCCAGGAAGGATCCCAGGGAAGGATCCCAGCTCTGCTGGAGGGAAGGATCACAGGAGGGATCCCAGGGAGGATCCCAGCTCTGTTGGAAGGAAGGATCTCAAGGCTGTTAATGATCACCTCATCCCTCTATCAGGGCTGGGAGATCTGGGATAAATTCTCCTTCACTTCCTGCTCCTCCCTTGCCAGCCTGCCCACACATCAACAGGGATTCACCCCGGCCAAACCCTCACCCCTCTGCCTTTCCCTGCACGGAGATCTCAGCTCTGAGGAGCTCAGAGACTTTTCCAGTGCTCCCTCAGCTCCTCCTGCACTTGTTCAAGACCCTGAATCGATGATCCAGCAGAACCAGGCTGCAAAAATGACTTTTCCACAGTAGTTGGTTATGGATTTTCATCATTTCAGAACTGGATCCAGCGTCCATGGACCAGCAAGAGCAGCAGGAGCCCAGGTAAAGTCCTGCAGGCACCATGACCCGAGCTGAGAACTCCCCTGCAGCCCTGAGGATGGGATTTTCCCTCTCCAAGGAACTGCTGGACAACACTAAAATATCCCAAACCCTACAAATAAGCAGCGACTGAGCTGCAGCAGAATCAGCACTACTCAAATGATTTTTTTCCCAATTCTGCATTAATAGGCCCAAATGCACCGTGCTGGGACATTTATTTTGTCACCCAAACAGGATTCCTGTCCTGCTCATACTGTCTGGTGAGCCCTTTTACATTGGTCTTTTCATTCTTCAGAGTTCACAGTGGAGAAAATAATCCACAAAATTATCATCAAACACTGATCACAGATGAAGGCAGACTGAGCTCCTCAAACAGGAATTAAATCTGGAATTGCAGCAGATTAAACTGTCTCAGTGCAAAGGGATTCCCTATGTGTTTGATTTTGTCTGGACAGCTCAGTTCTGCACAATTTGGGTAAAACACACTCACTTTGAGCAATTTTCAGGTTTCAACCTCTTAATCCACTCAGGGGTTTCTAGGACTCCTCACTTTCCCACTGCTGCTCTAATTAGATTAGGGTCAAGACTCTCATGAAATCCCTGCACGCTGCAGGCTCTGAGGTGAGCCAGCTTAGACCTTCAGCCTTCTAAAATTACCCACACCAATTTGTGCCAGCGACCACCCCCCGCCATCCCAGTTCAATCCCAGTTCATCCCCAGTTCATCCCTGCTGCCAGGGGCCGGGCAGGGGGACAGACACCGCGGCTCTGCTGCCAGCTCAGCGCTCCCCACGGGCACAAATCCAACTGGCCAGGGATAAATCAGCATGTGGGGATGGCACAGCCAGGCCTGGGCATGTGCTGGGCAGGGCTGCATGGGCAGAGCAGCGAGTCCAAGCTGCTTAGGGCCAGGAGAGAGCTGCAGGCTGCCTGAGCTGGCCCTGACCCAGCAGGAACAGCTGAATTCCTGCAGGCTGAGCCTGCTGGGGCCAGGCAGGAGCTGTGCAGCAGCTCCACCTCACACTGGGGGTGTCCCCTCCTTCGGGAGGGCAGCACAGACCCCTTCTGCTGTCAGAACTCAAAACGTCCCTCAGACATTTTTGGAGGTTCCAGGCCCAGGTCAGAAGCATTTCAGACCCTGGCAGGCAGCTGGAAACAGCTGTGATTTTGGGTTTGAGCCATGGAATGATTTGCCAACCTTGCAGGGAGAACAAGAAGTCACAAAAGTTTAGATGTTATAGTAGAAGCAGTCACAAAGTAAAGAGAAGAATTTTTGAGTCCTGTATAGGGGGGGTTTTGGTTTTGTACATGGGGGTCAGAGGGTTTAAGATGGAGGGATTTGGGCCTGCCTTGTCCTTCCTCTTTCTTCTTCCTTCCCTCCACACCCCAGAATGTCACTGCTGCACCCCAGGGTGTCACTGCTGTACCCCAGGATGTCACTGCTGTACCCCAGGGTGTCACTGCTGCACCCCAGGATGTCACTGCTGCACCCCAGGATGTCACTGTGCACCCCAGGATGTCACTGTGCACCCCAGGATGTCACTGTGCACCCCAGGACGTCATTGTGCACCCCGGGGTATCACTGCTGCACCCCGGGGTGTCACTGCTGCACCCCAGGGTGTCACTGCTGCACCCCAGGGTGTCACTGCTGCACCCCGGGGTGTCACTGCTGCACCCCGGGGTGTCACTGTGCACCCCGGGGTGTCACTGCTGCACCCCAGGGTGTCACTGCTGCACCCCAGACACGCCACAGGGCCACGTCCCAGGACAGCCCTCAGCAGCACCGCCCCTCCTGGGCCATCCCTGTATTTTTAGGGATAACAAATGCTGCTCTTCTCCTCTTTCACATCCTCCTCCTCTGTATTTTGCCCAAGTGCAGCTTTCACTCCACACCCAGGGGAGCCCAAAGCTGCCTGAGAGTGGCCAGAGCAGGGCCAGGACTTCACAGAGCAGTGCCCAAACACACCAGCCTTTGTCCTGCACACAGTGACACCCATTTACAGGAGATTCCCACAGAAAACACATCCAAGCTTCTCTTTCAAAGGCTGCACTGTCAATGCACAGTAATTAATTTTCACAGTATGCTAACAGTGAATTCCAGCTCTCCAAACCATTACTTATGAGCTTTAAACATTTATCAACTCCCCATTTCCCCTCGGTTCCACCCGATCCTGAACAATTCCCGGCTCTGCAGCAGGATGGGATGGCCAGGGACAGAGGGACACAACAGGGACAGAGGGACACGGATGGACACAGCAGGGACAGAGGGACACGGATGGACACAGCAGGGACAGCGGGACACAGCAGGGACAGCGGGACACAGCAGGGACAGCGGGACACAGCAGGGACACAGCAGGGACAGCGGGACACAGCAGGGACAGAGGGACACGGATGGACACAGCAGGGACAGCGGGACACAGCAGGGACAGCGGGACACAGCAGGGACAGAGGGACACGGATGGACACAGCAGGGACAGCGGGACACAGCAGGGACACAGCAGGGACAGAGGGACACAGCAGGGACAGAGGGACACAGCAGGGACAGTGGGACACAGCAGGGACAGAGGGACACGGCAGGGTCAGAGGGACACAGCAGGGACAGAGCAGGGACAGAGGGACACAGCAGGGACAGAGGGACACAGATGGACATAGCAGGGACAGAGGGACACAGCAGGGACAGAGGGACACAGCAGGGACAGAGGGACACAACAGGGACAGAGGGATACAATCACCCCCACACTCCACTCCCCTCCTGCTTCCCACTGAGAATTATCCACAGAGGCCTTAAAGGACTTTCAAACCCCAACAATCCACAGAGTCTGAGCTGTTTGGTGTTTGCCAACGGGATCATCCTGCCAGGAGCTGAACATCTGGCTCTTATTGACAGAGGACAGGACAAAGTCCACTCAAGTGTAACTGGAGCAGAGGGATTCACTTTTGCTTTAAACTCAACCCCTGAGAAAAGCAGAATCCTGCTCTCCACAACGATTAATGAAAGGATCCTCACTCCTCCATTCACCACACAGACAACCAGCAAATCAATCCAGCATTTAAAACCCCAAAACTTAATCCCAGTTTAGCACAAACTGCTGACACAGACCTTTGACCTGCCTCTGTTTGGGTCTGGCTTTATGTGACCCGATCCAAGCTCATGATTTGGGAGCACAGCAGCAAAATCCTGGATGCAAAGAACAACCCACCGGTGTCCAGGGAGGACTCACCGAAGCAGCAGCTCTTTGGGCAGTTTTTTGTTGATTGCAGCTTCATCGTTGTTTGAGAACATCTGGAAACACAAAAAAAAAAGGCAAAATTCAGTCACACATCAAGGGGACAAACGCTGCTTCACCCCAGGGAAGAAGGGGTTGGTTAATGAGGATGTTTCCAGATATCCAGACCAGGAAATTCCTAACAGATAAACTTCGTGCTGCAGCTTTCCAGCTCCTGCACGGGACCACAGCTGGATGGAGCATCACATCAAAATAGCTTAGAACACAGCGCAAGGATTGAGAGATAAAATAGAAACTGAGATTTGCAGCTGTTCCAGCTATTTAAATGATAATTATGATGTGGTTGTGAGCTGGCACTGACTGGAGAGGCTTCCTCAGCACTTTGAGGGGTGCACCAAGGCACAGACACATCAAAACTGGGAGGTTTTACAGACAAAACATCTGGCCAAGGAGCTGGAGGGGAGAGAAGGAGGGGTCCAGCATCCCAAATATCCACCAAACAGAGCTGGAAGCTGCAGGTGCAGCAGGGTTGGTTTCTGTGATGGAAAAGGTGCTGGTGAACAGAGAAATGACCAAGTCCTGTAGAGCCCAGAACATTCTCCCAGCCCTTGGGAGCTCTGGGACAAACAGGACTGATTTTTAAAACACCAAGAATGGTTTAAAGGGAACTGGTTTAAATGGTTTAACCAGAGCTGGTTCTTGTATCCCTCCAAATCTATGGACAACACACCAAGAAGTTTCCAAGAGAAACTTCTCTTTTCCAAGGAGTCCCGAGGAAAACAGAGAGCAAAGCCTCATGAGAAGAATCTAAATAAAAACAGTTCTAAGATTTAGTATTGTCCTGCCATGGGAAAAATCCAGCACCTCCCAAATATCCATCCTGAGCAAGGATCCATCACTTCACAAATTTCCTGTACCTGAGCATGAATCCAATCCCATCACATCCCAAATCTCCTGTCCCTGAACAGGAATCCAGTCCCAGCACTTCCTAAATATCCTGTACCTGAGCAGGAATCCAATCCCATCACATCCCAAATATCCTGTACCTGAACATGATCCATCATATCCCAAATATCCTGTCCCTGAGCATGGATCCAATCCCATCACATCCCAAATATCCCGTACCTGAGCATGGATCCATCACCAACGCTCCCAAATCTCTGTACCCGAGCATGGATCCAATCCCATCACATCCCAAATATCCCGTACCTGAGCAAGGATCCATCACTTCCCAAATATCCTTTACCTGAGCATGGATCCATCACCACCACTTCCCAAATATCCTTTACCTGAGCATGAATCCAATTCCAGCACTTCCCAAATATCCTTTACCTGAGCAGGAATCCATCACCAACAGCTCCCAAATATCCTGTCCCTGAGCATGGTTCCATCACATCCCAAATATCCTGTACCTGAGCATGGCTCCATCACCAACTGCTCCCAAACCTCCTGAACCTAAGCAAGAATCCAATCCCACAACTTAACATGAAATCTAGTGTGAAAATCCAATGTGCTGCCACTGAATGGCCCTTTAAATGCTCCATTTGGTGATGGAAAACTGGGAATTGAGGAACACCACCACCCCCAGGGAACAGCAAACCCCAGGATTTCAGAGTCACACGCTGTGCTCCCAAATCCCAGTCTCCTTTTGAATCATCCCAAGGTGCCAGAGCACGGTGCTGAAGTGGGAACTCTCAAATTTCCATCCCAAAATGCCAGCCAGAAGTGTTGATCCCCCCGCAGACCCTTTTATCACTTCCCACCAGGAACATCACAGGTCCTGAGCAGGAACCAGCCTGGCAGCTCTCAGCCCAGTTTGCTGCTAATTAAAATGAGCTTTTGCCATTCCCAGCTCCCACAGCTCCAAGGGCTCTTCCCTCCCATCTCCAGGTGACTCTGGAGCCACCGTGGGTGGGGACAGACATTCCCAAGGCTGGCAGAGCAGCACCTGCACTTCTGGGACAGGAGCAGCTAATTAAATTGATTAGTTGATTGATTAGGAGCTCAAGGAAATCATGGAGGGAGCTCGAATGGAGGAGGAATGCAGAGGAATTATTCATGGGAAAAAGGGATGTGATTCCTTTCCCCCCAGTTACAGATCCAAACCCTTCCCCACCACAGTCCAGACCTTGAATCAGGACTCTCCTCCCCCAAAAAATGGATCAGAGAAATTAGAGGAGCAATCAGAGAGCAGGAACAGAACAAGGAAAAAGGAAGTCCCTTCCAAAAAGGCACCAGAGCAGGACAGAACAAGGGCAAGAAGGGTTAAAACAGAGATTCCAGCAGCAGCCAGGAACCTCCTCTGCCTGACCACAGGGAACTCTGCCCATCAAATCCCTCTGCAGAAAAATCTCACCTCAGTCCAGCACAAATCCCATCCCCAGACTGGCTTCTGCAGGAGTTTCCCTTTGACCAGCACTAATCTAAAGGAATGTTTGTTTTTTTGTCTTACTAAAAATAACCCTTGGACTTAAACCCTGAGGGGGCCCAGGCAAGATGGGCTCCAGGGGAGAACCTCAGCTGTGGAATTCCCTCTCCCTGAACGCTGGCAAGAGCCAGGATGCATCTCCAGACCAATTTTCTCCAGCCTTCCTTCCAAGCCTGAGGCTCAGATGGGTGAAAACAGGCTGGAATTGGGATTTTGCTAAGTCATGGCAGCACGTACAGCTAAATATACCACGGACATGGGGACCTTCTGGCAAGTCCATACAAAAATAAAGCTCTGAAAAAATGTCAGAGGCTATTCTAGACTTCCAGGCTTTCAAAATTCTTCAAGGGATTAAAAACAAAATGCCCCAAGTTTGCTTCTCCTATAATTTCTTTTATCTTCTTTAATACCAGGTGCCGTCCAAAAGAAGGAATTATTCTGGACAAGACACAAAAAACCACTTTTTTCTTGTATGTAAATTTTCAATTCTGTAACAAACACAGAATCCTCCACCAAGGAGCAACTTTGCTGCTGTGTGAAGCCACATGGGATTTTTGGAAGAAATTCCTCCCTGTTAGGGTGGGGAGGGACTGGGATGGAATTCCCAGAGCAGCTGTGGCTGGTCCATCCCTGGAAGTGTCCAAAGCCAGGCTGGATGGGGCTTGGAGCCACCTGGGACAGTGGGAGGTGTCTTTGCCATGGCAGGAGTGGCACTGGATGTGATTTAAGACCCAACCCAAATCAGACTGAAATTCTGTGGAATTCAGGAAGATTATGAAAACAGATGGGCAAAATAGAAGGAAATAGAAAAGATGAGAAGACTTTCAGAAAGCTGTAAAAGCTTAGAAAGAGCAGAAAACTTAAAGCTAGCTGCAGCTGAAAAGTAGAAAAAGTAGAAAAGCCTGAAAGTAGAAAAGTAGAGAAAGTTCCAATAGTACAGCAAGCAAGGACATGAAACGCTATGGAATTAAGGAAGTTTATGAAAACAGATGGACCAAAGTGACCAAAAGGCAGAGCTCTCCCAGCCTCACACCCAGCACAATGTGTAATTGTCCATTTCCTTCAAAACCTCTTCCTTTGCGCTCGAGAATATCCCAAATGTGGCAAACTGGCTCCACCCACAGCAGTGCAGGGCTGATTCCCACATTTCCCTGCTCCCAGGGCAGGAGACAGAGCTGCTGCTCAGGCCTGGGTGACATCGGGGCTTTGTCACCTGAACTGGGACAGGCGGCACTGTCTGAGTGTCCCTGCCCCAGGAGTGTGCCAGGCACATCCCTCTCTCCCTCCAGATTTTCCAGAGAGGAGCACAGAGAGAAGAAAGAGAAAACAATTTCTGTTTCTGCTCCTTGTTTTTCCCATGTGGAATGTGTTTGGAGAATTGTTTACCTGGGGTGATCGCTTGGTTGGATCCTCATGAGGATTGTTTGATGGAAATCAAATCCACCTGTTCTGGACTGTCACAAGTTATTAAGAGTTATAGTAGTTAGAAAAAGTAGGTTTGTAGTTTTAGTATCTCCTTTAAATACTATATTAATGTATTTTAGCATAGTTATAATAAAGCAATCATTCAACCTTCTGAATTGAGTCAAACATCATAATTTCACCTGCGTTTACAACACAGGAGGATGTGAACAGCAGCTGGGCAGGAACAGCCGAACACAAAGCACAGCCTGGTGTCACTTCTGCTGCCACCCCTTTGGGCAGGCTCCAAAATCCATGGAAGCACTTGGCTCATGGGATCATAGACGGGGACCCTAAATGCCACCCGGTGCCACCCTTGCCATGGCAGGGACAGCTCCCACCATCCCAGCCTGGCCTCGGGCACTTCCAGGGATGGTGAGCCCATATCCTCCCTGGAAAACCCATTCCAGGGCCTCGGCATCCTCACAGGGAGGAATTTTTCCCTAACTCAAATCCAGCCCTGCTTTATCACTTTGAAGCCATTCTCCTCGTCCTGCCCCTGGAATTCCTGATGGGATTTTCCCCATTCCCCTCCCTGGAATTCCTGGTGGGATTTTCCCCATTCCCCTCCCTGGAATTCCTGATGGGATTTTCCCCACTCCCCTTGTCCTGCCCCTGGAGTTCCTGATGGGATTTTCAACACGGGGAGTCATGAGAATGAGGATGGAAACTGGGAATGGGAAACTGGGAATGGCAATCTGGGAAAGGGAATCGGAACTGGGAATGGAAAACTGAGAATGGGGATGGGAACTGGGAATGGAAAAACAGGAACGGAGAAGGGAATGGGGATGGGAAGTGGGAACTGGGAATGGGAAACTGGAAATGGGAAACTGGGAATGGGGATGTGAACTAGGAGTGGGAAACTGGGAATGGAAAGTGGGAATGGGAAATTGGGAATGGAAAACTGGGAACAAGAACTGAAAATGGGAAACTGGGAATGGAAAATTGGGAAACCGGATGAAAATAGGGATGGGGAATGGGAGTGGGAAGTAGGAATGGAAAACTGGGAATGGAAAAGTGGGAATGGAGAACTGGGAATGGGGAACTGGGAATGGGGATGGGAACTGGGAACGGAAAACTGGGGATCAGCCCGATGCCCACTCTGAACCCCAAACACTTCAGAGCAGAAAATTCAAAGCTCAGTGGAGAAAAAGGGACGAAGATAAT